AGGAACTCTTTGGCCCAACCATTGCAGCCATGCACCAGATGTGTGACACACAGAAGAGAGAAGGTGAGGCTTTTCACTTCAGTCTGCCTCGTAAAACTGCCCCAGCCTCCGCAGCGCACCCAAAATGCTTGCCACTGGTGAGAGAGCCCTCTTAGCGCTTTAGAGCTACCAAGCCTCAAGGCCCGGCTTTCAACCAGAGAGCTCAGCTCACAGACCCAAAAGCAAGCTGATGTACGCCGCAGCCAGTCAAACACCGGCCCGCTAACCCCACGACTTCAAGAAGAGGAGTGGGATCTAGCGGTTATGCTCCAGAGTGGTAAGGGTACAGCCAGCATGTTGAGACTTCTGGTTTGGCTCTCCTCAGACACAGCACATCTCCTCCTCCTGCAAAATGGAAGAGGCAGAGTGCTCTTAGCAATGTTCACTTCCGAATGGCCATGTTCAATGCCCCATCTAAACCCTGTATACTTTATGAATCCCACCCTTAGCCCCTTTTGGAGTTCGGGTCGAGAGAAGAATGTAAGGTGTGTCTGCAGGCTGCAGTCGCAGCCAAGCACCTTTTCAAGAAATATCTGGAAGTTCAATACATTCTCTGTCAATAAAGAATTCTCAAGCACAACCAAGCAGTCAGTCAAGGACACAACATTTTCTCCCCTTTCAAAAAGAAAAGGGAATAAACCAAAACACAAGCATACGCTGATTGTTGCTCACCTCAGCAGAGGGCTCCTGGCCTATGCAGTTGGATCTAAGCAGATGGCCCCCCTCGCTGCCCCACAGCAGTGGGGTGCGCATGTGCAGTTCATCCCTGCGTCCTTTACACAATTTACAATGGATACTGGCTTCAGTTTACTGCTCACCCTCCCCTGTTCAGCGGGCTTACAGCCTCAGCAGCAGAGGGCCCTCAGCGCATGTACAGAAATTTCTTCCCTCTTAAGCAGTTAGGTTAGTTCCAGTGGAAGAAAGCGATAGGAGTTTCTACTGTTTCTATTTCCTCATTTGGAAAAAAAGGCGATGGGCTATGTGCCATTCTGGATTTGCATGTTCTCAACAGGCCCTTGAGGAAGTATACTCTGAAAATGCTGACTCTCAAGATTCTGTGTCAGTCTAATCGTCTAGAGACTGGTTCACCACAGTCAATTTACAGGACGCTTATTTTCATATAAGCATCCACCCCATGGCTTAAGATTTTCTCACAGTCTTGTTTGGACTCAGCCTAGCCCTGCAGGTTTTCATCAAAAGTGTGGAAACGGCTCTGACCCCCTTACAGAATGCAGGTCTCAGAATATCAGTCTATAAAGATAATTATCTGCTCTGTTCATCCTCTCAGGGGCAGAACAACGGGCCACTGGGTGTGGATGCTCTGGCTCATCCGTGGCAGAACGTTCTTTTCTATGCGTCTGCTCCCCTGAGTCCCAGCAACTCTTGCTAGAGTAAGAGAAAATGACTTGTCTCTCCTGCTGATCCCTCCAGACTGGCCAAAGAGACTTGGCTAGTGGAAATAACTCAGCTAATGGCAGAGTAGCCCTGGCCGCTTCCAATACGCAACCTACTGTCTCAAGCCCACGGGCAAATTTTTCACCCATCTGGGCTAAATTCAATTACACAAAAAAAGGGGAAAAAAAAACAGGGCAGTCATGGCATCTAACCCCAACTGCTCCCAGGGCTGCCCACCGCTCCAGGCAACTGTGCTCCCTGTCCCCTAGTGTGTGTGCATTCACTAGTGTGTATGTGGTGTTTCACTGAATGGATGGGTTAAATGCCGAGGTGAAATTTCCCAGTTGTGGGACTAATAAGGGTCACTTACTTACAATTCATTCAACGCACCAGAGCACTCTCCACTTGCACACTGTATGACAACAAGTGCGAATGTGTAGTGTTCTCTGCGGAGCCTACTGGATGACGGAAAAGACTTCCTCCACCATCAAGATGTATTTGGCTGCTATTTCTGCATGTCATGTGACATCACAAGTGTCAGCAAACAACCTTTAATATGCAGCTTTTTGAGAGGTGCGCACAGTTTATGCCCAATTTCTAAGCCTTTGATGCTGCCATGGGACCTCTCCAAGGTACCGGATGCGCTATCTCAGCCACCGTTCGAGCCGCTGTTATGACAGTTCTGCTACTCGGACTGGTTTTCACTAAATGAGTTAGTGATCTGAAGGCATTTTCCGTGCACCCCACATGCTTACACTTTGAAGCGCATGACACTAAGGTCACTCTGCTTCCTAACCATGCATTTGTGCCCAAAGTCAATGACGCTTCCTATACCTATGTTGGAGCATATCACTCCTTTTTATTCTGAAGAGGAGAAGAGGTTGCACTGCCTAAGTCTGGTCTGTGTGTTACACATTGACACAGAGTGGACAAAAAGCTTTAGCAAAATTAATCAACTTTTAGTGTCCGGGCTGCCCCATGCTATGGGTCACCCACCTCATCCCAGCATTTATCTGATTGGATGGTGGAAATGATCCATTTGGCTCACAAGGCTGAAGGTCTCAAGCTCATTGAACCAGAGGAGTGGCTGCTTTGTGGGTTCTTTTCAGGGGCATTTTTGTAAAGGACATTTGTGCTGTGGACAGCATGGCTTTGCTTTCCTACTGCATCTACTTTGCCAGTCAGTTTGGAAAGCATGCAATCCAGGAGTTGACTATATCTTTCTCACAGTGAGGTGAAACAAATGCTGAAAGAGAACGTATTGTTACTTGCATAAGCCTGGTTCTCTGAGACAGGAGTGAGGTATCTCACCAAACTTTCGCTCTTGCATTAGCTCGGGGAAGAGCATGCTGGAGAACGGATGGACATGGGAGTCCCCACAATTTATAAGAGTTATCAAATCACGCTTGTGATTGGTCTGTCAGTTGGTACTGTCAGACATGGTGGAACTGGTGCTTCCGTTATGGTCATGCAGAGAGTGTTTCCCATTGTGAGATACTTCACTCCTGTTTCAGGGTTTATACAATTAACCGCACATTTGATAGGACATTGACTAGATATTCAATTTTCTTTATTTCCTCTCTTAAATTTTTAATGAAACAAACGTGCAAAAATGACCAGACCTACATTTTCTCACTCCTGAGAACACAGAGAACAAACTACAACCAAATGTTGTTTAAAAGTATTCTTGGGTAAATTTTGCTGAACATAAAGGCTCCGAACATCAAAACACCAGCGCGTTACTCTTTAAGGGAGCATCCAAAAAGTGCAGAACCTGTACAAGCGTGAAGGTTTACATTTGAACACATTGAAGGTTGTAGAGGCTGTCCTGGTTATCAACAATGATTGTTGGCTTACTAAACAGGTGATGTTACCGTACTGGATCTGATCTGTGGCACGTTAGTAAAGATTTTGTTTTTCACTGTTCATTTTACAGCCACAGAGCATCTCATACAGCCATATCACCCTCAAACAGACCACTGTGCACTTGTGAATAACATTATTCATTCAGTATTATTCAGCAAATCTGGTGTGAAGCGTCATCAAATCATACACATGCTTGATATTTTAAGGGGGATTGATTTTATGAGGCTAAACGACTTAAATATGCATCATGGCAATATGTGTATGTGTATGTACAAGGAGTGATGGAGGTACACGGCAGGTGGTTAAATCTCTGAAGAGGTATGGGACTGTAAAAAGGTTTGGAAACCACTGGGCTACACCGATGAGCCACAACATTACAACCATTATTAACAGATCAAGCGAATAACATTGATTATCTCATAACAACGGCACGTCAAGGTCTGGGATATATTAGACAGTAAGTATATAGTCAGTTCTCGTGTTGTATGCAGGAGAAATGGACAGGCGTGACGACCTTAGTGACTTTAACAAATGTCAGATCACTGTGACAAGACAACTGGGTCAGAGCATCTCCGAAATGACAAGGCTTGTGGGGTGCTCAGCAGAGTGACTACCTATCTATAGCGGTTCAAGGATGGACAAACAATGAACAGGCAACAGGATATTGGGCATCAATGGCTTATCAATGCGCAAGAGCAACAAATAATAATGATAATTATTTTGTATATAGCATTTTTCATGCTGGTGGCAGCTCAAAGTGCTTTACAGACAGGTGATAAACAGTTATACAAGAAAGTATTAATTTAGAATCATAAGCAAAGAAGAAAGTTGCCTGGTCTGATAAGTCCTGTTTTCATCTACAATGGATAGCTGGGTATATGTGCTCTATTTACCTGGGGAAGTGTTTGAACCAGGATGCACTATGGGCAGAAGAATGTGTGCCACACTGCAGATGGTTTGGGGAACATAAGGAGTTTAAGTTCTTGCCCTGCGCTAATGTCTTGGTTCCAAACACCACAGGGCACCTTCAGAGGTCTTGTAGAGTCAATGCCTCAGCTGGTTGGGGCTGTTTTGGCAGCACGCGGAGGACCAGCAGCATATTAGTCAGGTGGTGATAATGTTTTGGCTCATCAATGTATTATAAGTAAGTTTCAAGCACACGGGTCTCCGTTCTTTTCTCTGTGAAAATAAACGTGTTGGCTGGGGAACCCAATTGTACGATACAGAAACAGACTAAAAAAGCACAGTCATTCCTTCATTAATTCACAGGCAAGACAAAACATTCTGATAACTAGAGGTTACTTCAGGACATCACTTCAGCCTGAGTCTGAATTAGGCGGAAAAAGAAAACCCTAAAGACCTGAGGAGCCCTCTGTCCTGCCAAGAAAGAAACTAAGTCATTGCCTACTGGAATCCACAGTGCCTCTCTGTCCTGCCCAAAGGTCAATATGTGAACGTTGTCCTCATCACTATCAAGATTGGCTCTAGCGTGTCAGCAGTTTGAACAGAGTAACACGGATATAACAATGATATATTTAATGGATTGTTGCAGTAGGGATGACACAAGCAGCACACAGCATGTTTTCAGACAGATGAGTAGCCATGTGCAGGCTGCTGCAGGTGAGCACATCTCTGAGAGGCAATGGTCCTGCCTCACAGAGAGGGCAGCAGAGGGTGTGGACGTCGCTGCGTGCACTGACCTGGGCTGCGCGCCATCCTGCCACTCACCAACAGGGCCTCCTGATTGTCAGCCAGAGCCTGCTTGGCCAAATAACGCTCCCTCTTGATCTTCAGCTCCAGAGACTCAGGCACATCCGGAACCATCCAATCAATCACACGCAGCACAAAAAACACCACATGCTACAAAATGACATATTTTAAGGCATTAGTGCAATTCTTTATACATAAGATTAACTATAGTTACTAGATATAACACTGAAAATAAGCTAGAAAATTAACGTCACACTATAGAGGATAAAAACAACAAATTAAGATGACAAGCTAATTAAAGCTACACTATGTACATTTATATGTTCTTTTTTGTTTGTTTGTTAAACTTGCTGAAACGTGTAGCATTACTGAGTCAGGAGGAAAAAACATGTCACACATCTATATGTATCAACGTCACATGACTCAAAAAGTGACTCTAGTTCAATGTCTCAAATGCAAAATCAACTTCATAGTGATGATATGATGACAACAATAGATAATACGCTTACATTCTTAGAACATATGTCCTTTAGCAAGTTTTTTTTGTTTCCTTTTTTAACACACTCGCAATCATCAGATTCATCCAGTTGGTAAAGGGGTCCGAAACACAAGCCCACGTTACAAAATATTCTCCCTCACACTGTGTGCTATTACATATTTCCAAAAAAGATATCTACAAATCCCCAAAATTTACAAAGTGTAGCTTTGATTGGTAAATTAATTCTAAATTAACAGAACGCTGGGGCGGCCGGGTGACCAGGTTCCTTTCTGTGTGGAGTTTGCATGTTCTCCCCGTCTGTGTGGGTTTCCTCCGGGTACTCCGGTTTCCTCCCACAGTCCAAAGACATGCAGTCAGGCCAATTGGACATGGTGAATTGCCCCTAGGTGTGAGTGCCCCTAGGTGTGAGTGTGTGAGTGTATGTGTATGTCTGTCTGTCAGCCCTGTGATGGACTGGTGACCTGTCCAGGGTGTATCCTGCCTTCCGCCCAATGACAGCTGGGATAGGCTCCAGCACCCCCCGCGACCCAGAAGCAGAAGCAGCTTAGAAGATGTGTGTGTGTGTAACAGAACACTGCAAATCCTAGGTTATGAATAGCATTTTTGAAACTAAACTTTATCTACTACATGTGTAGTGTACTTTGTAAAAGAACAAAAAAACCTAATAATTCAAACAAGCTTTCCTGTGTCTTCTATTATAAGTCTGGTTTGACAAGGGAGGTTTTCTATTCTTTTCTAAGTGTAAGAGAATGTACTGTCTGTAACAATCAACCGAATGCTACAGATGCAAAGTATGCTGCACTATTCTTTTATGAGGAAAGGTCCCTGCATGCAACTGAAGGACAGCTTCTGGAATTGGTATAAATTCACTAAAGGATTCAGTCTGAGAGGAATGGTGAGTGTTTACCTCAAATGCAATGATGAAGCCAAGTCTGACTGCAAGAAGTTCCCAGTATACTAGAGTGTAGTTCCCATTGTCATCTCGAAAAGCTTTGTACCTGAAAAACAATCACAGCTCTAAAGTGAGAGTAACTCTTTAACGCTCAGGGACTTGACGTTCATTTAAGGAGCAACTACGGCCTCCAGTGGTAAAACTGCTACAGTGACTGTGAGATTAACCCTTTAAACCTTAAGGGCTTGCATTGTAGTCCCACATTTCCTAAGCTCTTCACCCTACAAAGCTCTACACCCTAACTAGAAAACTTGCATATATATATACATACACACACACACACATATGTGTGTGTATATATATATATATATATATATATATATACACATTTATGCAAGTTTTGTAGTTGATATATATATACATATGGCACTATACATGGTACTAAATGGCAGTTGTATCATATATATATATATATATATATATATATATATATATATATATATATGATACAACTGCCATTTAGAACAATATGAACTAGCTGATAAACATGGCAGTTTAATCTGCATTTATATACTGGATTTAACAAAAAATGTGAGGATAGAAAAGGATACAGATAGATATGAGTTCATTAATTATTTAGTGAAATTCTTTCCAGTTGCTATGATTATTTGCATGACTGTATTACTATGTATAACTGACACATTAGCAATTACCTGCACATGCCATGGCTGGAGTAGTTGTAGCTGGGTGGAGCGTAGGCCAATGTAAAGTTGACATAGCCACCTAAATCATTATCGAATTTATACTGGTACAGCAGCCGAGGCAGGAAATCAGATGTAAATGCAATGAGGAAAGCCTAATAAAGAAAGAAAGAAAAAAAATAATTCTAATGGTTCTCTCACACCATCAAAGCATACGCTACACAAACAGTTGGTATTAAGCAAAGGACCTGCATAAAAAACAAACTGTTGTTTCACTCACAGAATAAAAGTAAAAATAAAAAGTAATAAAAAGTGTAGAAAAAAGCAAAAAAGTAAAAAACAAATTCTGCTGACTCACATTTACTATGACAGACACATGTGAAAGGGCCTCCAGGATGATAAACCAAACGCCGATGTTCTGCGCTCGCTCAGCTACAGGCCGCCGGTACTCACATACAAACTTGTGAGCGTCCAGTCTAACTTCTGCCCAGTTATTGAGAAGGGCAAAGAGAGGGGCCAGTGGGAATGCGGCTACAAAGATGGTGATGAAGCCGAACTGCAGCACTGTGGACAGCGGACAGTGATTAGATTTCATTTACTAATTGAAAAGAGACAAATTACACAATGAATCCTTAACAAATCAGCTCCACCACCTATAATTAAATAAACAGTGAATGCAGTGGATGGCACAAAAGCAACCTTACTGCTTCTTTTCTTCTAAAATACTGTGTCCAAGCAGTTGCTCAGCATATTTACGCAGTATCTTACCAATCTCTAAGTATTCGTCAAAGAGCCCCTCACACTCGATCAGCTCATAGTCCTGCTCCCAGCGCTGGGGCTCTAGACCACTCTGAGCCTTCTTCACTGAAGACAGAGCCTTTTTCTGTCTCCATGCTTTTACTTTACTGCAAACAAACATACAGGGATAACAGACAGAGCATGAGAAAATATGAAGACAGCTCTAATGTACTGAGATTACTTGTAGTGTTAAAAAAGAATCTACTAATAGAATTCCAGAGGATATAAGGTAGCCTGAGCTTAGAGTGAGTGATGCATTATTGAAGAGAGCAGAAAGCTCTGCCTGTGTGAAGGACATCCTTTTATTCAAGTAGGGAATGTGTTCTTTTAAAAAATAGGAAAATGGTGCACTGTTGGCTTATTTGTAGCAGTTTGTAGATACACACCACCCACACATGTGCATATACTGTTTTAGAAACATAGTTATCATGAAACCTCTCTCTGTTTTTTCCCGTACCTCTCTCACACTCACACATACAAAAATGTAAAAACACACACAGGAATGTTTGTTTTTATACAACATCAAAACATGGGGTCATACATGTGTCTCACATATTTTAGGCTATAGATGTTACTATGTGCATAAGCTCCACTCTTGCTTCAGAGCTGAAAAAAGACACAGGTATTTATTTCCATTCTTCCACTGTGAGACGAAAACTCTATGAGTCTATGAGCGCTATGAGTCAGAGAGGATGGGTAACTGTAAAGAAATCGTTACTGAAAAAATTAAGCAGGTAAAAAAGAAGAGCATTTGCAAATCAAATGAAGTTTCTGGTGTTCTCAGAACAGAGTCCAGACCTCAACAGCACTGAATGTGTTTGAGATTACTTGGATCGTAGGAGGCAGAAAATGCAACCTGAAGACTTCTAAGACTTTAGAGGTGTGGAAAAACATCTCGGCAGACTTACTTCGAAAGTACTGCACAAAAGTAACAGACATTTCAATCAGACACATTTCATTTAATATCCATTCAAAATGGCTATTAAGTACAAGTAATCTATTTTTCAATATATTTCTGAGGAAATCAGATATACAATAATCCATTTGTATAAGAAAAGAGCAAGTGCAAGCAAAATTACTCTAAAAAAGGAGTTTCTAAAATTGGAGTTCAAAAATAACTATTAGAGAGATGAGATTTCTAGTAACCTACAAGACCCAGCAGACCACCAAAACTGGCACCATCAGATAAACAGTAATCAAAGCTTGCAGAGATTGGGGAAAATCAGTTCAGACCTCAACAGCGTTGAATGTGTTTGGGATTTCTTGGATAATGAGAAGCAGAAGATGCAACCTGATGACTTCTAAGACTGAACTTTGGAGATGTGGAAAAAGATCTCTGCAGATTCTTTGAAAAACTGAAAGCAAGTCTCCTGCAAAAATGAAAGCTGTAATAAAGAAAAAGTGTGGAAAAACTAGCCCACTGTGTGGGCTAAACGCACACATGGAACACACTAGCACATTTCCAGTACTTTCTATTAGCCATATTCACAACATAGATAACATATTTTTCTCTTTAATGATCAAAACTGGCATTTTTAACTTATATACGAAAAACTTGCCTATCAAAATAACTCATATTCAAGAAAATATCTACTGATTGCAATCTTGGCTGATTTTGATTGTGCATCCCTATTAAGTATCTATAAATATATATAATAAGATTCAGTTTTAAGAAAAAATAAAACAAGGAGCTTTTGTAAAATGCAATTTACAAAGTGAAGACCAATTTTTTGGCCATAACATTATAGATTAGCCCCATTTTTCTTACAAAGTCAGGACATTTTTGTATTCAAAGTGTACAAAACCCACACTTTCACACACACACACACACACACACACACACGCTTTAAAACATGCTATACGACAAGGTTGCACTGCAAACGTCAGCATTAGTAGGTCTATTCCAGCTGGCTTCACAGTGCCAATGCTGCAGCACTAGAGCCTTAATGCAACACTCTGCTTTACCCTTAAGACTGCTGACTCACTGACTCCAACAATCAGCTCAATGCCTGGCATGCATTCTGTACTCTAGACTTATTATACAGTAATTAAGACTATAAACACTATTGTAGATCAGTAAAATATGCTCATATACAGTGTATCAGATATACTCACACTGCACTGTACTCTAGACAGAGGAAATCAATGTAGAGGATAAGAGGTTCAGAAGGAAATGAAATATAAGGAACCTACGGTATGACAAACTCCTGAACGTTGTTGATGAGCTGTTTTCCCATCATGATGATGAAAAGCTGCTCAGCCAGCTCAATCAGACAACCCCCTGGGCCGCACTGCAAAACACCCACACAACAGGAAACCATATGTATAATCATACATGCAGTAACACAGTAAAATGAGTAATGAGTAAATGTTTAGATTAAACAGAAACAGAGCTCATATACACTGTCTGTTAAAAGTTCGGGTACATCTAGCGTTTCAAAACATTTAAGGTTTTCTTTGTCCATTTGCAATAACCTTATATTAAAAACTAACCATAAACCAATATCACATGTAAATATCTGTGACAATTTGAGAAAATAGTTGAGAATAGTAACAAAGCCCAAACATTTTATCAACTTCATCAACGACGTCAGCATTCACCGGCACTTGCAGCCTTCAGGTGTTTAAACGCTCAAAAGATTTTCAATATGTGCTTTTAAAGTAAAACTGTCAAATCATTATTTAGAGAAAACATACTATACCAAGGTGGACACTTTGATTAACATAAAGCTGAGTGTTACAAAATATACCCAAAGTATTAGCAAATAGCTGCTTATAACTATTGTGGGTATTTTTTCTTAATTAACTGACCCTTTGGTAAACCCTTCCTCTAAATACTGACTGTATTTCTAGCTTATGCCTGACTGTAATCACGACTTATGCCAGTAACTAGGCCCCCCGGACAAGAACTTTACAATATGCAGCAACATTATGCAAACCATATGCCTGATATTTGAAGTTTGGAGAGTGAGAAAATTTTGACTCATTTCATGAACTGAAGGCCCATGCCAGAATCAAATGATAAACGCGGCACCCACACAGGGAAAAATTTGCTGAGTAAAACACAGGGTGAGAAATCTATAGTAGATCCTTCCAAAGGAGCTAGACATTCAGGAGAGAATCAGCAGAAAAGCCACACTGAAGGTCTACCTATTTAGGATAACTGAGTTATCCTTCTACAGCCTACAGCACATCCCAAAAATAGAGCCAATACAAAGTGATGCCTGCAAACCCTCCTATGTTAATTGATGCAGCCTTCCATAAACAGTGCTTGCAGCAAGTAGTCAAAGTGGGCAGGGCTTAGCAAAGGATCAACTAAAAACTAACACTGACAAAATTTGAATTTCAAAGGAGAGGAAGGTGTCACCAAATACTTTACGGGTAAGAGGAAACTCACTTGGGAGAAAGAATGTATTGCAAACAATCAAACCAGAACTCACATCTTCGTTCCTCATTCCAAACAAAGTGCCATAGTGACCGGGGTAGCCGACAAATCTGCCACGGGAAAATGAAAGAGTCAAGTCTTACAAGAAGCCATTTTTAACACGTATAAATCATGGAGATAAATGACATAAACTGAATTTGTAGATACCTGGCCAGTAAGAATGTAACAATTCCAATATGTATGGAAAACATTAAATTTGAAAAAGTGTATTAAAATTTAGAACAGTTTTCCCAATACTCTATTGAGGGTCTCTCATTTATCCTCTTTTGCGAAAACCATGGTCAATAATCAGTATTATGGCTTCTGGGTGCAGCACATCAAAGTAAAGTACGTAGGGAGGGTGACTGGCTTGTGTTATGCTGTGTTTTTTTCATGAATCAATAATAAATGGCAAAGGTTGTGATTTGCAGGGTTTATATTGTTGAAAGGTGGCACAACAGGCATTGAAAAAGTTCTACTGTTTTATTTATCTGAGCCAAACCATTCTGCGTAGTGTGTAATTAGAGCTCTGTAGAATCAAGACACAACAAAATATCAAAAATCTAAATAAATCTTGACCTCAGAATTCAAAAACATTTTGGACATCTCACACTACTCTGACCTCCTTAACCTGTTCATACTTACATGTCCTCATGGGAATCATGAATTTTAATTTTCACTGTCATTTTTTTTAGACAACATCTGATAGGCACTGGAAATCTACACATTTCTGCCCTCTGATCACTTTGTTTCTTTTTAATTATTTCTTTATTAATCACTGCATATTCATTAGTCTTCTCCTTAGTCACTGTTACATAACTCATTGTTTTGCTGTGTCACTAATTTGCTAAGGAGGATATGGTTCCCCCTGAGTCTTTGTTCCTTTCAAGGTTTCTTCTTCTTGCTCTCAAAGTTGCCCGCAACTCACTCATTAGGGGTCTGGACCTGGATTTCAGTAAAGCTGTAAAAAACGCTGTACATATATATTTTAATTGCACTGAGAATTGAAAATCGTACGGAACTGCAATTTATCGTTAGGCTCCTGGCGTGTTTTCATGTATACAGTTAACATTAACATATTAATATATATATTAATAACTCAAAACACAGCATTCAGGCACACCTTATTTTTTTTCTGTGTCGTAAAATGTATTGTACTGTGACACCATCATATCGTATTGAACTGAATTTTAGTGCATCATTACAACACTACTGGCCAGTGTTACAGGACTGCATCAAAAAAACATGATGCAACAAGTCTGATACCAAATATCTGGTTATTTTCAGTTATTTACCTTCCCTTGAAGAAGGCTACGTAGAAAGGGGAGGAGTAGAAGTTGACAAACTGGAAGATGAACACCTTAAACGTAAACGCATCCTCATACTGCGTCTGCGTCCTGTGCATTTCTGTAGAAGTGAAGTTCTAAACTTATTCAGATGAGACTGACCATGAAAACAAAATTATACTAAACATACACAAATATCTCTCAATACAGTCACACAAAATTTTAATTCAGTAATTTCTCAACATGAAATCTATAATATGAATTATCTCTTTGTAAATATTAGTTGAATGCCTGAATAAGTCGCAGTCAAACTTAATTATTTATCGATTTCCATTTTCAATCTAAGCTGACAGCATCTGCCTCTCTGCGTCAGAGTGGACTGGTTTAGAGCAAAAAAGCTAGATGTCTGTCACTACATATTGAGCAGAGTGTTGTTTTATAGGCCTGAGGGCCAGCAGCAGAACGCTTACCCCATTTAGTGAGCTGCTCGGCCAGTGCAGTATACACCTGCCCCATCAGCAATATTAGAGCCAGGTTCACCATACTGCTGGAGATGTTGGCAATGTTCCCAGCCTAGAAAACACACACACAAACACACGCAGATTAAGAGCTACTGCAGGTGGTTGTATTGATGAAGTGGTGAAAGGAGCAACTTAATTAATTGATTCTTATCGAATTTTTTACCTGTGTGCGCAGTACAGAGCTCCCAGTCTCATACATCATCACGCTCACTATACTGCGATAGATGATGACAGTGACCAGGAAAATCATCACCACACACAGCTGAGGAAAGAAGGAGCGATAATGAGCCAGACCATAGATATGACCAAACTGCTGATGAGCTTAAAAGGAACACTGGTTCCAATCAATCCTCACTCTCACCATTATGACAATGACCATAGAACCAGTCAGCATGCGGGAGATCCGGGCCTTCTCCGGGAAGTAAGGCTCTTTCACCCCAGTCACAGGGTTTTCCTCCATTGCAGGGGCCATGGCTGCAAACTCTGGACGTGGGGGCTCCTAAAAATCCAGTGGTTTAGGAAAGAAAAGTGTTCTCAGCTGTTTCAGTTTTTATATAGCGGTTAACATATCAGTCTAGTAGAGGTGATGGGAAATTGGTGATACATATATAGCACACATATAAATTAGATAATCATGATATTCAATAAGGAATGCACAGTTCTTCTTATTTATGCCCTTAATTTTCTAGATATTTTGAAACATTAAAATGAATAAAACACTTTTCTGTACTGTTGCACTGTTTTTAATGTCTATAATGTACTACTGCATAAATGGTTCCTACAGGCACATTTATACATTAAGTGTATTTTAACTCACTCTCTCACTCATATTTAGCAGGCTGAAGATTCTCCACAAGTGGTGCCTTTAATACTCAAAAAATTTGGTACTTCACATTGATGGCACTCCATGTCCTTCTTAAAAATAATTCTGAATTATATCAAAGTAATCAAATCTAATCATGGTGAAATCTGATATTTAATGCTAAACTGACTCATTTCAGACACAATGTCTGCTGCTGTTTATTCCATACCTCCTCCTCATGAAAGTCCATGCAGTCCCAGTGGTGGGCCAATGTGGCGTTCTTGCGTTTCCAGTACTCCAGGAAAGTGACGGCCCAGAAGGACATGAATACGCTGAAGAACACTGTGCCAGGGTGATCAAACAAGTAGCCCACCTAGAGCAGGAGAAGAGACACACTTAAACTAAAATATCTTTTATGTATTGTCTAACTGTAACGCTCACTGTGTGCTTAGCAATTTTCAATCTACTGGGTAAAGCTAAACAAACAAGTATTTCAATGCTCTTCATGCATATGGCAAATAAAAAGCTTTTATCTTGAACAGAACACATATTGCCAAACAACTTTGAGAAACTTTACAATAACATACAAATAAATTAGGCTATGTATCTTATCACACCTGAGCCATGGGGCAAATGTCTGACATATTCCAAGGTTTGCAGGTTTCGCAAAGAGGACACATCAGATACCGGCCTCCACTTTCACAGATTTCTTTTCTGTAAACAGCATATATATAACTGGTCAGACTTACTAAAAAAGGTGCTAATTACTGACAGTCTATGAACACTTTGCACTGTCAAATGATTACAGAGCAATGTGTAATGTGAACTAAAAAGAGTCAGAACTCTGGACATGCATGGAAAAAATTTCCCTGGCCTTTGTTGCACTTTTAAATGGTAAGAGATAATTTTCCCTTTTTAGTATTATTTAGTCAATTATATTGTATGGTAAGAGTGGGCAAAAACATTATGTCACAATACTGCCAAGAAAAGTGTACTGTGACATTATTTATCTCGTTAACAATAAAAAATTGTCAAATTGCCCATTCCTATTGTAAGGTATGTAAAATGTTTAGATTATAGAACAACAATAATGAAGCTGTATTTTGTTTTGAACTAAACAATGTTTTTGTATTAAACTAAATAAAGCTGAACAAAAAAGCTAATTCAGCAGGTTATCTATTAAGAACTTCCTTGCAAAGGAAAGGGACAATTTCATATACATGAAATAATAAATGTATGAGCTGTGCAGCATAAGCATGTGTAATATATATATATATATATATATATATATATATAAGCTTTTTGTATGAAAGTTTGTTTGTGCCATGTAGGAGGAAAAAAGGTTTATCCTTCTGGTTCAGGTTCAAATGGTGACTCAGGTCAGAACAATTACTTATTTTTTTAAGGTTCTGACTTAGTAAGTTAGTAAATCTAAAAAAAGATTTACAACTCTTCTAGAAAGTACACAATTATTTCAACAATTAATTAAAAATATATATATATTTCCACAAACTAAGTCAGAAATTCAAGAAAATGAGTAATTACTTTGACATTCTAGTTTGAAGCACACGTTCATTTTTGGCTGGAGGAATAAGCTGTACTTCCCTGCTGAATGCATTACGAAACTATGCAAAAACCTGGTGTAAAATTGTGTAATCAGGTAAAGTCTCTAATTCATTATACTGACCACATCCTGGTTGTTTGGGAACTGTATGATTTTGAGCGTAAGCTCTTTATGACTGACACTTATGCATTACTAAAGAGTAGCTTCAGTAATCACTTTATTAGTGATTCATCTACTTTAAAGAGTAGTGACTGCAGAGCCAAAGAATTTCAATCTGTGATTATTGTTTGAAAAAAATGTCAAAACCTCCTCTTTAATAGTCTTGTAAATATACATGAAAATATTATGAATTAGATAAAAAATAAATAAATAAATGTGTTGGAAAACCTCTCTTTTCTGTCTCTGAACACAACAATGGCAACTTCATTATAATGATCTCCTCACATATTTTGTGCTTTAAGCGGATAACTCTTATAAATGAATATGCAATGAGGCAAAAATACAAAAGAACAGTGACCGCCCCTTTGGTCTTGCTATGGGCGGTAAAGCATCGTACTTCTGTATTAAATCTAGACAGCCACTTTCTAACACCAAAATAGAGTTGCAATGGCTTAATTTGGACGTGGGTTGAGAATTACCGGCCTGAACTGCTTTCACATATTCAGATATTAACATAAGACAGTACATGAGTGTCTCTCTCCTGAAAGGTGCACATCAGTACATTAGTTTGATCTGCAGATCAATAGCGCTAATAGCACAAGCACATGAAGAACTGCATCAGTGGCTCTGCAGGCAGCAGAGTCATTGACTTTGATCTTTTCTCTCGCTCTAAGCTTTGTGTTCTGTCTCTATAGTGCAGCACATTTGTCCCAACACCATCCCATCAGCAGTCTCAATGCAGGTTTGGTCAAAAGTTGCTATGGAAACAGATGAACAGCACCAAACAGGCACTGACAATATATATTTTGTTGCTGGAGCTAGACAGATACGCTTCGATCAAGTTTAGCACAAGCTTAACTGAAGCGCAGAGCACCAGTGACAGTGTGTGTGTGTGTGTGTGTGTGTGTGTGTGTGTGTGAGAGAGAGAGATACTGACGCTGGGGTGTTGGAGCTCATCGTCATGATGCCGGACACAAACACAAATGTTCCAACTATTGCTGCAGGAAGGAGCCACGCTGTGTAAAAGCCTATAGATAGAAATCAGATCAGATATAAAAACACCTGCACAGTTTCCAACAACAGTGAAACTTCACATCCTTATCTATTTCATCATGCATTCATTGCAGTATTATTTGACTGATATAAATATTATCATAATTTCATGTTAATGCTGCCAGCTTAGATAATATGTGTCATTTTAACCAGTGCTTACTCACCAAGCCATGCAAAATAAAGGGCAATTTTCTCCCCAAAGTATTCTCGGATGTGATCCAGGGGCTGGTATTTGTACCATTTCGACCAGCGGGCCCAGTGGCGATACAGAACCTGTCTCTTGTTTAACTGGTCAGGAGGGATCTCATATCCTGGAAGCTCAAATGGCCCCTAAGCAACACAAATATTAGTGACATCTAGAGTATGTATTATCTTTGCTATTTATTATCTATGTGATACTGTTCAAAAAAATGGAATCACTATGCACAAATATTTCAAAAGTGGTGATTCACTTTGCTACGGTTATTATTATATAACAGATTATTATGTAATTTTGTCATTTAATAACTCATTATTGTTCTTGAAATACTTTAATATATTGAATAAAACTGCGTAAAAAGTGAGTAAAAATACCTTTTTTATCTAGTTTGCACTGTTTCAATCTATGTTATACTTCATGTAAAAAAAAATTATTATTACTATGATAAGAGATTTCTGGCTTTTAAACAGTAGCGAACATTATGCATCATCACACAATGAAGACAGAACATGGCTGTGGCTAATCATCTCTACTGGGACAAGGCTGGTCTCTTACTTCATGAAGGGGAAACGCTGCTTTAAAGGCCCCTTCGTTTAACAGTCGAGCCACTCCAACCTCTGCACGCTTCCGTTTGCCGTATACAGTCCTCGCTAGGATCTCATATACCTGGACAGAGAACAAGTAATAACATTAAGGCTATCAGGATTACCCAAATAAACTCAATTAACTGATTTAAAAAATCAAGTAAAATGTAGCTTCTCTATAAATCGACAATAATAAGCAATAATAGGTTAAATTCTTCTACTTGTCTCTCCCACAGAGCACAATGAATGGGCTTATTTATAAGTACATATATGTTTTGCCACATGATGTATTTTTAAAGATTTTGGAAGGAATGCTTTCTAGTTCCTAGTTTACTGCAGTGTTTGAAAAGCTATGTATGGTTTGTTATTCAGTTAAGTACTTTTTATGGTTGCTTAAAAATAAACTTAGATTACTTCATTAATGTACAAAATAAACAAAAGATTACTCAGTTGCTCAAATAAGATGAACAAACATGAACAAATAAGTATAAAAATAGACATAGTCACAGTCCTGAATTACATCTACTCACCATATTCCTACAAATGAAGGCTTTTTAATAAATGAATGAATAATTTTTTAATAAATGAAGTATGGACTCTTGCAAAGTCCATACTTAATTTATTAAAAAGCCTTCATATACAACTTATTCATTTTTCAGTGCTAGAAAAAGCAGAAACCGATTTTTAACAGAAAATTACACAGAGGCCTCAACAACTAAATATAACATCAACATTTTCATTATTAAAGTGTCCACCCTTTGGCTTTATTACAGCTTCCATTCTTTACAGGAGACTTGCTTTCAATTTTTCAAAGAAATCTGAAGGGATATTTTTTCATACCTCCAAAGTTCAGTCTTAAAAGCTGTTGCATTTTCTGCTTCTCATAATCCAAGTAATCCCAAACATACTTCACATCTGAAGCAAGAGTTTGATTTTCTTAAAGATGACAGCTTTAAGTACTGTTTATCTAATGATGACAATTTTGGAAACTCCTTTTACACTTATTTCACTTTTCCTCTTCCTTATGCAAACAGATCACATTATATTTAATCCCCTCAGAAATATCCCATGAAAAATAAAAACTTAATGACCTTTGCACAATACTGTATATCAAACGATGTTCAAACAGTGCACTCACAATGCGATGTCTCTGTGTGTTGGTAAAGTAATTCTCATGGTCCTCAGAGCCCAGAAATCTTATAAAATGATGAGATAAAAACAGCATTAGTTTCACATTCTGAAATAGCAAAAATATCAAACTAATTGCTCAGCCACACAGCATGTGCTCTTACTTTTCCATCTTGGACTTGCGAAAGGCACATGTGTAGTAGTCCACAGGCCTGTTGGGCACAGAGTCTGCCATGATGTTTGGCACGTAGAGTTTTTGGAGAATCTGGGCTGAGGTGTTAAAGTCTGGATGTGGCTGTGCCTGTGGGTAAACAAATAATTTCAGTGTGTTAAACTCCCAGCTCATACTTGTTTACAATAAAACTTCCATTACCTCTGTGATTGCCATGCAGCACTGAGAGATTCTGCACTGGTGCTTGGGGATAATAGCTCTATAAAAGAGAGTAAAATCGAATAGGCTGGAATGGCTGACCTGTAGTGGTGCTCTGAGACACAATTCTTCAGCATAGTACAATAACACATCCCAGGGAGCGCTGAGCTTCAAATAGTGTATTGTTTTTTTCGCACTGGATGATTCCTCCTGGTGACAGAGACAAAACAAAAGACAGCACACAGTTCTTCATTCAGGACCCAGATGAGTACAGAAGAGAAGACAGACTACTGAAGAACAGCAGCACGGATGGCTGCACCTTTTCTAACAGCAGGCCAGCACTCTGGATATTCTGGATGAATTTGTCCCTCCATCGGGCCAGCTGAGCTTTCCTCTTCTCAGATCTGCTCTCCTCCTGAGCAGCCTGCTCTTCTTCCACTTCCTCAGCCTCCCCTCGGCCTTTCCCTCGGGCTCTCCGCTTCCTACGTGACTTCACCTCCCACACCAGCACAAAATCTGCGTCAGACATAACAATTCACAAATATCAAAACTCCTTAACTTAAACAGGAACTCACCAAGTCTTGTGTTGGTTTGGCTCTTATTTGTCTTCATTTTTATTATTTATTTTATAATAAATCTGATTAATTTATAACATGGCATCTACATTTTAAAGGTTTGGATGCTTTTGTTATTTTATCTCTGTAAAATCCCAGGCTTATTATTTTGTAACTGCATCTACTACGATGCAAACTAACGTTAAGCATGATTAATTTTAAGCGTACTGCAAACATTAAGAGAGACAATGTAATCGTGTTCCAGAGGAAACCAAATGCAAAAGAGTTTTTCTAAAGGCAGACAAAAAATTTGCTTTACAATGTAAAATATTCAATTTTACTCCCTTTACAAATTAGCTTTACAATTTGTATAACATTACAGCCTTGTAATGTACAACACTGCAAGGCTGTAATGTTATACACATTAGCAAACAAGGCTGTAATGTTATCCACTATTTGATAGCCATAAATTTTAGAGCTGAACTCTCTTTAAAAGCTCAATAGAGTCTGGCATAAATCCCTGTTTGTTTGTTTGTTTTTTTTGTCTTAGCAAAGTTCTTAGTGCTCTTTACTGCTGAATGATTGTGTGTTTGTTTAGAACATATTCATCATGCAATGTAGTGCTCTCTTGCAGAGATCGTCTCTGCTTTATATGTAGGATTTCCAGTGCTGTGGTGCTGCATCATAGTTACTGAGGTGAAATCTCCATAGGCGCCAGTGCTGCACCAGAGGTGGCGCCAAGAGCAATGAAGCTTGTGAAACCAGAGACAAGCCTCTAAGTCTACTCCTGGGGCACCAGTGGCCTTGCTGAAACAGTTCTTGAAGAATTGCCATTTTAAAGACAAGTGTTATACATGTTGACCAAGAGGTCACGTGTACAGTCTGAGGCCAAAAGGACAGGGGTTCAAGTCTCCTCTGAGGTCTATCTGTTCACATGCCTGGCAGGTCCGTGCCATTTAAGGGGTTAACCATGATGGTGATCTGTGCCTGTGCTATTCATTGTAAAACAAAACAAAACTCTTGCAATATCAGTGCTTTACTGTCAGAACGTAAGCTAATACCAATAAATTCACAGAACCTTCATATCAGTCGCCAATATATTTGTCAGGCCATTACCAACAGTCACTGAAAACAAAGCTGGCTGGCATTTCAGTGGGAAGGTAACATAGGCCTTTTCTTTTATGCAACATATGAGCCAATCAGTTATATGTGTTCGCGCTGACATGCCTAGGAGTCTTCTCCAAGCATCCTGAGGCCATGATGATGTGTTTTTGGCAGCTTTCACATGCATAACAGGTGTCATGGGACTAGACATCTGTCTACCCAGGCTGGTGGTGCTGTTGTACAATGGAGGACAATAAAGCAATAAATAAATAACAAATAAAATTGCGAAGACAAATGGTTACCTATCTTAGTTTTTCCATCTCTGAAGTAGTTGCCCTGGTGGCTGAGCTAGCGGTGTGGCCGGCCTCTCGCAGTGAATGTAGATGGGATCATCATCATCAGCAGCAGCAGCATTCAGCTGGTTATACAAAACAAGCAGAGGTGGTTAATAAGCAGCTTACTTAAATATGATAGGGTAAACTTTTGATCAGCCTTGAAATGACAGTAAATCCAAGCAAATCATGTGAAGGAGATATGGTAATCTAAAGTTTTTGTCTTTAAAACTTCCTGAGTGGCCCATTTAAACATTACTTATCTTGTGTCAGTGTAGAGCAGAGCATGTGACTTAGATATTTTCATAAAACTAAAAAATAGGTGCTTTTTTCCTCCTCATTGGAAATTCTCTCTTGAAAAGTAGCACTGAGATGCCATTATGGATCAGACCATGTGACAAGTGTCTGAGACAGGCAACGAGAGGATAAGTATGGTGCAGTGTCAACTTAAAGGAAATCTAATAAACTGCACTTGCTAGAGTAATTAGTCAGAGGCTTCAAGGAGGGGTTGAATTATTCCACATTGATTGCGTTCATTGCCTTAATGTAACACAGGGGAAAACTGATGGTTTTAGGAGAGGAACATTACAGCCTGACAGAAATATGCCAAGACTGAAACATGTTTTAGCAGAAAAGGTAATAACTATCAATCTAAGTCAAAACCCAACACTGTAGGAAAGCAGTTCTCTAAAGAGTGTGCACACAGATAAAACATTAATGAAGGGCACTCACATATCTGGGTGGGATGAAGCCTCCATTCTGCAGGCTGCCATAGCAGTCCGCTCCATGGGTTTCTCCAGTGTAGTCCAGGTCCAGCAGAACCTCACGGTCCTTCAGCAGGTCCGAGCCTTTCTTCCTCAGCATGAGGCTCAGTGTGTCAGAAGCAGAAACGCGAGCACTCTGAAGTCCAGCGGTCAGCACACACTGCAAGCCCACAAACACAGCAGCTACACAAGCCTATGGAGCCAGTCACACATTCCAGTGCAGACACTCAAACAGAAGCAGTGTTGGATAAATTATGCGAGGAAATGAAATGAGAGGGAAAATGTGCTAATGCATTCCCTCAGAGGAAGGGCTAAGTGGACCAAAGAGAAGAAAATACACTAAGTGCTTCAGTGAAGGGGGAGAGAAGGAGGGGAGAGGGTCTGCCGCAAGCTCTGCCTCTGCCCCTCTCATTCACCGCATCCCTCTATCTCTCCAGCCCTCCATACAGAGAGACAAAAGCACTGAGCTACCGTAACTCTCCTAGCAGAGGAGCCTTATGTCTTCTCATCTCAGACACGCACAGACCAGTTTTTATGCTTTGTGAGGATGCGAGGTCTTACATACGTCCTGTATTAGAAATAAGTGACTATTTAAGAATAACAATTAACAAAAGCACAATACCACTTTTCCTTTTCTGATACAGATCCAATATTTTTCTATAAAAACCACTAAGATTTAAAATGAGCCATTTTTATTGAAGCACTTAAATTAAGATGAGCATCTAAAAGTAGGCTAACACTCTACCACTTCAGTACACAGCTAACAACATGGCATCACATAATGCGTATATGTCATTTTCAGGATAGATTTGTTGCATGACTTAGAACAGAGTCACTTTTTTCACCCTCCAATATTCGACCCAGCATTTTCTGCTAATACTGACTGGTATGAGATTGGTGCCATTGGTGATAACAAAATATCTCATATTCTTTATTTTTCAATTTTTTGTTTTTATGTATCATTTAAACATTGTGTGAATATTTCATGATCATGGACCAATATAAATGCTCCGAAATCACTTTGAATAAAACCTCTCAACATTAACTTAGATTATAAGTTCAACAGAATTTTATTTTCTCTTGTAAAGATATTATTTTGGAGATATATGTTTTTGTAGGACAACTAAAAGGAAGCACCTATATGTAACAATAACAATAATAATAATAATGATAATATATTCAATATGCATTATATATGCAAGTACCTATGTATGTGTTAAATTCATGTAAGTACCTATATGTAACAATGTGCTCAATATGTGTTAAATCTATGTAAGTATCTAAATGTAATAAGCATTTCAGGCATCACACTTTACTCTGATGGTCCCCTGTAGATGATCTAGAGATATTTAAATTATTAACAAACTTTCTCGTGAAGGTTTAGGAGTAGGTGTAGGTTTTGGGGTTGAAGTTAAGTTTAGGGTTAGGTTTAGATTTAATGGAATCTTCTACATGCAATTTCATGTTTAGTTGCATTTTATACACATTTAGTTTAATGTTAAAGACAAACTGAGCATGTGCAAAGCATTTACAGTGGTCTATCAAAATAAAGTGTTACTGAATTTTAATCCTATACTAACCTACAGTTCATTCACAAAATGTTTTGCTCTTTCAGATTAAAAAAAGAATCATGGATCATTTGTAAAAAGCACTTCGCAAAATGTGAGGACCATTTTGGCTGAAAGAGGGTAAGAGAGATACACTGGATTAGACACCACATTTCAGCACTACTTCTAGCTTGTTTTAGTGTAAAACAGAGTACATTTTCCGAAACAATTTTATTTGTGGCTTCAAATAAACATTTTTGTCACTTAAAATATCTTTCTTGAAAGGTATCACCCGTGCACTTCAACCCCTCTCAGTATGAGGGTCCACACTTAAATTCCACAAACTCATAACTTTCATACTGGTTTCATAGTTACTAAACAAAATGCCTGCAGTTTAAGGGGTTGAAACATCATAACTGAAACGTATTAACTGCAATTGTTTACGATGTCACATCACAATCTTACATGCAGAGCCTGTGATCTAGACATTATACATTTTAGACAAAACAAAAATATGTCTGGGGCTCAAAGTTAACATCTTAACTTTGATAGCCACATTAACTTTAACAGTCACATTACTATCAGCTTGTTTCAGTAACAGTCTGATTATATAATAACATATTTTTGGATAAAATACTTAAAAATAACTTTCTTTCAAAGTGGCATATGAGTGGCTGTAGTTCTGCACCAAAGCTTCATCCGAGAAGCTTTGTGCCACTGTCATTTCGCATGCAACCCAGATTTGAGTCACCCTCCTCTTATTTCTCATTCATGCTCAATTCGACATTTGCTGCCTTTGGGTTGCTGCTAAAATATGTACTAAAATCTCCATATGATTTTACTTCACAACTTTCACTTAGGCCCAGGCGACCACCACACTCCCTCTCTTGCTCTCTCTACTGCGTTAATATTTCACACTTTCCAGCGATGTTACTGCAGCAATGCAGAGCAAGGGGGTGGGTGTCTTGGATACTAGGTGGGAAAAAAAAGTGAAGGAGGGAAATACACTGTCCAATGACCTGCAAGGCAAATAGAAACAGACATGATGAGTTTCTGAACACCACATTCCTTACTATAAAACTATTTATAGTTCATAATCACTGAAAAGAAACGGTGGTGTTTTTTTAAGGAGGAAATTCCCTGACAAACCTGAAAAATGCCTACTTGTGTAATGCGAAATACCACAAACGTTCTGAATGCCACAGGAATTAAGCAGTTTCCATTTGGCCTATTACCTGTTTAAGTTGCTATGCATGGCACCAGTCCAGAAAGCAGGTAGAGTAAGTTTCTTCTACGTACTTTCTCACTGAAAAGAAAAGCAACAGAGGTGTTCTCAGCTCGCTCACGGCCGCAATGGATTCTGATATACTGAAAGACGAGAGAATTAAATGTGGGATTTGTAACGATTTCTTCAAAGATCCCACAACCATACCATGTGGACACAACTTCTGTATGGAGTGTATTTCAAAACAATGGGACATGGAGCTCTATGAGGTTTATAACTGTCCCAAATGTTCTAAATCTTTTATGACGAGACCAGAGTTATCAAGGAATGAGACTCTTTGCGTCATTGGGAACAAGCTTCAAAGACTTAGATTAAAAGACGGCGCTCAGGACGGTGTGGTTGCAGAACTTAAAAAGAAGAATCAAAAGCCACAACCACAGCTTCAAGACAAAATGAAGGCGAAAGAAAAATTGCAGAAGATGATGTGCCCCCAACATGAAAGATTACTGAACTTTTACTGCAGGGACGACAAGCAGTGCATCTGTGAACAGTGTACTCTTTCTGAACACATGGGACACAACACGGTAACAGCTGTGGAGGAGAGGAAAGAGAGGGAGGTAAGTCATTCATTTATTATTGCTAAAGGCTAAACAGTGATTTGTTAACAAAACTGAATGTACATTTTCATGTTTAAAGTGTGATTTCAAGCCGTTTCCTCACCACTGTCATGTCGTTCTCAAACATGTTATAATAAAACAGCCGAGGGACATCGGCTATCAGTTAAGTATTAATTATTAAGTATGTATCAATACATACTTAAAAAAAAGATGTTTCTTCAAGGGTTCTTTTACGGAAGTCCAGAGAGGCCATGAGCTGTTGCTATATTTTCTGGATTGTTATCTTGATATAACAAGATATGTAACTCGTTATTTCAAGATAACAATTTTGCCATCTTGAGATAACAAGATAAGTAACTCATTATTTCAAGATAACATGGCCTCTCTGGACTTCTTTAGTAAAAACTACAGAGAACCATTTGATGCTTAAATTGTTCTTTGTATTGTGAAATGGTTCTTCAGATTGATTAACTATCGTCTCTATGGTCTTTAATAGTAATTTTTGTAAATAGCTCTACATAGCACCAAAAATGGTTCTTCTACTGTTACGAGCTTGACACCGTAACATTAGAAGAAACAATTTTGGTGCTATATAGAACCATTTTCAAAAAGGTTCTATATAAAATATATACTACACATTCTCCACCAATCTGAAGAACCATTTCACCATGAAAAGAACCATTTAAGCATGAAATAGCTTCATATGCAGCCCATGGTTCTAAACAGAACCACTGTTTTTACTAAAGAACCCTTGAAGAAACATCTTTTTTTTTTTACGTGTGTAGGATTTCATGTCAGATGACTAAGAAAGGCTGCCTCTTCAGATGAGCTAATGAGCTAACAGAGCTAACCAGTGTCCAGCTGGATGCTGATGAAGAGTCATTGATTTTTAAGGACAATGTGTTAACATGTTATTTTTCTAAGAAATATATCATTCGGTTCGTTGTTTCTGGCCTAGCTAATATTAGCTAAAGCAGTTAGCCTAGCTAGCTAATGAGACAGCTACATCGCGCTGACGTTACGAGGTTTAAGCAGAGCCGGTTTATGAGGAGCCTGGCCGCTTCCTACTCCCCCCATTATATCAAAAACAGGACTGCTAAACAGCAGAGGGCGCCCGCGAGCGAGTCCTCAATGAATGGGAGTAAATGGCGCTCAACGGCTAAAAACGAAAAGTTAAAATAGTTTCTAATCACTCGCCCAGAACGTTTCTTTAATTTATAAAGTAGAAGGATGTATTTCACTAAGAAACAAAGAAATATTTCCTTTTTTCTACAGCAAACGTGTTTTGGGCAGCAGAAGGCGGGCATTACTGCTAGAGTGTGATGATTGATTGGCGAGCGGAGCAGCTCATTGGCTGTTCGCGCTTACTGACGTCATGAATATACATGATGCGCCGTTTTAAACTCTTATAGCTCGAGTTTAAAAGCTCTTAAAAATATCACAACGGTGTTAAAATGTTTTATGATGTTAAGTGTTCAGGATATGATTATATTCTTTTACATTAAAAATGTTTAAGCATTTATAAACTATGATTTTGCTCAAATGCTCCATATCAACCCATTCATTTTGGACTCACTCGGGAGCGCCCTCTAGCGTTTGAAAATCCCGGCAGACATTCCAGAGTGGTACTTTTCCTCTCTACAAGTTCACTGGTTTAAGCTGATTTTCCATTCGCCATTTTCCTGTTCTAATTTTCCCGCCCCTCGTGTTGACGTTCGGACACACAGTGTAAACTAACTACATTCTTACTCACAAATGCGAGCAAAACCGTCGTGTCTCATTCAACTGTGAGCCTGTATGTTTGTGTCTTTCCCCGGTGAAACGTAACGGATACCCGGATGGTGATTTTAGTATTAGATTACCGACACCTCGAACCGTTAACCGAGAACTCCAGCACCGGGTACAGCCCCAACTAAAGCCGCGGTCACACCGAATGTGCAAGTAAAACCTGCCTGTATAAAAAGTCAATTTATTTAGTAAAGGAAAAGGGCACGAAAACGAGAAAAATGAATTCGCTTCCATGACCTTCAACCCTGCGAACCTCGGAAGCGTCGGCCAAAGAAAACGAGGGCGAGCTGTGATAACTGTTTTGGAAACTGCTCCTCGGTGAACGTAATGCCGCTCGTCACTAACAGTTACAGAGAAGACAGTAGTTAAAGATGTAACATTAACCATTTGCTGAACTCTGTATTCCCTCCAAAACCCCATCCTGACCGCCTGTACTCGCCTGATTCTTCTCCACCCCGCGAAGTAAACAGCCAGGCTGGTGTTACCGCGGCTGCATAGTACTAAACAGTGGTGTTAACGTGTTAAAACGCGTTAACGCGAGAAATTATTAACACCACTAGTTTTCAACGCTTCTTAGGCATTTTCCTAAAATAATAATTAGGAAAATGCTAAATACTTATAATAATCACACACATAGTGATTGTAATTTCAACACAACTTTAAAACAATGTTTTCATAAAGAAAGGGAAAATTAAACTTTTGTACAGGTTTGATATTTTACTTATGTAAATTACACTTTTAAAAAGCAAATATTTGAGATACTATTATATGACGAAGCCAAATTAGGTTAATAAATCATCATTTCATTTAGTCCCACCTCCTGACTGCAATTTCAATCTTTGTCTAGCGAAAGGTTAAAGAATGTCTTCAGAAGGCAGGAAAAGAAATACACGAGCGAGAGTTAAACTTGCAAAAGATATCCAACACGTTCGAGCATATAAAGGTAAGTGGCATATCGGTTTAAAAGCCATACACTGTGTTGTATAGAGTGCTGAAAAGAAGCGTCCTAAAATAAACTAACTGAAATCAACTGGACAGGACTCCTCCACTCGTGCAGTGGACGCCAACCGAAGTGTGTTCTCTGAGCTCACAGCGACCCTGGAGAAAATGAAGGAAGAGCTGAATAAGATCATCCAAGAGCAAGAGAAGGTTTTGCTTAGCCAGGCGCAGTTGGAGGAGAAACAGCAGAAACTGGCCATATGGTCACTGCAAACAATGGTTACTGAACTGGAGGCACTCTCACACGTAAAGGATGACATCTCCTTCATCACGGTAACGTTGAGGAGCTAAACTCAGCACACTTCTATATCTATACATCTCACGGCTTTAGCAGCAGTGAGATGTATAGATATTTCACATACATATACATCGGTATTTAAGACTCATCTTTGGCTGACTGAGTCATGGGTTTCAGTCAAGTTTGATGGCTTTTTGTAGTGGGGCTTTATTTTCCTCACAAACACTAAACACCCACATTATGGGTTTTATAATTAAGACTGTGGCTTTATCATCTGTGCACTGCAAGATTATTTGGTGTTTTCATTGCCATAAAGTTTTGATTTTATTGCACTTATAATTAGTATAATTTATTGAACAAATACATTAGTAGATCAGTTTAACTTAAATGTAAATTTTAAGGCAGCCATATTACTTACTTTTTAGTTAGAGCAAAAAACTTTTTATAACTCATTTCCTACCCTCGAAGGCTGACCTTTCACACTTAAAAATGGTTCTTCAAGGGTTCTTCAGTAAAGGCAATGGTTATATAATACTGTGCAGAAGTCAGAGACCACTGTTCATTAATCTAATGTAGTACAAGTTGATTTTTAGGAGATTTTCCTCTAGAGATATTACATAGTTCACTTGCATAAGGGAAAAAAAAACAATGTTAAAGAAAAGAAAGTGGCAAAAAAACAGGATTTTCTGATTTCAAAAAATTATTAAAAGATGCAGAGAAAATCCAGAAGTGTTTCTGTCGATCATTTCACTGTGAGAACAACACACTGCTATGGGTCTGAAAGGATGTGTAGCTGTCAAGAAGCCCTTGCTAAGAAAAAGAAATAGACAAAAAGAAGACAGTATGCAAATCAAACAAAGAAGCTGCAGGTGTTCCTAGAAAATGAATGAACTGACCGCCCCAGAGTCCAAACCTCAACGTCACTGAATGTGTTTGGGATTTCGTTTGTGAGAAGCAGAAAATGCCACCAACTTCTAAGACTGAGCTTTGGAGGCATAGAAAAACATGAAAGCAAGTCTCCCAACAAGAATGGAAGCTGTAATAAAGGCACAATAAATGCTAAAAAAATACTTATCATATTATTATCATATTTAGGTGTTGAGTTTTGTGTGTAATTGTCTTTTACATATGCGTTTTGTGCTTTTTTTACTAGGAGATTAAATAAATGAATGGTGGGCTCTGACTTGCACAGTACTGTATGTAGAACCGTGAACACTCAAAAAAACATTTGAATGCATACATGTTTTTTTTCATTCTCTATGGTAGAAATCCTGTTGAATAAGGTTCTTTGGTTCTATATAGCACCAACAAAGGGTTCCACTATTGATGCCTTATTCTATACCTTTTTTTAGTGCTTATTTAGAATGACTTCACATTTAGACCTTACCGTCAACATTTCCAGGTGTGCCTCAGGCAGTAAACCTCTTCCTCCATTCATTTTATTTCACAGAAATCACAGCCAGTTGTCAGTCAACAGGAAGCAGATCCAGTTACTATTCACGTTAACGAAAACCTTTCCTTTGAGTTTGTGACTGTGGCTTTAAATAAAGTGAAAGAAATGCTGGAGGACGGCTGCAAAGTTGCAATAGAAAACATCCAGCAAACAGGTAACTTTCTACTTTTGAATAACTAGACTTCTTGAAAAACAATGAAATAATAAGTGTGCAAACTTACCAGGTTAACCTTTTGTTTTCTAACAAATAAAATATATTTTATTTTCCAGTCAGAAACGTGCCACTTGTGAAAGTTTCTGTGGAAAACCAGAGACATCCTGACAGACAAGGTAGACCTTTACTCATACAATAGTAAAGCAACTTGCGGAAAAGCTTTTAAGTTCACGATCAATCAATTCCGTTTTTCTGTCTCTTGCAGTGCGGCGAAAATTCTCAAACGTTTCAGGCCTCAGACCACAAATTGAGTGTGAGTTTAAACATTATAAATGATTAAGGACAACAACAAATAAACTCAGGTTTCACTTGTTTGTCAAGAACAAAAAAAAAAAAGTCATAATGCCTACTAATATAATTAATGCATATACAGCTGGGTGACAAAGGCAAAACCTGAATAAATAAGTGGAGAAACATAAGTGTAGTCTAAGGGGGCCACACATGATCTTGTAACAGGAACCTCTGGGGACACCCATGTAACAGTTTAGCTAAGCTCACATTACAAGCCTCATTGCTGAAATCCGATCCCTCCGACACGATGGTTCACACTCGTTTAGGTAAGTGATTCAAATCTGTCACTAATGTGAATGAACCAGCATCCTGAAATGACCCGCATGTTCACTTCCTGCTCAGTAACATCACGTGAATGAATCACGTGCATCATCAGCAAACAAACTAACGAGCAGAACGAGCTTCACTGCAAAGATAATTAGCTCTGATCAGCTCTCAGCTGTTCATTATTAGAGCGAGACGAAGGTGAAAAAGATGAGATGTGCTGCTTTTCCTCCGTTTACAGGCTTTAACGTATGTTCAGCGCTGTTGCCATGGTAACGCTGAATGATGGCGCACGCGCATTGCAACAAACTGTAAATGAATTCCGATCTGAGCGTTCACATTAAGGTCACATGGCCACGAATCGGATACAAATCCGATCTAGGAGCACATATGAAAGTGGCTCAGGTCGGATTTGATAATATCCGATTTGCGTGTTCACACAGCCCTGAAAACATAAGATCTGAGCCACATTAGGGCAAAAAATGTGGTATGATGAAACATTTCTATCCTGATGGGACTCTTCCAGGATGATATTGCCCCCATTCATGGGGCTTAAGTGGGTCATTGAATGGTTTAGTGTAAAAATGATGAAAATCATATGCCATGGCCTTCATTCTCGTCTCAGTGGGAGATTTTGGACTGATATGTTAGACAACACTCTTTATCACCATCTAGAAAACACAAATTAAAGGAACATCTTTCTGGATGAATGGTGTCTGGATGAAGACACTTTATGTTGGTTTTCCTTTTGTCACCCATCTGTATGTTAATTAACTAGTTGCCATGTAAATGAGACATGAGGTTATTAGTAGGAATAACAGTCTTCTTTAAAAGTCTTCTTTAAATGAAAAAAACTGTTATTAGTACTAGTATTGATAACTGTTGTTCTCCTTGACTAGTGCTACAGCCAAATATACCGACGAGAAGACAAGATTTCATGAGATGTAAGTTTTTCCATAAAATAACTAACATGAAGAATTTTTAACAGTGGAGTTGTGGCTTTAACAGTGATCCAGTTGCTCCCAGTTATGATCCCATGGTTAGCAACCCAGTTCAACATTTTTATGTGCTGTGGTTGAGTTCAGCCAAGTAACTTCTGAAACAATGTTTGCTTCTGTCATTGACTTATTGCTTTTGGGTTAGCAGGCTTAAATAATGATGGAGATAAAAGACAAAAGAACAGCAAGAAATGTGGATGCTTAAAGAAAGAATTCGTAATATCTCCATTTTTCTGTTCTTATCTCTGTAGATGCGTGCTCACTGACACTGGATGTTGACACTGCACATCCGTCTCTGACCATCACTGATGACAACACAAGAGTATATGTCAAAAAACAGAGACCAAAATCTTCTCTAAAAAGATTTGACTGCTGGGAACAAGTGCTAGGCAAAGAGGGCCTCAGAGGAGGGCGCTTTTACTGGGAGGTTGAGTGGTCAGGAAAGGGTGTGTTCATTGGGATGGCACTGGAAGGCATTGCTAGGAAAGGTGAAGGAGCGGAATGTGGGATAGGACGCAACATCAACTCCTGGTGTTTGCAGTGCTCTAATGTCAGTTACTCTGCCTGGCACAATGATGTCACAACGGCTATTGCAGTTAATGTCTCTTCACCCAGAATAGGAATCTACTTAGACAACAACGCAGGTAGTCTTACGTTCTACAGCGTCTCAGATAAATTGACCCTCCTGCACAGGTTTACCTCAGAGAACTTTTCCGGGCCTTTGTATCCAGCTTTCGGTCTTGGTCTCGGCCTTGGGCTGCAGTCATGGATAAGAATCTACAAATTATGAAAACATATGAGAAATATGGCAAAAACAGTGGATAAAACAAAAGATTACAGTGTAGCAGGCGATGACCATGGATGACAAGGAAAAGAAAACAAATTTTTCACCTTTGCCAACTTTTTTTCCCCACTCTGACTTTTATTGTAAGGTTATTTTCTGTTCTAGTGCTATCTTCCTTGTAACCAGCAGCAGGGTGATAATACACAGCAGAAGAAGTGTTATTACACCAAGGAAACACAAAACTGCTAATTACAATTTCTTAAAAGCAGTATGTTGGAAGTATTATATAATGTTCACAAATTCAATTTCTTTTTAAATCAATAAACTATCCAAAGAACATTAATCACACTGTGCCATCCTGACTTTCCAGCCGTTCTTTATAGAACGCATGAACCACTTAGATTAACTTTTACTCACATTCTTAGCATTATCTTATGTTTTTTTACTTATTGATTTCACACATGGGAGCCACAACACAGCATGGATCATCAGCAAAAAGGATCGTCTGATGCAAAGCAAAATTAGAATAATAACATTCAAAAAGTGTTAAATTTTTTCTGGATTTTTTTGTGCAAAATGAACAATACTGTTCCATTTCTGTAAGGCTCTAAATTTTATAATTGTTCAAGTAAATATTATGCAAGATTTTTAAATGTTCTTCTCAGACCAAACTTTATTCCAAGAGACCTCTGTAAAACAAGAACTCCAAAATGATGTCCCTCGAGGCAGAATTTTCTTTTTCTTAAAGAAAGTAATGTGTTTATTAGAGCAGTTCTTACTCCTGAAGTTCTTACTCCTTTGCTTAATATAAAGAAATGATGACATGATGTAACTTCCAGGCCAATAAGGCTTGCTACTTCAGGAGGTGAAGAAAAGGCCTAATGTGTTGGATTATGATGTGTCAAAGGAATCAATCAATCAATCACGTTTTGATTTCCAGTGACTAATTTCATAACACGTCACTCTAAGCTTTGTGGAAGTCTTAGATACATAACTGTGAATATGATTGTTATAAATAGAAAAAGTTGCAGCAGCTATATAGCAGAGCTCTGTACTGAAAGATTCACTGTGAAACTGCTGCAAGGTAAACTGTAAGCTAATATATGCGTAACAAGCTTCAAATAAAATATGCAATGTCTTTTAGAAGCTTCAGATGTGTTTTTTAAAGTTTCCAACCCATTTGAAACAGTGCAGCAGTTACATTGTAGTGCCAACTAATTTTCTGCTCCACCGTAAACACTGCTGCAGTTAAGATTCTGCTGCCCAAATGCGGCAGAATGTACCTGCTGGACCGTCTGAGGTGGAGCGGAAAATTTGATCAAGAAGCTGACTTCAGCCTCATCAGGAACTGTTCGAGCGAATCGCCATTAGCTGAGTGCTGACAAACTACTAAAATTCTATAGGGACCCTACCAGAAATTAGGATTATCGTTGAGGTAGGTTTTTGATATTTATGGCACAAATTGAAGGCCTGGCTCTAATGGTCATGGCTTGCCACTGTGTGTCATATATATATATATATATATATATATATATATATATATATATATATATATATATATATATATATATATATATATAATATTTTTGTTACTTTTAATACATAACTCAAAGTAATAAAAAAATATATAGTCCTGCTGTGTCTGAAAACACTGCAAATTCTACATCACTGAATCAAATACTGTCCATCAATGAGTCTATGGATATATTTGAGATTTGTTTATTTATTATTTACGAAAAGAAGGTATGAACATTAAAAGATAAATCAGCACATGCAGTGTTTAGGGAAAGTAAGTGTTAGACTGAATTACTTCTTTTTTGACATCGTCATCAGATATAAATAAAAAAGCAACTAAATACAAAACAAAGAATATGTACATATACATTAAAATACATGTAAAATGCTTCTGTACGATTTTAATGTGCCAAATGTAATCCATCATTGCCCAGCAATGTCCAAATACACAAGTCCATCACGGTTAATTTGAACAAACTTCAACACCATTTCCATCATAGTCATAACAGGCTAGCAAACATTTTCCAAAATGTACTCAAGTAAACTTTCTTTTAAACCACTGAACATTTGACCACTGGAGGAATTTCTAGTGTGCACTCCGCCTAACAGTAAGCTAGAATCACAGAATGGTTGTGCATTTCATCTAAAAAAAGGAAATGCCTGACAATGTAACTGCAACAAAAACGCGTGGAAAATGTTCATTATTTTCATTCGTAACCCAAGAAGCTAAACACTGTTCTTATGGCATGAATAGGTGAAGAATAAGAGCGAAAACACTGTCCGCAAATATAGATAAACTAATATTTGAGGACAATGTTGAGACAGTATACCATAATGTACTCAAGTGCAAAATCAAGAATCAAACTGGTTCAATGGGGCCCAGCATAGGCTATTAATTGCGCATAGATGAAACAGAAGGCCTATGTATGTAAAAGTCAAACTAAAACAACAACCCTAAAAAAACAAGAATAATATCTGTCAGTCTCAAAATCAGACCAGATTAGTCAATACAGGAGCAGAGGCTCAAATAGGTAATTCCATAGATATTTCAAAATGTCTGCATAATTCAATACCTAAGATATAAACAAAGTCATTTAGAGTGTTTTGTGTGAAAAGGTTCATTGTAGAGAAACTTACTGACCCAGATTTCTTTACAGTGGTATTGATATGAACCAGGGATCACAATGTTTATAGCACCATTTTACCTACATGTGTCCTGTGTTTTTATATGTAATGTACCTTACCATGAATGTGTTTGAAAGAAAAAAAAAAAAATGTAGCCAAAACATATCATAGAACAATGTCTCAGACAACAGGCAGCATGTTCGTAAGCATTTCATGCTGTGATTTTTTGTGATTAAGCTTTGCGAGGCAGTAAACTCTCCAGATGTCTGGTTCCTATCACCACCACTGTGAACAATTCTGACTCTATAAGTCTGTAAGAACATTCCACATCAAACCACTCAATTTGTTTACATCTTAATGTCTCAGTGACTTAATTATGCAAACATTTTGAAAAACTGGTGGAATTTCCCTGATAGAACATAAACAAGATAAAATTGTAAATAAAACTGATGTGCTCCTCTTTACAACAAAGAGAAGATGTGCCTGCAAGTGTACAGCCAAAAGACAAGGTAAACGAACAAAATAAAAGTATGCAATACTGTGCACAGAAATATTCACATTATAGGTCTGCTGTCAGTGCCAATACACTGTGGATGGGCTGGGTGTATAATTACATACCACTAACATCTGTTTAAGGTACATAAAGGTTTTTTTAGGATGCCTCACTATCTGGTAGTGAATAAGGACTTAAAAACACTCCAAATTTTGTTTTAAGAATGCACCTGCATAACATGACCAATTGGTTTAAAACAACAGAAAAAATGAATGTAAAAAATTATCAGAACAGTTTCAGACAGCCAGACAACCTAAATATCTAAACAGCCTAATTATAATGCTCTTAGCCACTATCCCATAGCAATCACATTCATCCCATTAATAAAATCAGTACAGCTTAATAAAAAAAAAAAGTGCAATCTTGCATTATGGCGCAAGCAAACGTTAGTTTATAAACTGCTCCCTCTCTTTGTTCTCTTCATCTCCACACAGGCTGAATTTGGCAAGCTGGCTTGACTCGTACATTCAGTATCAATAACCGTAACCTTCCTCTAGCAGCCAGAAAATAATTTTAAACAACTGGACCGAACGTTGCTGTAACAGTCAAGACAGTAAACTTTCTTCACTCAAGTCCATCAGCAACAAGTACCTCTGTATACATAATATGGATTTTAGTGAGGTATTCATCAATAGAAAGACTTTTACAAGCAGGAACATAATATGAACAGTATAGGCATTCAATTACTGTGTATTTACACTGTACACATTCTGTACATTTGTGATGCAGGTTTTGGGTTTCTCTTTGTTGAGCCAATAACTGTGTGCACAGTGTTGACAGCGCATTGAGGGGTTTTCTGTATTTCATTTGTTTGTCCTCTCCATTTCTGAAAGTGTAAGGTTTAGTATTCTGCAAGTCCTTTCATTAAATATTTGTGCAAGGCAAAGCAGGTGTAAACAAAATGATACCGCAGGATCAGCACAATATTACTGAAGTTTTTCCCATGCTCCCAACATTTTCTCTTCGATTTTGATCCTTGTCATGGATTTGTCAATGTCAGCTCACTGGTGAACAAGGTTTGTTCCTGTCAAACACGAAGCCTGCTGTTCATACCTATGTTAATAGTGGGAGTATTAGTGAAGGCCCTGTTGTGTCCTATATTGTGTTCCTTTAGAGTGAGTGATGGGCTCTCAGCACCAGGGCTCTCTCTGGGATCTGCCTCGGTGCAGACTGTCACTTCTCTGCCAGGCACTCCTCATTAGCTCCAGCGCCTCCTTGCACCTCTTCTGGACTGACATGTCTGACACAGTCTTACGAGGTAGACACACCTTAAAGGAAGAAAGGGAGAAGACACAATTAAGGGATTGAGGTTATTAGTTCAGACAAAAGCCTGTTAGCCTGCTTACACTGGAAATGCAGTGCTAAATCTAGGCCATTTTTTTTTTAAAGGACTTGACAGTTACTTGACAAGAACCAGTTTTCTGAAACGCTTAATGCCTCTAAACACAGAAAGCTATTATGAGAAATGGTTACCAATATTTTGCTTGATGCTTGGGAGCTTGTTTTACGATAGTTCTAAGAGAAGGTTTTGGCCTAAAACATACTGTAAAATATATTCTGTATGGAAAAGTACATGCAGGCAAATTAGTACCCAAAGAAAACTTTTTTCAGATTTACTGCTATTGTACCATTACCACCATAACATATATAAAAGAATGTGGATCTAGGTTAACTATCTAGGTGTGGATCATGTTGGATAGTAATTAAAATGGCTATATTTGTAGACATTGCACTGGTTCAGATAATACTTAAAATGGCTAAATTTGTGTTATAGACGTTCTGACCCTTGGTTCCTTTAAGCAGCACTGTAAAGAAATCTTAGTAAGTATGTCTACGATGCACCATCTCCGGTCAAACCACGCTGAATGTTTACATCTGAACGACTGAACTACACAGACATTTAAAAAAAAATAGAAAAAGACAACTCATCTTTAAAGTTTTAAAAAATGCTAGAAGTTTAAAAAAAAGCTAGACTGCACTCATTTGTTAGGATTTCAAACGGTTTGGTGTGCTTACGCCAATCTTTTACAGGAATACAGGCTAAACTAGTAAACTTGTCCAAAAACACTGTCATAGTTAATAGCAAGAACATGTAAAATGCATCTAAACCTTATCTTCAGAGAACATCCTATAGGACAAAAAACCACACATGAAGAGAAAGGATAGTAAATATAGTAAAAATAAAACATATCTGCCAATTTTATCAGTTATGTGAATTGGTGCTAAATTTTCACATCAGTCCTAATTGCTTAATGTAATAAAAATAAGGTGATCGTCTTTCTCTGTCAAATTAAGGCTATTCAAGATTAACCGCTATAAAGCCAAAAAAAACAAAACAAAACAAACACAGCATTAGTTCATGAAGTACCATCATACCTTTCCTGACATTCATACCTGGAAAACAGATGTCCACAGAATGTCAAGTTCTTCCAGGAGCCGATCCCTCTCCCCACAACCACTAAAATACAGGACCCAAGGAGGCAGGAAATGAGCCCGGTCGGCTGCAAACTCCTACAGATGGATGGTAGAAAGGAAGCAATTCGAGGAGAGTAATTCAAGCTTGAATTTATGAATCTATAGTTAACTGGGGTTAATAATTAACACATATAAATATGAACAAAATACAACATAAGGCCACCAGTAACAGGTTGGTTTATCAGGATTCACTGCTATAGTGACCTTTTATTTCATAACTTTAGCACTTTAAAAGGCCTTGACAAGCAAATGGTCTAAAAGGATGTTTGCTCTTACGATGACACAATACTCTTTATCCTCCTCGAGGCAAACCGCTGTGACGTCACTGATGTCAGCACCACCAAGTGAACGGAAAAAACTGGTCTGGCAATCCTGATGACATGTCAACAGCTTCTTGTCTGTAAGAACAAGGCAGCATGGGATACAAGGCGTGGGTGCTACTCCCTGTGGAATCACCTGAGGGATAAAAAGATAAAAAACAAAACAAAACACAAGCATTAGAAAAGTATCTATATATTGTAAATAAACAAATCTATACCTGATCCAACTCTGCTGAGCTTAGAATACAAATGCCTTTTGTTCAAATGCAAATAGCGTAGGAGGACAGACTACAGCTTATGTCTAGTTAGGACACATAACCACACATAACCAGCCTTGTGTGGAATATTGATATTGCCAATGCTGTAAAATAAACAGTGTTATTCCTACTTTGAATAATAGTGGGGTTTTGTGCTATGCAGCAGTAATGCTTCTAGAAAAACAGCAGCACAGGCCAGAGAGCAGTGCTGTGCAGTGCCAAGGTCGGACTCACCCCTTTGGACACAGCCTGACAGATGAGCTGCATCCAGTCTGCCATGTCCAGCTCATTCTCAGCACTCAGCTCCAGAGGAGGACGTGCTGTTAGAATCACCTGAAACGCGTGTGGCCTTTCTGTGCTGTTTGAGCGCCTGCAGCCTCCACAGTGCTCACCCCTACAGTTCGCATTCACAAAGAAAAAATATATCCATATACATGCATTTAACATAATAATTAGCATAGTATGCTATATTTTAAGGTTTCTCTGATATTCTTATATGAAACAATGCCTTTGTTTTGACTTTACATGTCATATACTTCCATATTTAGGCTTACACATTAGATGGAATGACTGCTTTAAATTGGGTATCATTGTAAGCCGTTTTAAACGTCACTAAAGGGGTGTGTGAATTAAACATTTCAAATTAAGTGTGCTGAACTAGCTTAATCAAACTGCATTCTATACATAATTGACACCTAAAGTGAATGCAGGGCATAATTCAAGCACTCGTAGGAGTAGCATGTAAGGAGGGACCCATCAATTAAACCATGAACTTTGCTCTGAAATATCTTGTTTCATTAAAATGAACTAATGTCTGTAACATGAAGAAAAAAAAAACACTATTTTCTGAGAATATTAATGGTCTAATGCTCTAAACTCATGAAAATATTAACATAAGACTTTGAATAAGAATTATTCCAGTAAGCAAAGCGTCATTTAACTGAACATTTTGAAGTCTATGAATATAAGCCATATAAGATTATACTGACCAAACCAGCACTAAATCTGACCCTATAATACAGGACATGTAGGTGAGTGTACAAGTGATCATTTTCACAGCTTTACACAAGTGTTCACCAGTATAAATACTAGAGATGTCAAGCAATTAAAATTATTAATTGCAATTAAATACACTGTATCATGTAGTTTTGTAGAAAGATTTTTTTCCATGCATGATGCTCTGCATTTTGTTATAGCTATATGGCTGAACAGAATAAGCTTAATTATAATGTATTTATTACTTCTCCTAATTCAATAACATTATTTTTCTTTATGTTTAATGCAGGGTTCACATAAACCTGAACATGCAGTTTGCATAGAGAGAACAGTTTTATCACCAACATCCAGTGACAGCACAGTCTATTATTATTATTATTATCATTATGTATTTTATTCTAGTTCATTTCATTATGCCCTTTATAAGCTCTGAGCTCTCAGATCATGACTGCTAATTTGATAGGTTTACACAATGTGGGTCACTCAGATATTAAAGGCTGTTCACTAGGATAGGGTTTGGTTTGTATTAACACTTGAATTCAATTCATAAAAGACACCAAACTGTAATCTGGTGAAAAAAGAAAAAGCTATTGTCTCAGGATTGAGTGCTTACCCCATGGTAATTGACATCAACGGAGTAACATCAGTCCTCTCAGCATACTGGTAGAGGATGCCATTACTGAAGAGTCCGATATACGAGTCACATACAAAGAAAAAAAACACATAAAAATGTAAACTTTATACATAAATACATGATATATCTAAAATGCACAAATATATGACCAAATACTCTGGTATACTGTGATCTTATGTTCAGCAGGCACCAAGTCATATTCATCAATTCTTTTAGCATCTTTTACTGATCCTTTTTTTGCTACTTGAATATCTGTACATTTAGACAAGCAATATCCAAATATACCAACAAAAAATACTTCATATTGCATTGAATTATATGTCCAAACACTGAATGTTTAACATTGCACGATACAAGGGCTGTGTGAATTGCACAGTGTTGAAATAAAGCTAAGTAATCTTGGTGACTGTGCCATGAGGTCATTTGCAAGTCATAGTGTTTACTGTGCGCAGTACATGACCGCTTGTTTGCTCTAGCTCTACTTAGATATTGCCATTTTGCTCAAAATGAGATACTACTGTTTGTGTTCCCACATTCTCTGTGATTCTACAGTTTAAAACAAAAAAAATGATAAGATGCTACACAATTTGTTTATTTTTTTTTCTAAATTACAAACCACCTCTGCCTTCTTGGAATACAAGATTAGGTAACCAGATACTAAGATGAGTTTAAATGTCAGTATATTCTAAAAAGTGCACCAGAACACAGTCTAGGCAACTTATATTGAACATCGGCGACTTGGTGTTTCTCCTGTACCTAAGCACAAGATAACAGCTCTTCCACAGCTCCTTCCCCAGATAAGAAGTCCCTGCACGGTATAGAAGAGCACCCTCCTTGGTGCTACGTGATATTCCTGAGCCTGATGGGGAGGTTGCAGAGCCCAAAGACACATCCATGGGGTCCTCCCAGTGAACCAGGGAATACAGACGGATACTGACCTCCGACACCTGCACACATTCAGACAGCATATCTCCAGTGCAGGAACGAGGAGACCTGAACACTAGACACTATCTACAGACAGGCAGGTTCTCATGATAATACTAGAGACAGGCGACATTTCCTTAACTTGGCTCCTAGTACATCTGTACTGAATGTTCTTTTTGGCTTTGTTTAGGTGTGTTGGGAACTGGGAAAGAGCAAAAATATGGACTGTCTGGTGGGCCCCAAGGGTAGCGCTGGAGCCACGAGTCCAACAAACACTAGAAGTCAATAGTTACCCAAATCATTTTTGTAAATACACAGCCAACACTCCTAACAACCCGCTCAAACTGCATCTAGTTCTTCATTAAGGTCGCACACACTTGTCGTTGTGGTCTAGAACACAGTATGGCTTACAGTAAACTATCAAAATAAACAAACCATCATCAATGCATCTGAAGTCATTGCAGACAACAGGTGTTGTGCAAATCGCTTTTGCATGCATGCATATCACACAAGCATATGGATGCTATTGAGGAGATGAAGTTTATCTCTCATAATCAAATCTGAGTTATGTTTACATAGAATATTTTGCTTAAGAATACATGTCTTACACCAAGGAATAACAGTTCTTTGGCTTTTAGGTCTCTGTGAGGCCTGTGAAATTGTTCCTTGAGAAAGACGCTGTGACGCGAGATATAGACTTTATGCCTATCTCCAATCTATCTGTCCAGAAATGACAGCAGCCAATGGTACACGAGCTGGAACTGGGTATTATTCATTATATAACTGGACGAAAAGTGATCATTTAGGAACCTTCAAGACCTTTGGGCCCTGTCTGAAAGTGACTCTTGTTGACGTCATGATGATGCATGTGAGGGACACTATCTTTGATGACTGAGTATCACTAATGGCACTGTGTTCAGTTATATTTCTGAAACAGTCCAAGTCTGCATAAAAATAGTTTTGTTTAATTATGAACCAGCAACTATATATGTAGACTGTCTATTTTACACATAATTTACATAAAACTACACCGATCAGGCATAACATTATGACCACGCTCATTGTCCATTTTATCAGCTCCACTTACTATATAGGTGCACTTTGTGACACAGAGCAGGTACTATTTGGGTGGTGGATCATTCTCAGCACTACAGTTAGTGTGTGTTGTGCTGGTACGAGTGGATCAGACACAGCAGTGCTGCTGGGGTTTTTAAACACTGTGTCCACTCACTGTCCACTCTATTAGACACTCCTACCTTGTCAGTCCATCTTGTAGATGTAGTCAGAAACGATAGCTCATCTGCTGCTGCACAGTTTGTGTTGGTCATCCTCTAGTCCTTCATCAGTGGTCACAGGACGCTGAACACAGGACGCTGCTGGCTGAATATTTTTGGTTGGTGGACTATTCTCAGTCCAGCAGTGACACTGAGGTGTTTAAAAACTCCAGCAGCACTGCTGTGTCTGATCCACTCAGACCAGCACAACACACACTAACACATCACCACCACGTCAGTGTTACTGCAGTGCTGAGAATGATCCACCACCCAAATAGTACCTGCTCTGTGAGGGTCCATGGGGGTCCTGACCACTGAAGAACAGGGTAAAAGGGGGCTAACAAAGTATGCAGAGAAACAGATGGACTACAGTCTGTAATTGTAGAACTACAATGTGCACCTATATAGTAAGTGGATCTGATAAAATGGACAATGAGCGTAGAAACAAGGAGGTGGTCATAATGTAATGCCTGATCGGTGTATAACTGCTTTGACCAAATTTGTGTTGGGGAAGACATTTGCGGGTGCTCTCCAAGCTTGGTTGCAAAGCCCATTTTCAAAGCCTGGTTTAAAAGGGCAAGCAATTCCAGGATGTGTGTTTCCATGACCAACTGGCCTAAGATAGGTTTAATTTAATTTTAGTAATAAGGACGCAGTGGCCTGGCAATGGGAGGTCGAGGGAAGACATGAGGTTGTCATGAGCATAAGATTTATTTTTTGTTCAGTTTGCTACTTTGGCAGAGCCGTAAACTTATTTTGGTCTGCAGTTTATTCGTTAGCCTGCAGTTTCAATGCGAGGTGGTCTGCTGTTTTGGTGTGAGTGTAAAGCTTGTTTTCTTTTGCCGTTATGGACATGAGTGTAGAGCTCGTTGAGTCACAACGTTTGCATTACTTTGCGAATTCCCTTTCTCCCATCAAATAAGACAACATTAAGGAAAGGGTAATATATTAGGCCTGAGAGACAGCTGAACAGTTGCAGTATAGGTAAAATGATATTTACTTTGTCATGAAAATCTGTTAAAGTTGTACTGGCTTTCATTTATTTCAGGGTAGATTAAGAGCATAACCTGATAACCGAGTCCTGTAGTTTCTGCACTACTGGAGCGTTTCTTGTGTTTATCTGTGTACGTCTAAAAGATAATGTGTTAGTGAGTCTGTTATCTCTGCTGAAGCTGTATGTGTGTGTGAGCACATGAGGAATCTGCTAGCTGGCATGTGTGGCCCAAAAGTTAGGAAACACTGTTTCTAATTATATCAGAAAGGTAAATTTAGCCAACAATTTATCTATAAACTCTTCTCAATGTGACACTAATAAGCTGCAATTATATGTGTCTGTGGAATTTTGAGAATGACACTATGGTAAAATGAAGATGCAGAATGTGTTGTTTGAGAGGTCTTGGTTTAGTTTATATTATTCCACTCATGGAAACAGACATAGCAACTAAAGTTGCTACCAACTGTTGTAATTGTTTTCTTTTAGTGTTTGTCTGTCATTACTAGAAACATAATGAGCCAGTGTGTCAGCTAACATGTTCGCCACATTTATTATGTATAATGTTTTTTCTCATGTGTTGTTTAGCTCATTATTATAGATTGCAAAAGTTAAGTTACTGCTGTGAGGAGCTCCTGGTCTAGAGAACTGAACTTTGATCCCGCCTATGAGGACAAGATGCTGAAGATCTTTGAGAGACAGCTGATTGACGGGCACCATGAAAACTGCCTTTTGTGAATCATGACCAACATGATGGAGAGCGGGGAGAGTCTCACATGGGGACTTTTGTGCAATAGGCCTGAGCATGTCCACTACTGAGATGACGTATGCAGAATTTTCTAACTGAAGACATATGTTTATAAAGAGAAACAGAAAATGTTAGATGTGCATGCAGGCAAAGAGGAGCTGGATTCTGCAGGGGAGGTGGAAATCGACACGACACCTATCATCTAAAATGGCTTCTCCTGTTTGGCTACTCAGTGACGTTTTGTTTTCATTTTTATACTTCACGTTAAATCATACTGTATCATATACCACATCTGTGCAACATCAATGCAAACCTGAATGCAGTTTTGAGCGGGTTAGAGTTTTGGGAATGTATTACGTAAATTATTGGGGTCTAGTGTTATTCTAGTGTTTGTTAGCAACGTTAGCTATGTAGTTCCAGCACTAAAGAAGAAAAATTTGGACACCAAATGTGTGGAAGTGGAAAATTTGTATAAACTTGATTTCTAGCTGTACCAGTCCATTTCATACAAATCTTACACAAGAAAACTCAATGATGTTTTGTAGTATATTAGCAGATCAACTCATACCTCACAGTGGGACTCCTGACACACAAATTTAGTGAGGGCCAACTTCTCCATAGTAGCATCAGTCAGGACAGCGGGGTAAGGCGGCTCCCTACTACCATTTATCATGGCTGACTTCAGCACACTGAGAAACCAGCTACAGCACAGAGAGGAGGGCAAGTGACTTAGCAAAACACTGTTTTAAGAACATGCAGCATCATTTTTGCATTTTCCAATTTAAACAAACAATAACAGTGAATTATCTGGCTTCCTATCAAACAAAAACATATATATTCTTTATTACAAGCTTTATTTCAGCTGGGACATTTCCATCACCATACCTTCCTTGATACTGGTCTGAGCTTCAACAATAAGGCATTGAAATCCAAGCAGAAATGAAAGTATAAAGAACAACGCAGACTCACATAGTGAGTGAGCAATCTGCAGTATCCAGCAGGAACTGTCTTCTTCTGTTGGTGCACACCAGAGTGACCGTCTGCTGGTCCAAACCCACCTAAAGCACAAACCACAATCTGCTACATCTACACTGCACTATATATTGCCTACATATAAATATAATATCATGGATAAAGTGACAAACTGAGCTCATTCAGCTTTGAATAAATAAAATGCACAGACAGATATTCACTCACAGATATGTAATCCAGCTCACTGTAGGACACAGCTTCCTCTACAGTATATGGCTTTTCTGCTGCCCCTAAAAAACAGCAGCACACAAATCAGGTGAAAGTGTATGTTAAAAATCTGCTTGAACAACAAATTAATAAAGCCATAGTAATGATTTATTTGATTTTATTGCATCAGGCCATGACAGCAAACTCACCTTTGCGCAACAGATAAATGTAACAGTCTGTCAGCAGCAGATAGAGCGGCTGCAGATCCCCCTCCATGTGGCCGGTACTCATCCTCACCATCTGGTACGCAGAATAGAAAATAAACCAATATGCAAACTTCTGCTTACAAAATGCTGTTAATGACTTTAAAGTGTCCATTTCAAGGAAAACCAAATTTTTTAAATAAATGAGTGTCACTACCCAGTCCACAGGGTCCATTTTTAAAAACTAGGCTGCAAAAACAGCCTTGTTTCTTTTTTTTTTCTTAATGTTGCTGTGATGTTGAAAGAACCAATTTACTTACATATATCCACATATTCAGCAGTTTAGCCCCACCCATTCATATTGTGGACCGCAAAAGAAAAAGCAAAATACAAGAAAGATGTAGGGTATTGGCCTTTTAAAACCACAGTTTGGCCCAAAATCTAATTTGTCCCGTACCCCAAACGTAAATAGGTCAGCTAAGACAAGTTCTATGTCTGAAGGACACCAGCTACAACAATGAAAGTTTATACCCCACTACTGGCACTGCATAAACTGTATGCCTAAATCATTGTAAATTTTCTTCAATCTGTATGGGTTGAGTAATGTCAAACAGACTAAGGTGGTTTCTGACACTGAATGATCAACTATACCAATCTATAAAAATGTAAAAATATACATTGCAGAGCTGAAAACAGGGCAAATTTTGACCAGATACCAAACATGTCTTGGATGGTCAACTATATTTGGAGCATGGTTAAATTTCTTCTCACTGAACTATAGCTTTAAATCATGAGATTGTTGTATGAATTTAAGGTGCACCTTAAAGAGTTGCTCTTCATTCTCCCTGAAGACATGGATCATGAGAAGCAGTAGGTGATTGTTATCTACCCTGAAAAAAATAGAAGAGAAAAATGTAAACTTATTTCTGCAGTTACCTTTCTCTGAATAGATTAATCAATACAGTCCATTCAAGGCCAGTTCTCACTGACTGTAAAAGATAACCAGTGTCCTGAATCTGACCTGAACTCTGCAGGATGAGAACTCTCTGTTGGACTGCCTCCTTCAACTTCCTGCTCTTCTTCAGCTTTACTTTGAGTAGAACCATTTTGCTGCATCATGTCCACACCAGCTTCTTTCTCCTTCTCCTCTAAGAGGAGGGAGGAGGCAACCTGCTCTGCTGCTTCTCCTTCTCTTTCATCTTCATGGCCACCAAGTACAGCCTGCGACTGGCCATGCCTTGCAGAGTCATTGTGCCCACCACTCTGGGCAGCAGGTTCTGGACTGTTGGGGGTAAAGCAGTAGAAGTCTGCAGGAGGTGCAGCGGCCTGGAGGAAGTTGGGGCTTGGGGCCAAAGGCTGGCAGTTTGGGTCTGGAGGCTCGCCTCCTGTGTCCTCTCGAAAGGGCTGATGCTGAAGAGGAGCTGCGGCAGGGTTAGCTACAGTGGAACCATCCTGCACATCCTCTTCATCCTCCTCCTGTTTCTCCCAGCTGTTTCCATCCAGAGCCCCATTCAACCTGTCCATTACATCCCGGAGCGGCTGGCCCACGCTGTCCATGGAGGTGTCTGTCATCTCAGGCAGCCGCAACAGAGCCTCAGCCTCCTCATCCTCCCCATGCTCTGTGCGTGTTTGTGCTGAGTTTTGTGCTGAGCCATCCAGTCCATCCAGTGGGCTCCAGCTGCCTCCGGAGGGAGCATCCTCTGCACTGCCCCTCTCACACACAATCTGAAGGGATTCCTCAGTTTCTGCTGGCTCAGGAGAAGCCATGTTGAGGCCACTGCTAGCCGAGTCTGTTGATCCCTTCCCCCGTCGTTTCTTACTCGGCTTCCTCCGTCTGGCCATCCTACAGGAAAGATGGCATAAAGTGTGTCACAGCAAATGGAAATTTTATTAACACCCAGACCATTTAGTCCTTATTGGAAACTAAGCTGCAAAAACACCCTGTTTTGAACTCCTTGTTTTTGTGATGTCAAGATATGTTCATCTATTTATCCACCTGTGTAGCCCTGCCAATTAACACTAAGCTATGTTTTAGCCCAGACTGCTTTTTGCACCAGGCAATATCTGAAAGACATTTCCACAAAACAGTTATGTGTCATAATGTCTTTTATGATGTGAAGCTTCCAAAAAATAAATAAATAAATAAAAAAATTTGGACCAAATGCGGACAGCACTTTGTAACGCAGTTCTCTGAACTGAACAGAGAGTAGCACCCACCTGATGACCTCCAGCTCTGTGCTGGTACTTTCAGTATCATCTCCAGTGGTGCCATCATGGCGGCTGGCTGTGTGTACTGGAGTCACGTCAGCTGAAGTGTTTGTGTCTGAGTCCTCGTTAAAGGGGTTGTGTCGAAACGTTGGGCTGCGAGACAGAGATGTGCTCCTGACTGGTGCTGCTGCAGCCCTGATCACTACAGAGTCACTGACCACTGTCTGTGGGTCAGATGCTGAGGAGCGAGGCCCACTGACTGGGTCAGTTAGGTCTCCTTCTGTCAGTAAAAGAAAGGAAAAATTATGTTTTAAGGATTCTCTAAAACAGGGAGAAAATGCAGGTTAAGCACAGCTCCAGCAGTAATAGGGCTTGCAGGTGCATTGGTAGACACTGTTGCCAAGTCAGGACATAACTCCACAGACAGACAAACAGATGGACAGACAGACAGACAGCACCATTTAAATAAGTAATGCAAAAAGCCTGGTTTCAACCACACTGTAACAGCTTCCCATCACTTTCTTGTTTACCACACTGCAAAGAAAAACATTGCAAAATGTAAAAAAGAATTACTCTAAAAATAAAAATTCCTTTTTAGGACTGCACTGCCTTTAATTCTGCTCAGTGTGCTTTGAATGTCAATTGATCATAATAGGCAACATCAAAAAAAAAACTTAAGTTACAGTACTGTGCAAACATCAAAGACCATCTTTCATTTATTTAATTTCATTTCCGGTAAAAAGTTATTATTTTCCAGCCATGCGAAAAAAAAGATAAAATTATATAATCAACAGATAATTACACAGAAGCTTAATCTATTTGGGAGACTCACGTTCAGCTTTTCAAAGAAATCTGGCAGAAACACTTTTCCAAACATTTTTTGGACAATCCGTGGTTCTAAGAACATCAGCAGCAGATCTGCAAATTTTCTGCCTTTTTGTCTATTTCATTTTCTCAGTAACAGCTTTTTGACAGCTACACATCCTTTTAGACCCATAGTTTTGAGTTGTCCTCTCACACTGGAAGAATGGACAGAAACAGAATTTTTTCTGATCTGAAGCAAGAGTGGGGCTTGATTTTCTCCTCTCTCAAAGATGAAAGCTTTAAATACTGGTTTTCTGATTTAGACAGTTTTGATGGTCTACTAGGTCTTGCACGGTCATTAGGAGTTCCATTTCCACTACATCTTTTAAGAAGTTTTTGAACTCCAGTTTTGGAAACTAACTAACCTTCCCCTTCCTTATGCAAGCGGGCCATCTTATATCTAACATCCTCAGAAATACTTCTTGAAAAAAATGGATAACTTAATGACCTTTATGACTGAAAATTAAATCGGCGAAAAGTGGTCTCTAACATTTGCACAGTGTTGTGCATTGACTAATAAATTTGAGGTTTTCAGGTAAACAAGAAGTTGGTTTAACCCAGGCCACAGACATGCATATCCGCCACACACGCACAGCCGCTAAGAGGGAGGAAAAGCAGGCACCAGACAGAGTGAGTTTTAGCTGAAAAGGCTTTGCAGAATGGTTTAGTTCAACACCCTGCATAAACACTTCTAATGTCTTGACTCCTTTATGGCATATAGCTTATGATTTGATAACCAACTACTGTATATGCACATTATTTCTGCTTGAAACAAAAACCTTGAATATGGTACTCATTCAAACATCCCATTTATGCAGCACCTCATCATGAATTTACGCAGTATATCAACTACTGTTGTAATCACTGCTTTCTGTAGCAGAAAGGGTTGTTTTTTTTAATATACAGGCAGTTTATCATTTGGCAGTACTGCATATACTGTGCAACCCTTTAGCCTTGTGTGTAAACTCAACATTCAAAAATACCCAAACCAAAGTACGTAACTATGAAATACATAATGTATATTTAATCCCTTTTAAAAGGACAATAAAGAAGCGACATCCTCATGCTTCTTTAGTTGAACCCATGGTAAAATGGACATGCGTAATGCTGTGAGTAATGCTGGGTGGGGGAACAGAGCTGAGTGGGGTTAGGTTGGGGTGGGGGATAATAACCATGTCCCACCTTCCCAGTCTGCACTTGGCATTGACTGCAACACAGGGAAGATGTCACCAAAATCATAATCTAAAAAAGGAGGGACAAGACTCAACATTAGACAGGAAGGAATGACCAGATGGAGAGGAAAAAAAGAGAGAAAGCAAAAGAGATGTGATGAATTCTGAATATGAAATAAGGCATATGAACTACACATCATGAAACTATAAACAGACTGATAACAGATGAAATAGAGGATTTAAAATGGTGGGCTGTGGACAACGTAATTAAAATAAACTCTAAAATGTGGAGTAATCTACATTACGTGACACAATTGATTCATCCTTCTAACAGCCTCAGAGCGCAACAATAAACAATTAAATGTTTTACTTGAATTTTTGACACCTGTCAACATATAAACTTGTTTAAGACGAAATACAGTACTTGTGGGAACAATAAACACAGTAGAAGTGAAAGTAGAAGAGAAAGAACACAAAAGACAGAGGTTAAGGAAAAGGGAAACAAGACAGTCAAGTGGGAAACCTTACCTTCACTTGAAGGGGCAATGGCACTGTCATCCCATTCAAGATTAGTGGAGGTGAGGGATGTGAATGAGTGTAATGATAGACTATCAGAACTGGGCAATCTCTCCTCAAAATCCAAGAGATTCTGTGGTTTGTAGTACTCTGGCATGTAAGGCGCCACATCCAGGTATGGAACATCCTAGCAGCAGTTAAAATACAAGGATGATGAGTTTCTCTGTATCACAGGTTTTCAATTCTGGATATTGGTTTCAATTTCTAGTCATTGATTCTGTAATCATTAGCAGTTCATCTATGTCACTGAATAGTTTCTCAACTCCAGTCCCACTACTCTGCACAACTTGAAATTTACTCTGATCTAGCTAATGAGGGAGTCACCAGGTAGCCAATCAGTTACCAGCCAATCAAATCCAGGATGGAGAATTAGACTGAAGGTCCAGAGTTGAACATCTCTGCTTTCTATTGTGTTTCTTACTGAAATGACGAACAATGTAAAGTGGATTTAAAACTTTTTTGAATGGCTAGTCTAATTAAATGAGTGAAAAGCCATACCAGTTCAAGGTCAAAACGGATGAATTCCAGCCCAGAAACGAGTGTAAGGAACAGTGTGAGGTGGTCATGACTGCAAACCAAGGCATTTCTGAAAAATAAGGGACAAACATCACAATGTAATAGAGAGTTGTATGCAAAAGTTTGAACACCTCTGGTCAAATTACAGGTTACATTTTTTTTTGTTTTTCTATGTGATAAATTACTTCGACACATTCTCCACTAAAATTTGGCATTTTTCTGCATATTGTAGTGCACAATTTCTTTTTGTATGTTGAATGTAACATACAAAAATGCATCGCTACTGTCGGAAGAAAACCTTGAATCTCCATTTTTGTTGTTTTTCAGTTTTTGACATAATTTGAAAATGCCTGCTGTCCTTTACATTGTGTGTAAATTTCAAGATGAATGGATGAAAAGCAACAGCGCAAAATGACTTGGAAAAAAAGTCTGGTTCCATTGACTTACAAAAAAAGTAAAGTAGTTTTTCCTTCTCCTGTAAAGTTATCATTTTGGAGATAAGACGTTTTCTTCTGACAACAGTGGCATACTAAATGTTCCACTATGTTACATTCAGCAAATACACACTAATTGCGCACTAAAATGTGCAAAAGTATTTATTCTCACAAAAAAAAAAAAATCAACAAAACAAGTAATTTGACCGGCAGCACCAAAATGTTTGCGTACGACTGTGTTGCTTATCAGCCAAAATGCTTGTGACATGTAGATAAATCACACTAAAGCAATATAATCTCACTCACTTGAAATAATATTTGTGAAGGAGTGCTTGATTCTCCTGGAAAAGACGAAGGTAGCTTTCCAAAGAGCTTTCACTGAGTGCCAGGTACAGCCATGCTCGACCTGCAGAGAAAATAGCAATATTCATACCTAATACACAGATGCGTAGCTCTGACCTCTTTCCACCCACTCAATCTATTTCATTTTTAAAGATAAGCAACAAAATAGCTGTCGATAACATATCTTAACATCCTTAACCCTTAACATTTTAAGCATGGCAGTGTCAGGTCACTAATCACAGCAAGTCCCTAAATATATGTTAACAGTTAAGCAACACCCATGCATTTAAAAGTTAATGTTCCATCTCCAAAAATAAGCCAGGATTTGGGTTTGGGATACATGATAATATATGGCAAGCTCTGCCTGTAAGTATGAATATAATCATTTTTGTCTCACTTCGGCCAAGGTTGGTGGCTATGTGCCGGAGTTCATCTATCTGCCGGACAGCCTCGCGTCGTGTAAAGTGTAAAACTAGGACCCAGTAACCTGAAGAGATGTCCTGCAGCCTTTAACACCACAGGAAAAGGAGCAATAAGTAAAAAGTTCATACATATTTACATAATTGTTATTGATTACATTTTTGCCGCTTAGCAAACACATAACAATCCACAGCAAACAGTCCTACCCATATAGCAGAGCATGGTCCAGGTGTTCACACAAACGTTGGAGAACGCGGTCATGATTCCTAATGGCTGGTGTCTCGTCTTCACAAGCAGCAAAGTAACTCTGCAACTATACGTTAAAAAAAGTCACAACTCTGTTGTATTAATGCATTTCATAATGCAAGAAATAACAATATTCTGCATCAATGTTATTTGATTTCCCTTCATGCATGCCTTACATCTTAAACACCCTAATTTCCAAACTGGAAAAAACACAAGTTATTCAAAATTAAAAATCAGCCTAGAGACTGTAAGACTAAACCCATCTTACACAGATTTTAAATTTGAGGAGCCCCTGCAGAATAAATATTAAAGTTCCCATATCTGAAAGCACAAAATGCAGTTTTACTAATTCCAAGCACCTGATGACCGTGTGACCTACAATACTGTAGTACTGGCATGATAGAGAGGAAGGCAGAGGCAGGCACTGGTCACAGATTTCAATAGAAGAGAATGAACCTGTCGTCATCAACTAAACCTTTCAAACGCAGACAAAGGTACAGTTGTAAATAGAAAGACCCCAGAGAAAAGTAAAATATTTTGACCATCACTAACTCGACAAACTGGGCGGAAAAGTTAAACTGCTTTCTCGAGCCATTACATTAGCTGGCACTGATGTAAACAGTCGTGGACAGCACATTTATCAGATTTCATGGCAACTATGCCACAGTCACTATAGGCTGTCTTTGTCACCAATGTGCTGTCACACCAATGTTAATCCTTAAACTGGCCTAAAAACGCATTTAATTTGCGACAACCTGTGCTATTATAGTTTAGTCCAAGACTACAGGCTTAAACCATATCCAGGAACCCTTGCTGAACCCGGCTCCCAGTGTCCTCTATCTAAACCACATGAGCAAGAAATGACACACTGACACAAACAAAACTGAGTTACACAACAGTGACAGAGCTCAAACCAGCTCCCCGTTTAACTAAGCAAGCAACACAACGGCTCCGGAGTGCCATTCTCATTGTTTTTCTCAAGATGCGAGGGCGATTCTCGAGTCTCCGTCTTGCCCAAGAGGGCAGGCCCACATATTTACAGTCTCCTTAACCCTAACGTCTACCTATGAACAGTTAGATCAGCTTCAATACGTTACTCTTCACTCTCGCTAACTTCTCTAGAAGCTTCTTACCTTCTTTACTGAGAGAGAGATGTTTTCGAGGATCCTGTCTTTGACTTTGAGTTGATCCATGGCTGGCTGTGCCTGCTCGCCTGAAGGATGTCAGCTGATGTGTGGTTGAGGGAGCTAAAGCTAAGCTAGCATTCAGCACTTTACGCCGGTGGTGTGAGGAGTCCACAAGGGCTGGTACCCCACAGCACTCTCAACAGCCACTTTAAGTGTTGCCAGTTGACCAAACGGCTTACATACATTTACTCGGAATCGTTTTTACTTTCAAGCATAGCTGGCTAAATTATACTTTTTTTTCCAAAAAACAACAGAACTTCTTAAGTTTTCTAACTTAGGTTAAACTGGCTTCATTGTTCACTGCCTTCTTAACGTTACGCTAGCCGCCTTGTTTGTTTGTTAGCTAAAGTTACAGCCGGTTAGCTCCTTTTCCTGCACCGTGTTGCAACATAGCTAAAAACAAGATATTATGACATTCACGCTACTTAAAGCTGAGTACCTAAATCAAAAGCTGGTGGGTTAATGAAAACAGACAGTTGTGCGCGTCCTTGTAGTTTTCTTGTAACAGAACCAGTTGCAGTTTTCTTTTGTGCGACAAAAGTTCGTAGCTACAGTTAAGCGAGCTAAACCGCTCCTATCAGTGGGAATGTAGGTTAGCTAGCCTGGCTAGCTACCTAGTAGTATTAGCAGAACTGCACTGCAGCTCTCTGGACGGGGAGGCTGAAGCTACTATGGAAGAGCAAAGATGACAAAACATCACATGCTCCACTGGCGCTGGTCACTAGTTTTAAATATAGCACACTACACAACACCTGCTAAGGGTAGCAGAATTGAATCTCGACAGATAAAACGCACATTAGGCAGCCACGTTTTAGTTGTCATCGATTAAATATGTGAGAATACGTTGATTAATTCTGTGGTCTAGATATAAATATTGGTGATGTACTGAGATGCTCTTTTCAAAATAAAAGTCCTACTTGAGCTCTTCAATACAAAAGGACTAACGCTGCAAGCAACTCAGAAGCTTGCGTTTCGGTATAATATTCTAGAAATATTCTATAGTAGTCTATAGCAGTGTTACACTATATTAAATTAACTGCCCAGATTTACTGTTAAACTCTTACAAGAACTATAGAAACTCCTACAGATCTCTTTCATAAGCATGTAACAAAAAAAAACAAAACAAAAAACAGTAAAATAAAGCATTAAAAATTTACAACACTTTTTTGGTCGATAAAGGATGAATGATAAAATCCAAAATCAGTAGCAACCAAAATATAGTATTTTTGAAGAGTAAATAAATTATAACTTACTTCATGCAGCATTGCTTCCTAGTGAAAAGGCACTCCTATCCCATGGGATGCATCCAAAACCACATAACCTACTCTACAATGGGCCAGTTTCCCAGGCAGAGGTTAACTCTAGTCCTGCACTACACGTTCCTTTCAGGGGAGAATCTCCATTCAGAACACTTTTTAGTCCATGACTAGCCTAATCCATGTCCGGGAAGCCGGCCCAATATGTACTAAAAATTTACTACTAATGGCGGTGTACTTAATTCTGGAGAAGAGGACTGACATTAGACTACGCTCCTTAGAAAAAGACTACTGACAACTGACCAAAAGAACAGTTCACAAGCTTTTTAGAGAGGTGGAATGGACATTTTAATGAACATTGGTGTTTTTAAAAGAATTTTAACATCTTTTTCTTCACACATTCAAGCTTCATGAACAAACGGATCAGTGCATAAGGTCTAATCAAAACAATGTTTAAATTTACACAATGGGACCTCTCATTTTCTTTAAATAACTGAACGATGACTTAGCCTGACCATTGCTCAAAACCCCATGAACTCATACAAAAAGATTTTCTTAACCCAAGTTTACAAATGCTGTGCAAAGTTGTAGTGGCATATCATGACTCATGAGAAAGACCCCACACCAGCACAGTTCAGATTTCACCCACTGATGTGCAAGAAGACCGGATCAACCCAATCTCATTACAATTTTGAAGAAAATCACTTCTCTCCTGTCTTTTAATCTGACTTCTCCTTCTCTTTCATGTGAAGGAAAACCACACTGAAGATGAACAGTCCAGCCATCATGGAGAAGACACTGGCATAGTAGGGGTAAGCAGAAGGAATAAAGCGCTCATATTGAGTGTGTTGCAGTGGACGCACGGACACCTGCAAAACAAAAACGAAAAGAAAAAAACCTTTACTACAGTACATATATGTTTACAATACATCACAAAATAGAATCTGAACCTACAGCCTATAAAAGGGAACCTGAATATTCAAACAAATCCACTTACCTGTGTGGAGGAGTAAAGATGTGTGTAGCCCAGTCTGTTGTAGTCAACTTTGAACTGAAACACTCCGTACACGTCTGGCAGCTTAAACTGGACACTGTATTTGCCACCTGTGTAGATGGAGCAAATATTGAAATACAGAACAGAAATATTAAAATGATGTTTTATTTTTAGTACATATCCAGTGTCTTACAGCTTCAATAAAGGTTACATGCACAGAATAGTCGGTCTAGTTTTCCACTGTTTTAAAGTACCAGTTTCCCCCTCATCCATTTAAATAGCTAATGATGTCTATTTCTGATGTTTAACATATTTAGCATGAGATCTCTCTCTCCCTTCCCCCAAAGATGTGAACCCTATTGTTTTTTGTCACTTGTACTTGTTTTGGGTGCCATAAAATGGTACTACAGAAAGCTTTACAAAAAATCTCAAATAATCTGGCAAATATCAGTGGCCAATGGACATGTTTTAATCTGGCTAAGTTTAAGTCGACTAAGACGTTAGTAGGACTATGACGACTGCATCCTGTGGTTTACATAATCACGTCTTTGGCTGTGGTCCTTTGGTCCGAGGCACCTTTCACACCTGCTATTTTGGTTCGGACGAGTCCAAAAGTGACCAAAAAAGGTGGTTGTGAAAGCGCCCTTATTTAAACTAATACAGAACCATTAGTGTGAATGTGAGCACAGTTAATGTTACCACACACTGTCAAAAGTTAACAAGATGTGAAGAGACCAAAGATGTTTGTGGATACCATTTTTCTTGAGATAGGTCCTGACGAAGGGGTCAATTCTGACAAACTCCAGCTGAATGTCATCTCCATCAAACGGCACCCAGCGACCTTCAGACAGCATCTCGATCACAATGCTGTATTCCTGTAATCAGCAATATGGATGCAGAAAGTAAATGTCGACACTGCACTTCAACCACTGACAAAGCATTTTAGAATTCAGACGTTTTGTGCTATTTGCTATATGAGTGAAAAAAAAGAATGTTTGCAAATCTGAGAAAAAAGTATAAGATGACTCACCACCAGGTCAGTGATGGTATAAGCAGCAGGGGGAGTGCTCTCACCCACTGGGTGATGAGTAACAGCCCCAACCCTAAGGACACCTGCCTCTTTGAACACCCAGCGGGACAGGGCCTCAGCTAGCTCCTGGTTACCAGTCTGTGGGAACCTAAACAATAAACATCTCCTTAACCAGAGTATGCTTGCCAATGCTACATACTTTTATGCTCTACAAGGCATGAAGACATTTTGTAATGTCATTTATTTTAAGTAGAACATTGAGGCTTACAAATGAGCACTGTCAACTGAGATATTTCAACAATTTATAAGACTAACCAGTTTAACATTTTTTTTTTATGGTCAGACGCTTGTTTCTGCCTTAGGCACAACTGCAAATGACAGTTTGACATACAGCATTTGACAAGCCTCTCAGCCAATCACAACCATCACTAAGTGCTACTTTCTCCATCAAGCGAAGGAAAAACTCAGTGAAATTGTCCAGTTAACTGTAGCATTAGCACATTTGAAGGGGCAGCTTTCTTAGCTCAAACCTCCACATTATTAGATGTGAAAACATGCTGCTTTAATGAAAAGACACCACAATATTTCCCTGATTTGATTAATGCAAACATGGTTTCCAGAATCCACCCCCCCTCCCCAAAATTAGCCTACAATGATTTTTTTTCTATTCTCAAACATGTATGTCTGTACTGAACATCCGGTAAAGCCAGTTTTTCAATGTTCAAAATGTTTTTAAATGTACTCTTTTGTGTGCTTCTAATTGTTATTTTGTGATACTGAACTTTTTAATTTGTTAGCACAAGTGCTAGCATGGGTGCTACCAGTTAGCCTGAGCTAAGACATAACAATAATTAAGGGAGATCTGATAAATGACCCGGAGGAAGGAATTCTTATCACTAAAAAACAAGCCAAACCTCTTTGATCCTGGTGTGGCTTTCTGCACAGGGGAGTTGAAGAAGGCATCACTGAAGAAATGCAAAGAACCGCTGAAGACCACACGAGCATTGTTTCTTGCCTGGAGACCAGCAATCAGGAGGGTGTTCTTACCAACTGCATGAGGGTACTGTAATATAAAAACAAAGTGACTTAAACTGAGAAGGAAGAAAGCATGAAACTCACTAAGGAGCACTTCAGCCTGAACTGCTCTTGGAATGAGGCACCATTCAGGACAATCAATTAGAACAATGTCATTTACATATATCAGCCTTAATATCAGCATAGTAACAAAAGCAGTCTGTTTAATTCTAAGGAATAAAAAAAGGTTGGGGAAATAGTCACAGAGAAAAAAGTATAACAAGTGTTTTGGGTACACAAAAACAAATTACAAAAGCACAAACATAAGTTTGTGTAAGAGGGAAAAAATAACTGTGTGCCCTTTAAAGTTTGAAATAGAAACATGACTTATTTATTCATTAATAGTTTACTTGGATTATTATGGCACTCTAAGTGAGGTTTTCAAGGGAAAATATTTAAAAATGGGGTCTAATATCATACACACAAATTCTAGTCCAAAAAATAAAAATAAATGAGTGTAATTCTAGTAATCCTTCACCAATACTGATATTACTATTTTAACAATACATATCAGACTACACACTTGCGTAATTGGACGATCAGGGAAGTAGGAGTAAGAGGTGGAGGAGCCTGTCAGAATGTCCAGGACCAGGGGGTTGTCAGGATCTGCCACCATGCTGGGGAGAAAAAAAAAAATTACCATTAAGAACTAAATAATTTTGTTCTGCTTGACCATTTACTACTATCCAAAATGGACCCATCATCAACATGCAACAAAAGCACCCACATTTAAACTAGCAACTGTGCAAAAATATGAAGTTCACCCACCCAACACCTTTGAAGAGGATGGGTTTCTCAGTGGGCTTGCCAACAATAGTTGGAGCCTTAAGAAGATTTTCTGGATCTGCAACAATCAGGGTGTGCTATAAAAGGACAAACAGAGACAAATGTTCACAAAATGCAAAAAATAAATATCCTATTCAAGCTGTTGAAAATGCCAAGGAGCTTGTTTTTTTGCCCCAATCAGATTAAAATTTGTTTAATAAAATAATATCAGCTGAAGCTACACATTTTGATCACAGTTCAAGCTCATATTCATACAGAACCTTCTGCTACTCACCTCACCAGGATCAGACACATCAAAGTTATGATGGTCAATGACAGCAGTCTTTTCTTCATCGAACTCAATACCACATTCACTACCCAGCTCTCGCAGAGGGTCACCTGCAGGAATGAACAACACATTCCTAACCCGACAGCAGCACAATAACAATCTTCAACCATCATTAAAATTCTGTTTCACACACCATGTAAAGTTTGAGGAAAAAAAATAGTAATATTAAAAAAAAAAAGCTCACCAATATCTGAACTTGCTGCAACCAGAACGTTGCCCCCACCATCGATGAATGCTGTGATGGTCTCCACATTAATGTTACCTCCAAAATCTGAAAGAGATAAACATTAAACTCCAGGGTGAGCAAAAAAGTCATCCACAGAGATTTACCTTGGTAACAAAGTACTGAGTGTCAGCCATACCTTCCACAGATGGGGAGAAAATGATGAGATGGTCATAGAGAAACTGGCCATACTTGATCAAGGAGAGGCTAGGATCATCAGCGGTCTTGAACGTGAGGTCAAAACCACGATCTGAGGAGAAGAGCAGGAAATAAAACACTACAGCAAGCAAAAAGTTGTAGCACCATATTGAGCCGGGAAATACATAGTCTATAATGGTTTATCATGATATTTAGATTCCATAATAATGCTTTGATTATATTATTATTATACTGAGTTTTATAATATTATAATTATATTTATTGATCATCAATGAGCATTAAATTTGTGATATGTTTACTACAATAGCAGCTTCACCACTGCAAAGTGGATGTTTTTACCTTTTCTTTTTTTTTTATTTTGTGCACTAGCTATACAAGTGGTCCAGGACCTGACAGCTACCTGCAGTGTGTCATTTACTGGACATGCTGGAAGCTTCAATATTGATTTGCAAAAACAGGTTCATTCGTAACAACAACATAATAATAATAAACAAAAATATGAAGTTTCCTTGTTTGGAAATGTGCTGTACAGTGTGAGGCTCACTTTAACTATGAGTGAACAAAACAGTAACGTTAAGTTAAAAAGGAAACAAAAAAGAAAATACGTTCTGTAAGACATTTTTGGCATAGAGCATTAATTTTATAAACGCTAACCTTAAAATTATCTGATACCGTGATTTATTCCGAAGACAAACTCATATTGACCTCCTCTCTCAGCTAACGCTACGTTTCAGAAACCTTCACAGGTAAATCTGAGTTCAAAGCTAAAGGCAGGAAGCCGCGCTCACCTGCATGCTTGTCAGTGGGGTGAGATTAAGAAAGCTTTACCAAAACACGACGCATTTAGTTTAAACACATTTAAACGTGTAACCAAGACAGAATTTGCAACATGCATATTTTCATCACTTTATGTCTGCGGCGGCTGAGAGCGGCTGGGTCTGTCTGACCTGCTAGGCTGCGGAAGAAGATTGAATGGGTGTCTCTGATGTTCGGGTTGTCCAGCAGAACCAGAGTCTTCCCGTCTCCCGAAACGACCTGCAGCACCAAAGCCGCGGACAAAACGAACAGAACGCTGCTACTGAATCCTGCAGAAAACGACGGAGACATAACTAAACCCCTTTTTCTGATGCCCCTCATTGCCGAACCGTCCATCGCCATTTTCCTTCCTTGGACAACGTCAGCGCTAACAGGGACGTAACCTCTGACCCGACGACGCAGCCAATCACATCGCGCCAGAGCCGGTGTAAGGGAAGCCTGGCCACTCCCCTTTTTCTCCCGTCTATCAAAAACAGCACTGCGAAACGCCAGAGGGCGCCCGCGAGCGAGTCCTGAATGAATGGGGCCAAATGGAGCTAAACGACTAAAAACGAAAAAATCAATTAAATTAAAATACCACTGAGTGCTGATTGGTTAGCTTTACTGCCAGAGTGATGATTGGTTAGCATTACTGCCACTGAGTGCTGATTGGTTAGCATTACTGCCACTGAGTGATGATTGGTTAGCTTTACTGCTACTCAGTGACGATTGCTTAGCTTTACTGCTACTGAGTGCTGATTGGTTAGCTTTACTGTTACTGAGTGATGATTGGTTAGCATTTCTGCTACTAAGTGATACTTGGTTATCATTACTGTTACTGAGTGCCTGAGTGAAGCAGTTTGTGCCACTGTGACGCAATCAGCCTACAAATGCAGCCTCTGAAGGACGAAGCTCCTAAATTGGGACACAGCTATTCTCTGATCGTTCGTCATGGAACAAAGATAGTTCATAAAACTGCAGGCCCTGCAGGGGGAAATATCCCATATACTGCCATTACTAAGTAAATATTACTTTCAATTAAAATCAAATAGGTATTGTTTTTAAATAAAAGAGCTAGTAAACATTGTTAAACTTTAAAACATATTCTTTCCCTTTATACAGTCTATACATGGAAACTAAATTGCAAAACTGACCTTTTTGAGTTCATTGTTTTTGTGATGTCACAAAAATCAACATCTTGACATGTGGGAGAGCTGGAACTTTCTGCAAACATACAAATACAGTAGCTACAAACACAACACAGGGTCCAAATAGTAGAACATTTGTTGAGCCATATAAATGGACAGATTAACATATATTTGAACTACAACAATTTCTTTGTGCCACTACTGAAAGAAAAATGGAGCAGTGCTACTCACAGCTCTGACAGAAACGTGTGCATATTCTACAATTTTCCGATGGACAGAATGAGAGAGAGTGATTAATCTCTTTGATTAGGTAAGTTAGAGACATCTCTATGTAGTGAATGTTGTAATTGTATGCATGAAGTGAGCACCGCTACCTAGCTGTGGTTCCAGGCTGATGGTGATGTCATTTGCACAGCAGCATTTCATGAAAACCGTATTCCAGTCTTTTACTGTCATTTTCAAATTTGGAGCACTGCTATACTGTCAAATTTAACTCAATATGGTGGCAATACATCGTGTTATGTTGTATGACCTGTAATGTAATGTAATGTGCAGTACCTCAGCAAGAGTGATCTGACCACCTTCCTACATCTGGCAGTTCAGCCTACAGCAGTTTGAACCTGCTCATTCAAGGTGAAGTTATAAGAAATGTTTCAATGCGGGCTGCATCTTGCCAATATTTACATATAGTTGTGTGCAAACATTTAGGCGCCCCTGGCCAAGTTTTGTTTAAAACACACTCTGAATTTCAGTTCCCTGTGTTCTTTTTTTTTTCACAGAAAATTAAAATAACATGTAATTTGACCAAAGGTGTTAAAATTTTTGCATATGACTGTATATCAGTCCTAAAGGCACAGTAACACAAAAAAACTCTCTTTTAATTCTAAGGGATAAAGAATGGTTGAAAAATGCTAATGTACAAATAAATTATGAATGTTTTTAGTACATAAACCCACACAAGCATCATAAGTGGGCCTCAGAGGAAAAAGGTAGAATATGACCCATTTTACTTACAGTAGCCCACAAGACATGGATAGAATCACTAGAAGTAGGTAGCATAGATGAATACTGGTGCATTTTAATAAAAAACAAAATCAATCCAATACCAATTATGGATGTTTTATATATGCTTTTCTGAAAAGTATAAGTTGTTTTATAATAACGGCATAAATCCGGATACATTTAACTCCAGAGGTTAAATTCAGGTTCTGAAAGAATTTTAATCCAGCTGTCTGGACACTTCTGCTGCTGGTTTGCACTACCCACCTCTGTTTAACGCACATGTCTAAATGTGAGAATCGTAGTCAATATAGTCTTTTTTGTCTTTTATCAGTGTCTGACAATTATCATAAAGAGCAATATACAAATAACAAGAATTAGCATTCATATCCATTCAGACAAATAGCTTCTTTTTAAATAGTACAACCTAAGCAAGATTTGCTACATATTTGATATCATGCACTTGTGCTATGGTTTGAGAGGTTTCTTTTTAATCTTCCATACCAATTTATAAAAACAACTCAGAATAAAGACACATTAGCTTTGATTTTCAAAACTAGAAATCTGTATGTTATATAAACATCTTAAGTGTCCCCAGTTTGTTTGTAATGTGAGGAAAACCTCACTGAGTCTGAGTCTCACAAATCTGTACAGTGTCTGTCCCGTCCTCTGTCTGGGGATCTGCCTGCTCGTCCCCTTCTTCAGTCTGAGCTTCAGCCTGGGCTATCTCACTCTGACTGCCATCGCCGGCCTCTTCTTCGCCCTCCCGCGTCCGGAAGAGGAGCTCTCCTCCCTGAATGACCTGCTCAGTGGCCTGCCAGGTGCCGTCCGCTGCATACTGCTGGTAAAAGTCGGAGTCTGCTTGAAACATGACCAGGGCTTGGGCCGTGTGGATGCGCACGTGCTGGGCCAGTGAGCTAGCATCCAGGAACTTCTCACCACAGGAGTCGCAGGCATACAAGATCTGAGTATTGGGATCTAAATGGATGGAGGAATAAAAAGACTGAGTTCTAAATATGCGAAAGGTGTAAGGGAACATGTTGGCATGCAAGAATGATAAGTAGATGCATGTTGTCACAGTCATTTTTCAGTAGTCAGTCGTTGTCAGTAGTCCATTTTTACTTTTTTTTTTTTTTACACAATTTGAAAACGCTAACTGCTCTCTGCGTTAGTAAACATTTCATACACTTGTATTATTGAAAAAAATCTACTTTCAGTAGGACAAAACTTAGCTGACAAAAATAAAGAGAGTTTGCCTAAAATAAACCGACTAATATTATTACCGTATTTCATAAAAATGCCTCAATCCAACAAAGAACGGTTGGTCAGAAAGGCAATGAATTTCATTATTTTTTAGATATACTTTCCACTTTCGCAGTGTTATTTGAGATTTCTTTCATCATTTCAAAAACTATGGCTATAGATGAGGTTAGTGTGCTACTGTGCTTTCTTTTGTTGTTCTGCTGTTTTGCTGTATTGTGAGTATCAAGCAGGGTGTCGTGTTTTCGAATGATATCAAACCTGTAGCGGAAAAGTTCTCAAGCCTCATAGCCTCTCTTGATACTTAGATTAAACAGTGATTACAAACTTCATGTCTAATGTCCCTCATAGAAACCCTGAAACAGTTCCACAAGAACCTCTTTTTGTCACCCCACTGTTTATCTGCTGCAGCAGAAACCTTGAACACATCTGCGCAAAGCAGCACAGGAGAGCAAAGGAAATAATCACAGTTTCTTTCATTATCAATCAAATGAACTGATCAGCATTAGATTTTGATACTTTGTTGCAGTCATATTTAAACTTTTGGGCTTTTTCAGCCAAAATGTTCAGTCTTTCTTCTCTTTTGGCCAAAAAAAGTGCTGCTTTTTACCATTTTCAACCAAAATGGACATAATTGCAGTGCATGCCTAATATAAAGAGGTATTAACATCAAAACTAGTCTGCCAAATAGGCCTCAGGTATGTGCGTGAATGTTTTGTCTCACCAGCCTCCTGCACTTTCTCCACTGCCTTTGTGATCTCTGCTTTCAGAGCCTCAGTTTCATCCGCAGATACAGATGCTGCTACAGGCACCACTGGACCAGGTGAGTAGAACAACATGTCAGGATATCCCCACATCACCACGACTAGCTTTCACAAATCATCTTTACATTCAAAAAATCAAAGCAAATCTAACTCAGCGCTACTTCTAACATTATTCTTTGTCAGAATTCTTTACTGTTATATTCTGTTATAAAGCATATTGACTCACACTGATTCTCTTACCAGTCAGCTGTGCTACCGCACTGGCTGCCAGGGCTTCTGTAGCTAAAGTCACAATGTCATCCGTGGTAACTGTAACAATGTTGACTTCATTGTCATCCAGTTCAGAAGCTGAGGCAGAGGCAGTGAGCAGCTTGTCTTCCCCATCATCCTCAGCCACCATCAGTCTCTTCATGCCTGCCTTGCCCTGGTGAACAGTCTTAACATGGGAGCGAAGGTTGTCCACGCGGTTAAACCCACGACCACACTTGTCGCAAAGAAAAGGTTTCTCCCCTGTGGTTACATAAAAAATCCTAAATGAATGAGGAAAACCACTTTTGAGGCTCTACAGCCATTATAAACGACACTGTTTGATGCTTTGAAAACCATTCTGACTCTGGCTTTCAGCTTAGGGGTGAGGGATATGGCAAAAGTATAACATTACAATACTTAAAGATATCCACAACATGCTCAGAAAAGCAGATTGTGACAATGTAATTTATCACGATGATAAATATTGTCCTATCTTCCACCCCCATTTCAACTGAAACTACAAACTGACCAAGTCCTAGATAAATAATGACCATGCTGTAATTTGTTTGGACACATTTATGATGCCTCTTCCAATCGAGAAAAATAAGATCAATGTTACACCAAAAAAGAATGAATACTACAACATTTTTAAAAAAGAAAATAAACAAACAATCCTTTTGTGGTACCTGTATGAATGATGATATGTTTGGAGAGGTCCCCAACATTGACAAATGCTTTGTTGCATGTATGGCACTTGTGGGGTCGTATATTGTCATGATGACGGATGTGATTGGCTAGTTGACTGGACTGCACAAACCTGTATATTATAATGTTACAGTTATAAACCATTCATAACTTTTTTTCAATATAGTACCAGGTTCACATTCAGCAACACAAATCAGTTACCTTTTGCCACAACGGTCACATACATATGGCTTCTCTCCAGTGTGCTGACGAACATGAGCAATGAGTGAACTGGCCTGTGTGAAGCCTTTTCCACAAATCAGACAAAGGCAAGGCTTTTCCCCTGCAACAGAAGCAAAATGTCTGATTAACGCATGTCTGTGCAAACAGGTGTAAAATGCTTTTAGAACGCTTTTCATTTCAATTTTTATGAGGCTGTGAGAGGAATTAAGGCTGCCCACCTGTATGAATGCGCACATGTCTCTGCAGTGCCCCTGGGTCAGCGAAGGCTCTCTGACAGTGCATACAGACAAAGGGCTTCTCTCCACTGTGTACTCGCAGGTGTCTCTTCAGGTTGCCTGTACAAAGGAACCACTGTCAAGCTCTATAGCGCATACAGAACCACACACAATGCCTCTTTCTCTGAATGCCTCACCTGAAGTGGTGAACTGCTTTCCGCACTCTTTACACTTGAGAGGCCCATCTGCGATATGGATCTTCATATGAGCTTTCAAGTTTCCTAACTGAAAAATATTTTTTATTTTTGTAAATAGGTTCAATAGATGGAGTCATTGTTTTAGCACCCCCTATTAACACATGTCCACTAATCTTTGCAAACTATTTCAACAGTAGGCTTTGAGCAGGTATAGCAAGTTTGGTATCAATCAATTTGTTCTTTGTAGAGGACGTATTAACTTATTTTCAATCAACAAGTATTTAGAAAATATTTAGATTTTTGAAATTTAGAAAATCAACAAAACATGCAGGGTGTTCCAACTTTTGTATATGACTGTATTCAAGATATGCATATTCGAAACCATAAAGTTTTGTAAAAGATTTAATAACAGGATTTTTATACCACCCTATCTCTAGAGTTTACTATCCTCCTTCTTACCTGATTGAATTTCTTGTCACATTGTGGGCATTTATGGCCTTTGTCTGTGTCATGGGTCTCCAGGTGGCGCATCTTGGCAGTGGGGTCAGAGAATGCCCGCTCGCAGTATTCGCAGTGGTACGGCTTCTCGCCAGTGTGCACCAGCTGGTGGCGCTTCAGGTTGCCCGACGTGGTAAAGAGCTTCCCACAGTCATCACAGCTGTAGCGCGCCTCACCCGTGTGTCGCTTCCTGTGGAGGTTCAGCAGGCTGATCTGCCGGTAGCTCTTCCCACATGTGGAACAGCAATACGGCTTCAGTGGGCTGGAGGGACAGAAGGGCCATGAGTTAGCTGTGGTCGGTTTCTGAGCTCATCACTTTCCAATTTGCTGCAGGCTCTATAAATATATGAAACTGGAAAAGGCCAATATTTACACAAGGCGTTTCCTCACTGCAGAGCTGCTGCTGAAGATGAGAGAAACGACTGACTCACCTGTGGGTTTTTTCATGTGCTTTGCAGGCAGCTGGGTCTGAAAAGGCCTTGTTGCAGTCTCTGCAGGTGAAGGGCTTCTCACCTGTGTGAATGCGCATGTGCCGTTTAAAGTTCCCTGTGTGGGTAAACTTCTTGCCACAGTCCTGAAAAAAAAACAGCAAGGACATAAGAAAATGGAGGGGGGATTTTAATTAAAAAAAGGCATCACCAGAAGGCAAAATACTCACAATTTCAAATAGGAGTATGGTAACAACACTGGCCATCTAAATAACCCATATCCTATATTTTCTTGGTATCTAATTTCTTTCCCTGAGGTCTACTTATGATGTTTATGTGGGTTTGTGTACTAAAAATATTGCAATTCTTTTTTACATGACCATTTTCCTGCCTCTCTTTGTCCCTCAGAATTAAGCAGGCCATTTCTGTTTCTGTGCCTTTAGGAATGACGTGTGTACAGTCATATGCAAAAGGTTAAATATTCCTGGCCAAATAACATGTGTTGTTCATTTTCTAAGTAAAAAAATATGTTAACACATCCTGTACAGGGAACAACTATAAATATGGCAATTTCTGCAAAATTTAGTGCACAGTTAATCTATATATTTAAACATCTTATGCTTTTCTGATTGTACATGTCTGAAATCACTTTCCCAATTCAATTTCAACAAATAAAAATAAGATTTTTCTTATGTATATATATATATATATATATATATATATATATATATGTATATTAACACGTGCAGCTTAATTTCCATATGTGGACTGTGTAGACTGGGTAGTTAACAGTTTGCTTTGAAATATTGACACTGTTTACATACTACATCAAATTAATTAAAAAAAAGGAAAATACAGATCTTCATGATATGGGCCTTTTAATGTGCATTTAGATATGTTATCATTCAAATTCAGGCTTCTTAAGTGTCAAATGCATGAAGAACTGAAATAAATTGCAAGGTTCAAACAATCAAATACACAATCACACCTGCTAAACAAAAACACCCTCACCTCACATTTGTGTGTGACCGAGCCGTACGCTCTGGACTCACTGCGTTCAGCCATGGCGCCGGACCTCATAAACTTCCCCTCTTCTCCATCCGCCGACCCTGATGTCCCTTCATCCTCTGCTTCCATCAGTCCATCCTCCTCCTCCAGGGGCTGCTCCTCTCCACCAGCCTCCTCTTCTTCCTCCTGTTCCTCGGTCATATTCTCCTCAGTGGCAGGCTTTGATGCGCCTCCTTCACTAGAAGCATCATCTAGAAAGGACAAAAAAACAGAACAGTTATCACCAGCCTGTCAAAAAAGAGCAGAATTTACAACACTGAAGAGAAGTAGGTGTTTACTCTGTGTGGACAGGATCTCAGCAGCATATTTTGATTTGCTTCTCCGCGTGCTTACGTAAGATCTTCTGGCTGAAGGCCTCTGTGAGAATTCTGCAAGAACAATGCAGATTACCTTATGGAGATATCAAAAAAGCCATCAAAATAAAGTAAGGCACAGAGGAGGAGAAGGGACACTGACTTGGCGTATAATCCGCATCAGAAGGATCATCTTGATACTCCATTACTTCTTTTGTTGCACTCTCCTCCTCCGTGTCTGTCTTGGTGACCGGCACCTCAGCTTTCTTTTGCCTAGCATGCTGACCAAGCTTCAGTGGTCTTCCAACTCTGTTCCCTAATTGCTGAGCCCCAGTGCTTTGTCTCTCAGTAGTGCTACATGTAGCCTGCTGGCTTTCTGTTGTTTCTGATGACGAGGGAGCTTCATCTGCCTCAGGAACGCCACTCTCAGCGGAGACATCTCTGGCCTGTCCCTCGACTGAAGTAACATCATCTTTCTTAGCAAGACTCTGATGTCTCTCCACTTGTCCTGATAATTATTTTAATAAAAACATAGACGAGCAAACACACTGAAGTGGAATTCCACTACCATTTCAAAATACAGCACATGCAATGTACATGCAAGGTGTTGTAAAACAAAATTGTTCCCCAAAAACATATTCTTTTCAGATTTACTGCTATTTCAGCATCATCAACATTACATGTAACATCAGTTGTTTTAAACAGTAAATGTATTTACTGTAGTTATGTTGTAGACATTGTGACCTCTGCTTCCCATCACCACCACAGTAAAGAAAATCTAAGCTGATAATCTTTTCTACAATGCACAATTTCATGTCAACTAGCTCTTAATGACTTTGTTTACATCTCAACCATTGAATAACACAGATATTTTGAAAAATCAGTACATTGTCCCTTTAATACCACATCATATATGGTAATAACTTGTATAGTACTGACCACTGTTAGATGTCGAAGGTGCAGCAAGGGACTTATAAGCAGAACAAGCATTGACAATCTCTTGCATCTGAAGAAATGTAGCTACAGCCAGCACATCCTCTACATTCTGAGGGTTCAACGTCAGCTTGGCCGTGTACATAAACTCAAGAACTTGCCCAAGACCTGCAAAGATCATAGAATCAGTAAATATACAGGAGAAAAAAAAAAACATCTAGAAGTCAACACATATATTTGAAACTGATTGGTCTGAAGGTTAAGGAATATTTCTCTCTACCTGCAGCATTGCTGATATCCAAATGCACAACATCCTTCTGGTCCAGAAACAGTGTGTGGAAGTAAGCACTACATGCTGCCAACACAGCCTTATGGGCCTTGAAGTCTACTCCATCCACTACAAACGTGCAGTCACACAGCAGACCCAGCTGCCGCTGATGGTTAAGCTGCTCCAACACTTTTCCACTGTGCCACGGGAAGTCCATCACTGGCGCAGTGGACTGCAGGCCTCACTCTGGATAACAGTGTCCTAAAACAAGATGTCAAAAGGAGCAGATGATACTTGGCCTAGCATATTTCCTCTTATGTTTACATGTGTGAATCTTTAGACTCACTCTGTATGACCCTAACGTTATATCATTAGTCAGGCTAAGTGATGTCAGACACCATTGTCAAGTCAAAATAATCATTTTCATCACCCGAACTCGTCACTGACATCAGATGCCAGGGCAGAGGTCAATGCTCTGTACCCAGCCTAGTCCTGAATTAAAAGCCTGGGTTGCACCAACAAAACTGAGATGATTAAACCTAAAACAGAGATCTCTGACTGCGTCTCCACTAACAATTAATGTCAATGCTTTATGTAAACAACTTGTATTTACTTGGACTAAACAGGCAAAATATTATGATATTCAAACTAGGATACCCTGTAGCCTCTTGGTATCCTAACTAGCTAACTATGGGGTAATTTTATCTTGGAAAAAAAAATACATTTTTGTACTAAGCAAGGTCAGACAATTACTACATGTTCATCTTCCTAATTTCCCTCGTAAAAAGTGGTCAGGACCTAGCTAGCTGACTAGCTAACGTTAGCTATCTAGTCACCAGTGTTTGTTAATGTGTGCTGCGTTAGCTTAAACAGCTAACTGAACAACTCCAGACTGGAACTGGTTGCTGCTCGTCACATACAAATGCACACAAACTTCATGGGTTCTTTAAATGTCTGTGTAACGAGTAAACATGGGTTTAGGGCTTCACATCAGCCGCACTGTCGCCTTTCCCCCACCACAGTGAGGTTGACGATGTTGCGGATTGATTAGGAGTCCTCTCTTCCCGCTCCGCTCGCTATCCGGGATTAACTCAGCGTGCCTGGCCCGCTCGCAGCCCTCAAACAACATGGTGGCGGCGGCGGCGGCCTGCAGCCCTCCCCGTAATTTCGCTCCGTTTGTTTGCTTTTCTCTTTACCGGATGACGCGCTATCACGCGCTTAATCGGTAGCTCGCAACCGCACCCAAAGCTTCACACCTCTGCGTGTAATTTACCCAAACCGCCGAACTTACTCTGTCAGTTCGCCACTCCTAGCGGTTCCGTTCGATCGAGCTATTCGGCGATCGGTCTCGGCGCGCGGGCTCCGCACTCCGCCATCTCCCGCTCTCTGATCGATTGATAGTGGCCGAGCCGTGGTGAGGTGTTCGGCAGTGCGCATGCGCGAACGCATCTGCTGTCTGACCACAAAGCGGCGCCCTTCATCTACGAAACAATTTAACGGGCCTTCACTTGTACTGATCTTAAACTCTTTATCTACTTAAAGTAGTTAGTTAAAAATCCCAAAATATTATAACAGCAGCATTTGTCTTTGATAAGATAACATTTGGAGTATTCATTCCAGAGCAAAAAAAGTTAATTGAGTGATTTTGGCCAAATTCTTTATTCATAAATGCTGATTCTTGAAATTACCACTAAACTTTACTGTATACCTAGAAGAACTATCTGTATATAGTCTCTTATAATGCTCATACTCAGTTTACTCAGTTTGATTTCTCCATATCACAGTCTTAAATCATATATTTTGCCTTATAAATTGTGCATGTATATGTCACATTGTTCCAATAAAGTAATAGTAATCATAATAATAATTTGCAATGAATCTGCTCAGTTTACTGAGTTGATTCTTAAGGTCTGTCCTTTTTAGTGATTCAAAGGTCCAAATCAAGCCATAGTGGGCAGAATTTCTGATACATGTACTTGAATCACAAATAATCACCAACAAGCCTCATTTGTTGCTGTTTATTTGCATTGTCTATGCTTTATTCTCCTCCTACACTTTTTTGAGTAGCTATTGGAATTTTTCCTCCTGTGCTCTGATTCATTAATGCTATTTTCCAACCTGTGCTTTAATTAACTAGTGGAATTTGTCTTCCTGTGGTCTGATTCGCTGTTAGTATTGTGGTGTCTGTGAAGAAGGCAAAAGAAAAATAGCACTTTAATTAATACTGTTTCATTGAACAACAGCAGTGGAGAACTGCTGCTCAGTGCTGCTGAAATGGCTGAGATAGCAGGCAGGTCACTTCTAGCCAGACATCTGAAGGTAGGCAGTAATACTGCACACACTAGCCCACAGTCCAGGACACAATCACACAAACAACACTTGCGCAAATCTTTTAAGTTAACAAAACAACTTGATTACAATAAAAGTCTCTCGTACTGTGAATGCGCACCTCCTGAAAGCCTCCTTGCGTAGCTGTTCTGCATAGCCACGCCTCCTGCACAACATGGCAGAGCGAGCCAGTAGCAGGACACTATATACCCCCAACCCCCCCCCAAAGGTCAGCCGTCCCAGACCTCACAGAGTTCAAGCAGAGTCCCTGGGGTATGCGAGAGCTGCCCCCCCCCCTTTTCATTTTCGCATTATAAAGTATGTATTACATTGCTATTTCTGTCAGTATGATGCACTACGTTGTACTTCAAAGGCCTTGTTTCTTGATTGCTAAAGATACTGACACTAGGTAGTTTTGGGCCTCTGTGGCAATTTTGTAATTCAAAATTATTTGATTTTGTTTTATTTACAGTATAAAAACATGCAGATCATAATGTATCTTTCTATCTTCTAAACTCTTATTAACAAATATTCAGTATAACTTCTTGTTTATTTATTTTTGTTTTTTACTATTTTGCTTCTAAAGCTAAAACGCTACACCTGGATAATGAAATGATCACCTGATGAATGATGAATGACACAGAATGAAAAGCCTTGAAGGTATTAGGGAAGACTGAATAATGACAGGATATTCTATTAATAGGCCACCAAGTTGTCAGAGGCCTGCCTCTTTGTTTCCAGTACTGACAGCAGACACAGTCCAGATCATTAACTCATGAACCCAAAGCACAGCACACAGACAAAGCATGGTGACTCCATTTATTCAAAACACAAAACAGCAGTGCGTTCATGTAGGATAACTGCAGCACAACACAACAGCTTATATATACATTTATTCACACACAGCCTTGTGTAGTCTTTACAATTACATCCTAGAAAATCTGATATGTAATCGATGCATTTGACATTGTTGTCAGAAATGTTCTTATTGGTGTGGGTAAATGTTTGTATCATTTCAACAATCAGCTAATTTTATTTCAAAAATTTATGTGTTAATGTATTTCTAGCTTTATGGTTGCAATTTGGTTAACACTGGATTTGAAATATTAGTGTGAAATGAAAAAATGAATGATGGAGAGAGCACACTCTTAAAAACAAAGGTTGATTTTGAAGAACCACTTTTGATTCCATAGGGAACCTCTCAGTGGGTGATTCTTTGAAGAAACATTGTTGTGAATGAGACGTTTCGGTCTGGAGAACCATTATGAAGTTTAAAAGACATGTCACAGAATGTAATGGTTCTATACCAGCAGTGCCCAAACCTGTTTACCGGGGCCAAGGTGTAATGTTAGTGCTGGGCTGATGGCTAATTATACACATAGCCTTATACACATCATCAGTGTATGTGGAAAATGTGGACAAGTGTATTTTTTAAAATAATGCATAAATAAATTTAAATATGTATGTTCCCTTACATATGAAGCACAATGTATTGTCTTTAAATTCCCTGAAAATAAATTATTTCAGTGTTCCCTTCTTAATTGCCTCTTGCCCATGTGCCAATGCTTGCTATGATCATTGTCTATTTCTGTCATTAACCCATAACTGGTAGCTATGTGTGTGATGTTACATCTGAAATGCAATTAGTGACAACTGTGGTATTAAGAAGATTTACAACAGATATAGATTTTTTAAATTTTATTTTATGTGTTTGGTGTTTTGCCTGTTTTAACACTCTAAATAAACCTGGTAGTAACTGCATGTTATAAAAGTATTTGGAAAAAAAATAGGCTAAAATATGTAGGTTTTGGGGATTTGAAGACCTCTCTGGTGGAAATGTGGAATTGCACATTACATGCGGAAGAACATTTTGCAACATTGTGCATCGGACTCCTTCCTCGTGTGGATGAATCTGACGATTATGAGTGCAATAAAAGAAAACTGAAAGAGAACTCGGGCAAAACTTGGTGAATGAAGGATGTAAGCGAATTATCGATTGTGCGGATCTTCATCAGTGTAATGTTTGCATTTGAAACTTTAACATTCTTTTTGAGCCTGTGTGTGACATTAATACGTAAAAACATTTGATGTGGTCCAAAAAACTCCCGCAAACGCCTCTGACTTCGAAATTATTATTTCAGGCTTTATGTGGTGACTAGCAGCAGCGCACTGACATCATATTTTAGCATGTTTTTATATTCCTAACTTTGTAGTGCTAGTTTTTTTCATTTTAATGAAAACATTGTACAGAGTGCAGCTTAAAATAAAAAGGTGAGGGGGTCAGGGAGTCAGGGTGACCTTCTGGCAGGCCAAATCAAACATCTTTACATGCCAAATGTGGCCCACAGGCCTCACGTTGAACAGCCCTGTTCTATATCAGAACTTTTTTTTTCCCTAGAACTGTATGTCTAAGCCAAGAACCACTTAGCCTTTATTTTTAAGAGTGTAAAGCATTCCAACAATGATAAGATTCAAGATCACAAGAACAACGCTAAGCTGAAAGATATAAAGAAGGAGGGCTAGATTTTAATTTCAGTGCGGAAGGTTTGTGCATGTTCAAGTTTAGCTGGATGTCTTCGCGCTTTGATGGTGAGTGTCCCGTCAGCCCCCAGAGAGGACGTTACAGAGGTGGGGTCCACGTCTTCTGGTAGCTGGCATTTATGGGTGAAGGTGTTCATCACTGTGCCATCTGTAGCAAGCTATTAAAGAAAAGGCAGAAATGAGGTAAACACAGGCTTGATTTTAAAAAGGATGTGCAACACTTTACTGAAGAGCAGCATTAATAAGGGTACATGACACCTACATAAGCCTTTAATGACAAATGACATAAACATGTACAGACATTTGTGGCTTATTCCAAAAAGCAGTGTGCAGAACATTTGCTGAGGTGAAATGATGCTGAAAGTGACAAAAGCAGTCTTTATGACAACAAGCTTGGTTGTTAAGAAAGGCATTTATGTAGGTGTCATGTAGCCTTATGAATGTTGCCCTTCAGTAAAGTATTACTGAAGAATGTTATATATTGAGAAATTGTTTCACCTTTTCTGCACGAACTTCAATCTGGTTGTTAGAGGTGGTCACAATGACATCCTCTGGAGAGAAGTCACAAACATCTACTGTGAACTGGTAGGTGTCACCCAGCGTTTTGATGTTGCCAGGTGTGCCAGTCCGACCTGAAATGAAAAACCATTTCAGCATCAAGATATAATATAGATTCTAATGCCTACGCTGGGTCATGGAGTATTCATTCAAAGAGACCCTGTGGTTGAATATGCATCTAGCCCCTCCATGGCCCCTGGCTTTTATGCTGCATTTCAATGAAGTTCATATTCCCAATTAGCAGCAACTACGCAGGGTCCACTCAAGCCCACCTTCAAAGGCCTTATTAATGTACAACCAAATTGCAAATGAACATTCCGGTGCATATAAATATGCTTCTCTGGTGGCGCATGTGTGCATTTCACCGCGTGAATCCCAGCCCGGCCTTTTGTATCTTCGTCACTAAGCAACCGACTGCCAAGTGCTCTCGCAGGCGTCGTTCTCCAGCAGTGAAGTCACAGCCTTGGCTCTGACCCATGCATTCCCTGCGCCTGTCCTACCCTGTCCTCCACTGCCCTCTTTCCTCTGTCCCCTTTCTAGGACACTCTGGCCTGGTAGTCACCTCCCTGAAATGTCATACACCACTCCTACCTTACTTAATACTTATTATGATCTATAAATATGCACACATACAAAGCAGATCTGCAAAAGTGCCACACTGTCGGACATGTGGTGTAAATCCGAACGCTTTTGCCCTTGACGCATCGGACGTGTTTATATTAGTCTCAGTCAAGGGGTAGGCGTAGTCATGGAGATGCGAGAAAATAGCAATCAATAACAGCGAGGATGTGGCCTGCACTGTGAGGGACAGCAAATATTGATTTTTTTTTAGTTAAACAGTTAAAAGCGTTGTACAAAAAATGCTCCTGGGAGCTGAGTATCCTACTCAGTATAAACAAACAGCCGCATTGATCCACAGTGAATGAGACATTAAAGGTAACTCACTTGGAAATCCCAAAGCATCATTTGGGCACATGAAAGACCCAAAGTCCTCAGCGAAGAGTCCCCGGCTCTTCTCCATGTAGGGGTTGGATGAGGAGGAGGAGGAAGAAGAAGAGGAGGAAGAGGAGGACGTCTGGTGGAAACTGCGCTCCGATCGATAAGCAGAAGAGTTGGTCACGCTCATTAGTGGCTGGAAGTTTCAGTGGAGAAGATCAATATCCGCTCACAGTACGGGGCTCAAAAGCGACTGCCTGAGAAGCACAAATGTTCATAAAAGGGAAAAAAGCAGACCTTTAGTCAGGTCTTATCCAAACAGTGGCTGAATTAGCGTATCCAGTTTCTACCTTGCTTTCCTTTCTGTTCAGCCTCCTTGTGTTAGCGTCCCTCACTGTTGGACCACTTGTGGTTTGTGGGTATTCTTAGTCTGACTGGCTTTTATATTGTGGGTTTGAACCATGAGAGTTTTTTTTTCCCCCTCTCTCCCTCTTGTCCGTGTGTCTGTCTATGTACACACAGGGCCGAGTGTTACTGCAGGATGACTATGTGCTATATTTATCTCATGAGGCAGGAGCGGGGGTCTGTGGTCGGAAAAGTTTTGTGCGATGAGGGTTCGAGGTTGAGAAAGGGTCTCTGACAAAGAGGGATGGGAAGGGTCAACAGTTGGCATTCCAAACACCCGTGCCCTGAAATAGCCATCTATCCACCACTGCTCTGCTCGTCAGCGTCCTCTCCACTCCCCTCTGTACTCCTGTCAACAGACATATACAAAGATTTTCCTCAAGTAATTATTTTTTTACAGGCCTGAGATTTATTACACAGGCACTTGAGACTTGAGTTACAACATGGTGCTCACATTGTAAATACTGTGATTGACACTGATCTGTCAGAGTCTTTCAGCGACTAAACTGACCTTCACTATAGACAGGCAGAGGCCGAAAGGCTTTTTTAAATCATGCTGGTGTTCACCCAACAATGGACTGGCCACCCCAGACCTCAACACCACTGAATGTGTTGTTTGGATTGTGATTAGCAGAAAATGCAACCAACTTCTAAGACTGAACTTTAGAGGTGTGAAAATATCTTGTAAATTTCTGTTTCTGAAAAATGAATAACTTGTACTTAGATGGGCTTAGGTCCGCCAATGGGCCCAAGGTTTTATTACACACTTCTACAGTCTAAGAATAGCTTTACCTGTTGGCACTGAAGTCCCTGTAGTTACTGAATAAAAGCCTGGAGTTTCAGTGGTTAATGACCGTTTTCACTAGAAATGAAATGCAATCGGCTTCTAAGCTGAACTTTGGAGGTGTGGAAAAAGTACACCTGCAGATTTCTTTGAAAAACTAAGAGAAACTCTCCTGAAAAGTATGGAATCTGTAATAAAGGCAAGCAGTGGACACAATAAATACTGGAAAAATGATATTTAATTTAGCTGGTGAGGCTTCTGTGAAATTCTCAGTTATATATAATTATTTTCCGCATTATTTCTTGACACTGAAAAAATGAATACAACTTTATTGGCTGTTTTGATTAGGAATGTAAAAAAGTGAAGGGTGGTCTCTGACTTTTGCGCAGTAATATTTCTGTGCACCTCATCTCCATATAGATGCCTCATTTTTTATCTTTTTTCCATATAGTAAAATAATGCTTACAATTTGTAATTAATGATAAAATAATGCTTATATTTTGGTAATTGTAATTGTCTGAGCCTTGTTACAGGACCAACACAATGCTGGTATTTATGTAATCTTAATCTCTATATAGAATGAAAATGATACTTATGTTTCTGCAAATGCCATTTCCTTACAGCAATAAATAATACTTATATTTCTATAAACCTAATTGCTTCACTGTTGAGCGCGAATAGTTGGATCACTGAAACATGGAAGGAATGTTGCTGGGTGCATGCAGTCAAAGCATGGATGACATCAGCAAAAGGGATTAGGTGCCATTTGTTTTGGAGAACAGATAATCTGCTCATATCTTTAGATATACAGTGCATCAGCATTTCTTTCCAAGGCCGTATTTCATCAGATGGTTGCTTCATTCCCATTTTTCTCATCATTTTTTAAGCTTCTACTGGTTTTGTTTGATTAAATCAGAAGAGGCTCTACAGTAACCAAACAGAAAGGATATGTGCAGAAATATGAGCATTTTTTCCTCCTCTGTCCTTGTGTTGTTTTGCTGAAGGACATACCGTCCTCTCTAGTATTCAAGCCATGCCATGTAGCACGGCGCAGTTCCTTCCCCCTATCTGAGTAAACTTTAAAGTCCTTCACTAATCGTCTAAATCCAGCACAGCAACTCACCACTTCCCCCCACAGCATGCGTCACCAAAGCAATGTTGTGCACTGGAGTGCTTCTATTCTGGTGTGAGAGAGAGAGAGAGAGAGAGAGAGAGAGAGAGAGAGAGAGAATGCAGCTGTTTATATTGTTTATATCCTAATCATGAATGCAGCTATTTATATTCTTTATATTTTAATCTCTTTTAGCACAGGTCGTGTTGGAACTCTATGTTAAATCTCTATGCTAAAAGTTTCCTTTGATACCAACCTCAGTAACATTGCCACTTCAAAGGGAGCCTGTAGGCCTACTTGGCCATTTGTTCTGCTGTAGCAGGGAATGTTCTTAACAGGGTAGTGGACTAGATGACATGGTATCATCATGTTCTTCTCTACCAAAATATACTTATTAGCACAGTGTAAGCAGCACAGACTTGTCTCAAAGTTGTTGACTTGCTTATTGACTTGCTTATGTGGTTTCCAACACTCTATGACATTACAACATTGTTATACCAATTCAGATTAGATGGTTGCTATTTTGGCCATGTCATGTAGGCTACTGCTGTCCATTTTTACAGAGAACATTATGTCATACAGTGTAGGAAACCACATTCGCAAGTCAGTTTGAGATTACTTAATAACTGGACACAGTTTGAGACAAGTGTGTGATGACTTAGGCATACAGCTTGCTCTGCAGTGCTAATCTCTAGAGTTATCTTCTCTTATAGCAATTAAGTTACATTAGCCTCTAAACTAAAGAAGCAAACTTCAGACTCGAAACATGTTTTAGCTGAATGATTACATCTGAGTAAAGGGGAAAACTGTGTACATGTTTTTTCACCCAACTGTGTCTTAAAAAGTGAGTCATTCTACCACTGTGGTGGCAAATGATGTCTCCCAAATGTGCAGCCATGAAAATGAGCTCATAAGAAGAGTAAACTACAAAGTTGATGTCTGTCTATTATTTGATATTGATTAAATATGTATTCAAATTATTGTCTGTCCAAATTATTTTTAAAATAAAAATATTACTTGATTTTGATCATAAATCTTGTCCCAAGACCTTTTGTCAGTGCCAATCCCACAAGAACAAAGACTACCTCTAAAAAGTCTACGGTCATTGAACAATTTCTGATGTATTTGGCTAAAATACTGTCAGCTTAATGTGTCGTAAAAACATTGTCAGTGGTGTAACCCATGAAACATAAAGTGATGTTATTTTTGTTATATGTTATTTTCTACCAACAACATGACTGAAACTAAAATGATAGTGGACTATATTTTAGAAAGAGCTCTGGTTTTTTGAGTATTTTTGTCAGTGTTGTTACAACTTTGCTGATGCTGTTCAATATAGCAGACTATGCCTTACATTAACGTTCGTATCTCCTCTGCCCCTTCAATGGTAGAGTGAGCCATGTACAATCTCCCTTGCCATAGATGAAGCACACATAGAAGTTAAGACACATTTCAGTTCATGTGTATGTGCATAATCTTTTATTAGCTCTGTCTCACACTGTACCTGACTGTTCTTGTAATGGTCAACCGAGGGAAGCCCAGGTTCAGTGTAATACAAAACACTGCAGCTGTGATTAGTAAGTGAGTATCAAAACTAGGCCTATGCTGTTAAAGAAACAATGTCTGCTGCATTTGTGAAATAAAGGAACTTAATCACATCTTTCAGGATGAATCTGTCTCTGTAATGAATTTCTCCAAAAAAAAAAAACTTGCTGTCTGAAGCAGACAAATAAAGCAGATGGCTCCTGAAAGAGGGCTAAAGGAGATGAAATTAGGAATGACAGAGGGCAGCAGCTCATCAGTCATGGAGTGGAAGAGAATATGGCATTTCATGCACGCTAGACGCTCCCTGCATACACCACTCAGACTAGTGCAGATTGAGTCTGCCAGGGCAATAAAGCTTTCAATACTGATTTCAACATTTAAATCAAATGCAGTTTCACCTTTGGTCTGATGTTCAGGCACTCAGCTCCCTGCTTTCCCAATGAGTTTTCAATAACTCCTGCAGAGTAAACAAAAAAGATGAGAAGAGAAATATTGCAAGTGAATTATGAAATCACTCAAGAGAAAATTTAATATACTAAAAATCACAAGGAAACAGCACAATGGACTCAGATGCATTAACTAATTGGTAACACTTTACTGTACCATACTGTTCATAAGGCTACATGACACCTACATAAGCTTGTCATGACAACTGACATAAGTCTACAAAAATCCTTAAAAATGCTTATTCCAACAGGCATTATTTGCTATAAATGTTACATTTGTCAATTTTGAACAAAGTTAGCTAAAGTAGACTTTCCAGCAGATGATGCCTGTTGGAATAAGCATTTATAAACATTTGTGTAGGGTTAAGCCAGGTGGCATGACAAGCTTACGTAGGTGTCATGTAGGTTTATGAATCATACCCTACAGTAAAGTGTTACCAGCTAATTTAGATATAAATGTTTTATATAACAGCATCATGTTCTGACAGCAATAAGCCACTTGAGGCCATGCATTACAGTGTTTTTACCACAGGGTAAGGGGTGTTAGGCGAAATGGAGAACCTAAAACCCCTTAACTGTGGTAAAATCACTGTAATGCACAGATTTGAGTGGTTTAATGCTTTTATGAAATGACAGCAAAAAGACAAAAAACACCCATGTTCAATAAATAATTAAGTTTTATGAGTAATATCACAATAAACAGTTCTTTTGTCATGCATTACAGTGTTTTTACCACAGGGTAAGGGGTGTTAGGCGAAATGGAGAGCCTAAAACCTCTTAACTGTTGGAAAATCAGTATAATGCACAGTTTTGAGTGGTTTATTACGTTTATGAAATGACAGCAAAATGATAACAAAAAATCAATGTTCAATAAATAATTTGGGTTCTTATTATTAATATCACAACAAGCAGTTCTCTTTGCTAAATAATATACACGGTCAGACAAAAGGGAAGAGAAAAAAGGGGGACTTTTTGTCTATCAAGGTACAACATTGTAATGTACCCTCAAAGATACAACAACGGATTTATGGTCTAATTGTGTAACTTAAATATGTTTTTTCCCAGGGGAAACGAACGTATTTCTATTTTTTCATAATCTAAAGTTTGAAACTACAACAATAAAAAAAAGCCTGGAGACAAGGCAGGGTGTGTGAGGTCAATACCACTTCAAAATATAATATAATGGAAAATGGTGCAGCAAAGGTTTTCTAACAAAAGGTACTGAGATGTACCCTTGAGGGAACTTCATGGTCAATTTGTGAGATTTTGTTATTGAGATATGGCGAATATTTGTCTTAGGTCATGAAAGGGCAGTGGGATTATGGGAGCAGCAGTGTATTCAGTTTTCAGCCACCATTACATCATTAAGTATTTTGCTCAACCCTGTATATAAACAGTATCAATGTCAAAACACATCATTCACTCTTCAGTCCATACAGTCCACAAAGGAAAATAAGCTAAAAAATCTGCATGTTTTGAATTCATTGTTTCTGTGATTTCATGAAAACCACATTATTTACATTTATCCACCTATCCAGCACCTACCACAGTTTAGACCCACACAGTCACGCTGAAGTCATATAGACATTTTGTAACATGAGTTGTGCTTCAGACCCCTAAAGATCGAGCTGGGACCTTTTGACCTTCTTTTGAGACCTAAACATCAAGCTCCACCTTCTTTTTAAGCCTGTGTGTGTGACATATGTAAAGACACATGATGTGGTCAAAAAAAGTGTCAGGCTTTGCACACCATATTTTAGCATGTTTTTTCCTCCTAACTCAGTAATGCTACTTCTTTTAATTTTAACAAAACTTACATAGTGCAGCTTTGAATCTGCTAGTATTGTTTTGCTTCTTTTCGGAACTTCAATCACTTGATGCAGTGTTGAAATAACCTGTAGATTACTCAATTATTCATTCCATCAATGTGTGTAGTAATGTTTACATATATCAAGTCTTTTCCTACAGCTGCAAACATGACTCAGCCAATCAGATTTTGGAATCTGAGCTGTCTGTTTTATAAGAGGATTTTGAATCTTTCCATTGCCAAAGTAAAAAAGTGAAAGTACCTTTAGAGGTACAGAGAAGCTGAATTTATGTGAATGTTGAGATACTGTGTCAGTTACTCAGTTAAAATGTGTCACTCAGTTAAAAGTTAAAGTATGGAAGCAAGACAAAGGATAAACATTTAAACATACACAAGCATGTAGCCAAAATGGCCACAAGCAAAAAGTAAATGTTTTAACACAGAAAATTAAAAGTTTAAATATTAAACTGTTTTGTTTTTTTTTGTAGTGTGTGACGTGGTAATGTGTGGTGCGGTTACTAATGGCCAGTACAGCCAAGATATATTAGTCTTAGTATTTCAGTTTCATTTAACATTTGTATTAATGCATTTGCATTTTGAGTTTACAGGAACTCAACTGACTGACAAGAGAAAAATCCCCCACAAAAGGAAGGAATTATCCTGGTCTTTGAGATTTTTAATGCATACTTTGAATATCTGAATGAAAATATAAGGAGTGAAAAGTATGTTTTATGTAATTAAGCAAATGCATTTAATGTCAATAATGCTTGAGTAAAGTACACATTTTCCAAAATAGTACTGGGAATTATTCCCCTTTATTCCCACTTAAAGGGGACATAATTCGGTCAATGAGATGTAGACAAAGTCATTCAAAGTGGTTTGATGTGAAATGATGTTCACTACAGAAACCTACAGATTCTCTACAGATTTCTTTACAGTGGTGATGACAGGAACCAGAGGTCACAATCTCCACCATTCAAATGTAGGCATTTTATTTACTATGCAAAACAACCAGTGAACCTACACATCTTCTAAGCTTTTATATGTAATTAATAGCCATTTTGTGTACTAACTCACTTTAAGGTAGCTTTAGAGATATCAAATGCTTTTGACGTCTGGTTCCTTTCATCACCACTGCACACAATTCTGAGCTGGTAAGTTTCTCTATCACAGAGCATTTCAACAGACTGCTCCATATGACTTTGTTTACATCTTAACTATGTAATTTAGCAGGAATTTAGAAAAAAATCTGTGGAATTCCCATTTGAGTATACTACCAAAGTACAACTGCTCGTGTATTTTCTGCTCATGATCCATTAGTACAAGATTTTGTCATACCTTATAGCCTGGCAAGCACAGGTATGACTCAAAGTTAGCATTTTTTTTTTCTGCAATGATTCCGTCTAAAAAGTGTCTGGGAAAATGATTGCCTTCACCTTCCAAAGTAAGCAATGCATGAAATTTGTGCAGGACTCTAAAGCAAAGCTCAATTATATTCCAACACAATACAAAAGACTGCAATGCTTTGCTCCATAATTCATGTTTCTTCCTTTATGTTTAAAGGAACTTGTGAAGTCTGGACTCTTTTAAGTGGCCAAATGTATTACAGAGCGCCTTTCTGAAGGTCATTGGGTTTTATCACTTCTTGTGAGCTGCTTTCACTCAGTGACGAAGACCCCATCAGTTCACCGTTCAGACTCTATTCTGCCTCTGATTGAACATCTCAAAGGCCAGGAGAAGCTGTGTCTGAATGACAATCAGATGATCAAAATGAATTTAAGAGAAAACAAATCAAGGGCAGTTAATTCTCACAGTGTTCCAATCCAGTGTGCGCCCTGGGGCAAGAACAAGAAAGGACAACCGTGCCGTTAATCAGTTAGAGCTGAACTTGCTTTTCCCACTTCATTCCAGATTCTGGGAGTGGTCATAGTTTTTGAATGCGGACAGACCATAACATTGCTGCATATTGGACTGAATGGGCTGCTTACTAAGGTAAGATGAAAATTGTCTTATGAAAATGAAAATGTCCCTATTACATACTTGCTTTAATAACCACTGTTGTTGCCCTTTCATGAGTGTAATAATGCCTTAATGTGTCCCCAGACCATGGAGCAGGTTTATGTAAGCCACACCAGCCTTGATGAAAATAAACGACAGCAAGCCAGTGCACAGCCAGAAACCACACAGGACAAGTTAATTATCTCTAATGAACGCCCTTGGAAACCATGGCAGCCTGCCCGATCGCGGATCAGAGGTGAAGTCTGATTTAAAAAATCGTTCCAGCTGTAATTTTGCTCCCCATCTTCATTGTGCTCAGTTGGCCATTGATGACTCTGCTATCAGTCAATAGCTATAATCATCATGTTACGCTCAGACATGGATGAAAAATCAGTGTCATTTACTTCTATTGTACAGGCTGTGCTATGCGTGTGCAGAGTGCTATGCTTTCACTGGCTGGGCTGGAGTGGTACTGCTACGCTGCTTTGGGAGTTCTCACGGCTCTCATGAGCTTCTGGATTGATCTTACTGTGGCCAAACTCCTGAGAGGTGAGCTGGTTTGTGATACTGATTTCATTAGGTGAGCAAAGGCCTTGTTAAAACATGATTTTAATCTGTCATATATCATTGATTGAAGAGCCCATATTTTACATTTTTCCTATTTTTTCTCCCTTTTGATGAAATCCACTTATGACGTGCGGCATTACATACCAGAAACAGTACTTAATTGCTACCTAGTCATTTTCCAACCCCTCTTTGTCCCTTAGAATTAATCTGGCTGTTGCTGTTACCTGCCTTTAAGAATTGTATATGTAAATGAGCTCTCTTCTGATTGGCTACCGTGCCCTCAAAAATCATTCTTGACCTGAATTTAATTGAATTGTGGAAAGTATTTCCACACAGTGAAATAGCTTTCTTTAAAAAAGGCAATATGCAAATAGGTGTAGCCAGACTCCAATAAAACATGCCTCCTGTACTAATCTCTCTGGCTGCTAATGGCAACAGAACAAACTAAATTTATGTACCAAAACATTCATGATTCAATTTTACAGATCTTCCAGCTCTGTTTATGTTGTAGGACTAAACATGTTCTGTTAGTATTTTGCCTTCAAAACTGATGTATGTAAATGACCTCTGCCTCTGTTCTGTATTGTGCGTGTATTGTGTAAAACATTCTTTAGAACTTCAGCGTGAAAGAGCGGCGCTAAACTGCTGTAGGCTGAATAGTAGTATATTTTGATATTACATAGCACATTGTGAAACTTTAACAGTGTTTACATCTAACATCAAACTCTGGCTGGCAAACTTGTTTTTCAATGATACCTTCCTGTTTTTAATTTACCTTCATTAATGAATTGGACATTATCTTTTGTCAATTTGCTTGATGACAGTGCATATGTGATCTGTCTCATGCTAAGACTCACCCATTTAGATATAATTTTGCAGCCTAATATATTTTATTATCAATAATGTTGTTTATAGTGAAGACTTTTTTAAGTCAAATAAGCCCACTGTCTTAAGTCCATTGTTTGGCCTATTAAAATATTTTTTGTCTTATTACTTAAACATATATCAGTAGGTTAATTTCCATATGCAAAAAATATATTTCCATATACTTTTCAAAAAGTTAGTAATATGTTTCCATGTATGTTTGATATGTACTGTATGTATATATAAATAATTGATACTATTCCATGTATTTCATTTACATATGTGCATATATTTCAATATATTGACATATACATTTACATACATTTAAATGTTCAAACATGGCAGAGTTAAACATATGGAGTACCTATATTTTAAAACATCACAGATATTGCACGTCTCTTTTTCAGTAGATAAATGTACATAATACTTTTTCCATATGGGTTGATTCCAAATATAATAATAATGACAGCCCTAGTTCAGCACTGATCTCACTAGGTTAGAGATACCTGTTATATACACCATCTATTGTACACAGAGACACAGATACACTGTTTTAGGTTCTGTAGGCTTGAAAGCTGCAACTAAAGAGCACTGAAAATTTATGGTTAAAATTAGAATATGTGGATTTCGACAATCAGAAGCTGAATATTAAAGTTAATTGCTTCTCTTATCTAAAAGAGAATATCTCATTGTTTTATACTAGCTCACCAGTGGCTCTACAGTCGCCTGGAGGGTCACGTTCTGCTGCAGTTCCTGTGCTGGACGCTGTATCCGGCCTGCCTCTGTGCTCTCTCAACCAGCTTCTCTCACAGCATCTGCCCTCAGTCTGCAGGTTTCATTCAGTCATTTATCTGTAATCTTAATTGTCTGTTGTGGGTCTGCTTTAAAGGAGAATTACACTGATTTTTCAAACGCTTACATAAGTCAGTAAGTTAGCTGTAAACAAATTAATTCAGAGTGTTTTCATGTGAAGCGGTACATCGTAGAGAAACTTACTGTTATAGCCTTCATGTGACAGCTTCCAGTGATGTTGCTTTTAGTGGCATTGAACACGGATGTCTGGTTCCTTTCACCACTGCTGTCAACAAGTTTCACTAGAACAGAGCAGTACACATCAAACCATCCTAAATGACTTTGTTTATGTCTTAATCATTTAATTACAAGAAATGGGTTTCAAAACATTGTAAAATTCCCCTTTAAAGCTGGGTGTGTCCCATGCTTAAAGTTACATCTGCATTTAAAGCTACACAAAAAGGCAGGCATTCAAATGTGTACATATAAGCAAAATGTATTACTTATAATTATTGTCAAAAGTAACTAAAATTAAGGATAATCATTGTGTGATTAAATATATTTTATTTATTACATGGAACTGATCACACTTAAAAACAATGTTTCTGTAAGCGTTCTTTATCATGCCTTAATGGTTCTTTGCATGGTGAAACGGTTCTTTAGATTGACGGAGAATGAGTTATACATGGATTTATATATACAAGCTTTTCAAAAATTGTTTATATAGCACCAAAATTGGCTCTTCTATTGTTGCAAGCTTGACATTGTAACAATAGCACCACCCTTTTCGGTGCTTTTTAGAACCTTTTTCAAAAAGGTTCTATACAGAACCATATACACCACATTATCCATCATTCTGAAGAACCATTTCACCATGTAAGCATCTTTGTTAAGTGTGATAGACACATGTAAATCAAGTAAATACAAAGCACAGTTTGTTGTATATCTCTGAATAAGAAGAGAGGCTTATGCAGTAAAGGCTTGTACTACTGATCTTTCTTCATCTGTTGTGCCTCAGGCTCAGGTCTGCCTGAGATGAGGACCATCCTTTCAGGTGTACAGCTGCCAGACTACCTGTCTCTCTCTAATCTGTTTGCTAAACTTGTGGGTCTGATCTGCACACTATCTGCCGGCAGCACTGTGTTCCTTGGAAAAGTGGTAAGACATAATAAGGATAATTAAGCAAAGGCTGCTGACTTGCTTAATTAGCCATTCAGTTCCAGCTAACTTGGACGTTTGGAGTATTTTTGGTCTCTCACATAAACAATAACTTCCACAGGGTCCATTTGTCCATCTATCAAACATGGTAGGAGCGTACCTGCACCGTGTATATGCCTCTGCGTGTGGCAAAAAACAGGTACCCCACATACAAGCCAAACATGTCCTAGATAGACAGACAGACAGACAGATAGATAGATAGATAGATAGATAGATAGATAGATAGATAGATAGATAGATAGATAGATGGTACCCCACATACAAGACAAACATATCCTGATGGATGGATGGACGGATGGATGGATGGATGGATGGATGGATGGATGGATGGATGGATGGATGGATTTTTATCCCCCCAAAAAACGCAGGCTTACAGCTACAGGGTCATTAAACCACTGCAATGGCAAATAAGAATAAACCACAAAAAGCTGATGTTTATATTTTTTGTTCTATTCCCAAATGAACTAACAAAACTATAATTCTTCTTCTTGAATTTTTATATTATCTAGTCATGTTTTGCATGAAAAACAGCATTTCACGGCAGTGACTCCACAGATGCTGAAGTATTACTTCTATGCCAAATAACAATTTTGGTGCTTGTTTTTCAGTTTAAATTGTAATTTTGCATCAAAACTATTGTATATAAATATAATCTTTATCTGATAATAAACATTATCACAAGATTTTTAGTCAGTGGTGTCACAGAAACATAATGTCATAAATGGGGTCTTTTTGTATTACATATTGTATAAATATCTCAGAGAAACAAAGACAATCTCTAAACCACAGTTAGTGAAATCTCTTTTAATAGCTCAGATCAATTTAACTACAATATTGACAGCATCATGTGTCACAATATGTGTCAGTGGTGTTACTGAAACTTTAAGTGGTTTTAACTTTGAAATAGCAATGTGAATGCAATATTTGCAAATCTCTATACACAATGTGACTGAAACTAAACTGGTAGTAGACTATACTTCAGAAAAGCTCAGATTTTATTCATTTTGTCAGTGGTGTTACAATCAGTGGTGTTACAGCTTTACTGATGTTGTTCAAGCAACAAAAGGCCAAATGTGTCTATATTAGGAAAAAACAGCCATTCACAGAGTTTACAAGACTTACAGCAGAAACGACACTCAGGGATTATGTGTGTAATATACAAACCTTTAGTCCACTGTAGCTGTACAGTGATTATGATAATAACTCTTTTTGCTCCACTGCTCAGAGGAGAACTCAAGGAGAGATGCTGGTTGTGGCTTCAGCGGTGGGTGTGGCCAGCTGTTTCGGGGCTCCAATCAGCGGTGAGCTGGCCATCACCATGGCATCCAAAGACCTTCAAATCCTAATGTATCTCATTTTGATGTATCTCATATGTGCATCAGTGTTTCTGACAGTCCTAAAATTGATCTTCACTCCCATCCTCCCCCTCTCCACCCCATCTCTCTCTCTCTCTGTGTCCTCTCAGGAGTGCTCTTCAGTATAGAGGTAATGGGCAGTCACTATTCTGTGCGAGATTACTGTCCGTGTTTCTTTGCTGCAGTCTGTGGAGCGCTCACCCACCGTCTCCTCGCAGTTTTCAGCAGGGAGCAAGGTAGTAAACAAACCAGCGCCCCCTGATGGGTGGTCCAGTTTACCCCTCACTGATCTTTTTATTTTTTAAATTGTATTCAATTTTATTCAATTCATGTACACAGTAAATGTACAGCTCTGATTACAGCTTTGAAATATTAAACATACAGATATTTAACCTATTCAAATGAAGGGTCAATACATAAATTCACACATAAATAATTAAGTAACATAAAAATAAAAAACAGATGAGTTTAAAAGGAGAAATATTGACAACAGTAAAAGAAAAAAGGAGCCTAGCACAAAAGTAACAGGTCATTAAAACTACTCTGGTTCTCTAGAACGGAGGTAGAATTTCTTCTTTTTCATATCAGCATAAAAACTGAAGCTTGTTAGATGCCATTCTTCTTTATCTTGTGATGTATTTGGGCTAAAAAAATGCTAATGCTAAGGAATGAGAGCAACAGCTAAGCGGTCTGGGTGCTAACCAACAGAACAGAATACAATCAAACAGAAATGGAGTAAAATTATTTTACTTTCACAAATATAATTCAGTAAAAGTACTTAAGTACATGTAATTGAGTCACTTTAACTGGTCACAACTCACCCTCTAAGGTCAGAGTATTCAGCAGTGCCAAGAAAACATGTCTGCTATTTATGCCTCCAGAAACAGTGACAGCCTTGTTCAAGACCAGTTTCCCTGCCAAGATCCCGTACCAACCCTCTGAAATACTGTTTTTTATCTTCCTTGGGTAAGTTTTAGATTTGTTACTTTACTGTCTCATTTTTCCAGATTTTTACTTAAAATTTATACACAACATATGTACTGTACCATCTGCACAGTCGTTCTCCATGAATTCATCAGGCTTTAATAATGTAATCAAGAATTTAGCATGCAGGCTTACGAACACAATATCCTTTTCTTGTTCTTTAATTGTCTGATAGTGACTCATAGCCCAGGCCTGTGGGCTTCATTCAAATTGTCATTATTATTCATTAGTGTGAGCTAATCTCTTGGTCTCTGTCTCTTTTCTCTCTCTGTGTGCAGACTGCTGTGTGGAGCAGTGAGCTGTGTTTACCTATTCAGCCATCGGTGGATTCTGCGCTTTCTCCGAACAAACAAATTCATCAGCAGGTTTATAGCGACAGAGTGAGCAGCCAATAGATCTATTTGAACTGCTAATCATCCTGTATAATGGATGTGATTGAAGAGAATTTCAACAAAACATATTGTAGCTCAGGCTAGATTTACTGCTTTACTGATCCTGAAAATATTAAGAGATTTTATAATTAAGGTGAGACATTTTTACTGAATAGTCAAATCTTTGCCAGTTAATTACTGACATATTCTTTATGTAGTTTTTTGTACAAAAGTGTCCAGCATAAATCCAGCTGTTAGCAATTTATCAAAAATTTATCATAAATTTCTCTGTAATGTACTTCAGTATAGGGTTAGGAAGGACCATTTGAAATTAAATGAATATAGGACAAGGAAATAAACCTCAGTTCTGAATTACCCAGTGATAACTCCAGTGACATGTACCATTTGTGGGAATGTAGTTGTAATTGCTAAGGAAAAAGTTGCCTACTTTTGGGAAAAAAGAGTGCACACGATTTGGCAAAACACTCTGTTTTAAACATACAGTATATGACCAAAAGTATGTGGACACTACTCTCTAAATGTTTCAGCCACACCCACTGCTAACAGGTGTATATCACATACATGTATAATACATAGCCATGCAAACATGGCAGCAGAATGCATCGTACTGTAGAGCTCAGTGACTTTAAACCTGGCACTGTCATAGGATGCCACCTTTCCCACAAGTCAGTTTCTGCCCTGCTAGATCTGCCCCGGCCAACTGTGAATTCTATTATTGTGAAATGGAAGCAACAATGGCTCAGCCATGAAGTTCAATACCATGTAAATTCACAAAGCCGGCCACCAAGTGCTGAAGCGCATAAAAGCTAAAAAAAAGCCTATCCTCTGTTGCATCACTCACTAAAGTGCTCCAAACTGCCACTGAAAGCAATATCAGCACAAGAATTGTGTGTCAGGAACTTCATGATGAGTTGCCATAAGCAAATACTGCACACAAACCTAAGATCACTATGCACAATGCCAAGTGTCGGCTGGAGTGGTGCAAAGCACCCTGCCCTGGACTCTGGAACGGTGAAAAAGTCTTCTCTCGAGTGATGAATCGCACTTCACTATCTGACAGTCTGATGAATGAATCTGGGTTTGGCGGATGCCAGGAAAATGCTACCTACCTGAATGCACAGTGCCAACAGTAAACTTTGGTGGAGGGGGTGATAAAGATCTGGAGCTGCTTTTCAGGGTTTGTGCTAGGCCCCTTTGAGGTAGGGATAGGTTCAGCTCCATATTAAATGCCAAATGTTTTGCAATGGGATGTTCAATAAACTCATATAGGTGTGGTGGTCAGGTGTCCAAATACTTTAAACTATATAGTGTTTTTGTCAGTTTTGATGCTTTATGATTACAGTTTAAGAGAAGCCGTCAAAAAATTATTTAACAATCTAAAAATGTAATGCCAGGACCAAAATCTATTACTGCCCCTAGTGTCTTGCTTTCAATAGGTGATTTTATTGGAGTTTTTTACTGGCATCAGTAACTACAGAAATTTGTGGGTGTTTGTTCAGGAAGGCATTGTATTCAGCAACTGTAGCATTCCTCCTGGCCATAGTGACCTTCCCTCACTCTGCAGGATATTATATGGCTTCCCAGGTGAGGATTTAAGAGTTCTCATAAAAATGTTACATATAAATATCCTCTCATATTGCTGGAACATCATCAACAATGTCTTAATTTATTTACTTCTCTCTCTTCTCTGTTACAGCTAACAATGAGGCAGCTACTCTCATCCTTACTGGACAGTACCCAATGGAACTCCATTTCCCACAATGCCACACTACTGGCAGAATCTCATCGGTTTCTTTGGCAAGAATGGAGTCCACCAGGATTCAGTGTTTTTCAGAGCCTTGGATGCTTTATTCTCATTAAGGTGAAAAGAAAAGAAGAACATTAAAAAATGCTGCAGAATATGATTTAAGATCATCATTGTTAGAGAACAATGGAAGTAGGAAGCAGTTTAGCCACGACAGCTTGGTAGAAAGTAGCAGTGAAACCAACCAAGGAAGAAGCTAACTAGATTTTCAGTTGTGTGTGGAGGTTTAACTTCATGTAGTTGCGTCAGTGATTTCTTACATTAAATATAGGAAAACATGCGTTAAAAAAGTCAAAAATACATTTCATTGCTGATAATAAGTTAAAAGAGTAACAACCCTGCTGAAAAAAACAGCATGGACCAGCATGCACCCAGTATACCATGGGTCCTCGTTTTTCGGCTGGAGCTGTCCCTGAAAAAGTCCCCCTCTGTAAATTAAAAAATACACCGGAAATTCCTAAGAAAGACCTGGTACCAGATCAGACAGGCAGATGTCGGGTTGTACTTGTTTTTGCCAACAGAGGGGGCTGGCGGCTGCTATCTACTAACCCTTTCTACCACTTGCACACCTAGTTTTAGAGAATACTGTTTTGTAAAACCAGAAGCTAGCAAGTGTCAAGTGAGTCCACAATATCATCACAAATGTCTTTTCAAGACACAAGGTAACCCAGGGATTAAAAGCAGGGGTGGGGCTATGGGATTGTGCTACCAGGTGTTAGGTTGATCTGATTTGGATAGGCATACAATCTACTTGAATGTAGGCTACCATGCGATCTACAAATAGTGCGTCATTTTATAAACGGCATCCCTTTTTGAGCCATCCATAAATGACATATAGCATTTGTTGATGGCAACCGTCTCTCCAGAACTGGAGCTAACTCAGCAGTGTGTTTAGGGTCTGGCTATTAGGCTACAGCCACAGATCAGGGTAAAAGTGGGCTAACAAAGTACGCAGAGAAACAGATGGACTACAGTCTGTAATTGTAGAGCTACAAAGTGAACCTATATAGTAAACGAAGCTGATAAAATGGACAATGAGTGTAGATACAAGAAGTTGTTCCTGACAAAGTGCTCAGTGAGTGTATTTGTAAATGTAATATCAGAGGAATCCTGGTAATAATGAAATAATGTCACTCCAGGTACTCAAGTCATTGAATCACTTTTGCATTAATGTCCTTTAAAATGATTTCGTTCATTCTGAGTTTAAACTGGCTCATTAATCAGGTTACTGCACTTGGTAACAAGATGATCAAAACACAGCAGCATTCTGATGAGGGTTCTTTAGGCTTATTAATGACTTTGTTATTCAGTAATTACCATTCACTCAGCCTCTCTCCAATACAGATTTAAATCGCTTTGTGCACAGCAAAATCCCCAAGTGCAGAGTTAACACCTACAGTGCTCATTTAAGTCCAGTCAGACACAAACGAACACTGGAATTAATTCAACTCTGGGGATTTTGCTGTGTACAAAATAAATTAGACAGTTTGTATTTTGCCCATGTTCTATATTATTCTTATAATGTATGGAGTGTATGGACTGAAGAGTAAACTGTACATTTGGAAACTTTAAAAATATTTACATACTGACACAAAGTCTTTTGTTAAAAGCAAAACAGTGACAAAACCTTGCATTCCTTTGATATGGCTTTTTAATTCATTTCATTTTCTCTGACCTCTCTCTATAAGCTTTGGCTGCTGGTCTTGGCCTGCACCTTACCTTTACCAGCTGGCTACTTCATGCCTGTCTTTATTTTTGGTAAGTCACATGCAGAATAAAATACAATGTCATCATGAATGTAGTTTCTAAACAAAATTATGTAAACAAAATTCTGAAAGTTCTGAATGTGTCAGACTTGAAGACGTCTCTGTTGAAGGTGCTGCTTTGGGTCGTTTTCTCGGTGAGGGATTGGCCTATCTGTTCCCAAACGGCATCTCATCAGAGACACTGGGTGTGATAAACCCAGGGGGCTACGCTTTAGTTGGTAAACAAACATTTTATCCTGTCATCTTACTGGAGGTGGAGTGTCAAGAGCATGTCCATGTCTCAGCGTTAGGGATGCTCAGGTTTTTCTGAAGGTTTTATGTATGTATTTGTGTGTAAGTCAGTGACATGACATGCTTTTTTACAGATCCACCTGCATTATTTTAGTAGATTAAGTAGATAATTTAATAAATACATTACATATTTCACATTATTCTGTGACAACTAATTCATGTGAATTTTCAGTACATCAAAATAAAAGTAATTTTAGGCATTTATGCCTCTCAAACGTCAGGTGGTATAACCATCCAACCATATATGTGCATTAAGTAAGCTATTAAAAAGGGCAATTAGTTATAAGAAAGTCTAAATAAAATAGTTTTGTGTGATTTTATGTTTGAAACATTTATAATCAAAACATTGTAAAGTAGGGCAACTTTAAAAGGTTTAACTGAAACATTAAAAAATGTGTCTCTAACTTTTGATTTCCTCAAGTGTCTTGTGGTGCAACCAGCAACAAAGAACTTTTATTGTAATATGCTTTTAAGAATGTGTGGGCAGGGTACTGTATTATAAAGAAGATACCAAGTTACCTTCGTGGTGCAAAGCCAAGGTCAGTAGCTCATTCGAAAATAATGAAACACTTGTCATTTTTGTCACGGTCAGGCTGATTCAGTTCATCAAGTCAAAGGGTGTAACCCCAGGAAAGCCATGACAATATGTTGCTATAATTACAATAAGGTTTAATTTATTTAAAAAGAAGTACAACCTTGAGTTCAATTTCATGGGTTTATACAGGTTTTCAAGTACTGTACAGTTTTTATCTGTTTCTAGTAGATATAAATAACTTCAAATATATTGTTTAATTAAAATATGGTTGCACCACTTGACATTTTCTGAGTGGTAAAATTGATGATCCTGTTTAAAAATAAATGTATACCATTTTAAGAGCAATGAAACAAATATCAATACATTAAATTGATTCCTGAAGATACAAGCATGCACATCATATCCTTATTAATAAGATTTAAAAAACTTATTATAAATATTACAATAAGATTTTTGAATTATATACATTTTAAAAGCCTTATTTGTTATTGACCCATGTTTAGGAGCAGCAGCTTTCGCTGGGGCTGTGACACACACTCTGTCACCTGCGCTGTGTGCTCTGGAGGTGACTGGTCAGTCTACTCACGTCGTACCCATTCTGATAGCCACGCTAATATCCAACGCAGTGTCGCGCTCAAAGCATCAGCCGTCCTTCTACGATGGCATATCCCTCATTAAGAAACTACCACACCTGCCGTCTCTCATCAGGGCCTCTCCAAAGTAAGTCCTCCTAAAGAAAGTTCAGCTTGTTTTGTGATTCATGTGTTTATTTTTTACCTAAAGAATACTGAGAAGACAGAGTTCTGCAGGGATAAATCAATGCAGTTAACAGAGGAAATCTAATGTTTTTGCCACTTCATTACTGGGTTTGTGAATGGCCTCCCGCAGGCTGTCCTCGGTTCAGATTGGCCGGTTTGTAGTGCCAGCAGGGACTGTGCTACAGCGAAGCGAGAAAGTGATGGGAGTGCAGCATGTTCTGAACAACAGCACAGAATTTGAATTCCCTGTAGTGGACACTCATGGTGAGTCTGACCAGTCTCTTCCACAGTTCTGTTACAAGAAATTTGAAATGGCAGTCACAGCACTCTGCAGTACTGCAACAGAGGAGACGGTTCAATGCAGAAAAAAGGCCAAGAGGCCAAATTAAACAGCCAGCAGCAATAGTCAGGACAGCATTCTCAATATAGAATTGCTACAGAGGCACAATACTACTTCCATTTTCCTTAGGGAGAATTGATTTTGACTAACAGGCCTGAACCTGGGCTTATCTCTGGAAGTCACCTGCTTTCCTCTCTCTCTCCCAGAGTCCCCCACTCTCCTGGGAACAGTCACCAGAGAACAACTACAGGCCTTAGTGCTCGAAAACCAGAATGAGGTAACTATAAAACAACTATGCTGACTCACACTGATGATGGACCAAGTTGGTGTGGCTTAATAATAGTGAATCTTGAAGTGACCTTACTGAATACAAACCTTTGTTATAGGATTTGAGCAAAAGCCTGGAGGATGTGTGCCTCATTCAACCTGTTAAGCTACAACTTTCTACAGAAACTACAGTAAAGCAGGTAAAAAGTTTGGCTATTTGGTATTGGCAGCAACTGTCTTCAGTGGCGTAACTACAACACAATGGGTAAAAGTGCAAAAGAAAAAAAATTAATGGGCATCCACATACAAAATTACTTTTAATTAATAAAACAAGACTAGACAGGAATTATTTTGCTGGACCACATGGCATTTGTCATGCAGTGTCTGTAGCCCTCTAGCTAAGTCTAGCAGACTATCTATCTATCAGACTGTATCAGAAAGATGATTTTAATTCATATACACACACAAATGTGTCATGTGCAGAGTCAAAATGAACATTTTCTCTTACGAGTGCAAAAATATGAGGGAAAAAAAACACTTGCCCCACATGCTACTAGCACTAGCATTATAGCTTCCGAGCTAGCTAACGTTAACTTGGTGAGCTCTTCACAAAGTAAAACCAATTCTAAAAATAGTGACCAACACATCGAAATACTATTCTCATTTAAATTCTGGTGCACTCAGGGTGGCGCTGTAGCTAATTGGTTTACCCAGGTCCTTCTTAGCCAGCAGCTACCTCTGAAGTAGGTACCTCTCAAAAAATGTTACAATATGCCTTCATGTATTTGTAATTGGAAAACCTTCCCCATGTTCCCAAGAGATTGGTGGAAAGAGTGAGTTGTTACACGTTCCTCAAACTGAAGACAAAAGAGGCGATGTTTAAGATCTTAGTGAATGTGTGGAAGAGCGCATTAACAAACTAAAAAAGACAAGAACATTTGCAGAATTAGAAATGTTATACCAAACATTTTGTTGCCATTGAAGCTAGCAACCAGCTACTGCTGCATTAGCAAGCTGATGTGGGACCCTCCAAATACCAGGGAGGATTTCGCACATTGAGTATGAGGGTGTACTTTTAATGGTGTATTACGCCACCTCCTTTATGTCTCTGGCAAAGTTTGCATAATTCTATCAGTCAGTCAGTGACTCAGAAATTAGCATAGCCACAAACAAGACGATTTGTTTATTCACTGTTTTGTCTCAAACAAGTTGATGCTTTCAAGGCATGCCACTACACTCAATAGCATCTAACATAGATGTTTATGTTAGACAACTTATTTAAGATTTTAAAATGATGACTTGTGAATATATCATGTTTGAGATCGTAGAATCATTATTCATTATTAATGTGGAAATTGTGTGCACATATGAATCCAGTGAGTCCAGTGATGTCTTTCCTCAGTGTAGCTCAAAAGTTTTTGTGTACACGGTGCATATGATGATGTAATTACGCTCCTCTGTTTGCTAATCGTGTGTGCGTGTGTAATTGTGCGTGTTCTTGCCAGGCCCACTGTATCATGAGTGTAGCGAGAGAGCAGCGGGTGTTTGTCACAGAGAGGGGCAAGCTGTGTGGCATCATCACATGGCAAGAGGTGAGGAGTTCAGCTGGCAAACAAGAACACCCACGTGTGTGCTTATCGCATTATGGACAAAGTCCAATGTAGGGATGCACGATGAGAAAAGAATATTATCTGTATCGGCAGATATTTATTTTAAAAATTATCAACATTGGGCAGATACTTAGATTTGACTGATATCAAACACATATTTAATAGTGAATTTATTGTACTCCACAAAAGCAAAATGTTTAGACAGCGCTGGGCTACTGTGCTAAAATAAGGCAGTAGGCCAGGACAGGTTGTGCATTACAATGATTGTATCATGAGGATGATTAGGGTGTGAACAGGCATGACACGAGGCGGAACTATTTTAAATAATAACTGAGATAAGCACTTTTATACCAAAAAACGTAGTTTGTTTAAAGTATGATACTGTTGCCAAGCAACCATGGATTGCTGTAGGAGGACAAGAATGTTCAGTCACGTATTACTGTATATTGCAGTCATTTCATGAAACTTTTTGTTATATAATGATGAACATTTCATAATATATCAGTTTTTAATGCAAACTGTAAGTCTATTTTTACCAAAATTACCACTACAACAACAATGCATCTCTATGCGATTAGCATCTCCAAGGGATTTCCAGTCTTTTTTAGCACCCAGCTAACAGAGTTTTATGTCCTTTTTTACCCAAAATACCGGCTGGTGCACACAAACAGCGCGTAACAGTGTACGTCTAAAAATAGTCATTTGGGATTCAGCCACTTGTGCACAATTCTAAATCTATACTGGGCAAATTGTGCATATTTGGGTGTAGCAGCCAGAATCTAGCACACTGTTAGAAATAAAACCCCTTAAAGGTACAACAGTGGTTTTAAGGTCCAATTGAAAACTTAAATGACTTTTTCCCAGATGAAAAGTACGCATTTGTACCTTTTCATAACTTAATTATTTAATGAAGTACAACTGTATTAACTGTATCGTACTACTTAGAAAATATAATTCTAATGGATTATGGTACAGTTATGTTCCCTGACTAAAGGTACTGAGATGTGCCCTTGAGGGTACTACCCTAGTGACAGTTTAGTACCTTTATTTCTGAGTGTGTATAGGAAGGAGAGAGCTGCTTGAGATGCAGCCTTGGTTAGATGCTACTTTAGGCACTTTAATTTAAAGCCTGTGATATTAATGGAGGGATTGTTTAGCCTGTGAGCGAGCTGATCCTAGTTCTAGTTAGGAAAGTAAGTAGTTTTGCCCCTCAGTTTAAACAGAACCAGGTTTTGTACTTCATCAATATTCATATATAAGTGCATCCCTAGTACATAGGGACTAATTTTACTGAAAGGATTTAACAAATGTACATAAAACACAGCTCATAAAACCAAGCAAACAATCAGTGAGTAGTTCATGTTATGTCTTTTTTCCAGATGAAGAAAATGATTGAAGTGTTGGCTGAGGAAATCTAATGCCTGGATGGATAAACAAACCCTATTTGGTTATCGTACATTCACACTTTACAGTTTAATGCATCACCTATGCAAGTCGTTGTCATTGTTTCAGAATATATTATTAGACAGTGATTTGCTCTCATCATGATGCTCATATGCAGCTACAATTACTTATATGCAAATAAGCTTATCTGTGGAGATTGTTGCTGGCCTGCTTCCTGGAACTGAAACAGTAGGAGCTCTTTATTTGGTTCTATGACTAAGGAGGCTCACTGTGTCCTGTTTATAGGCCTGAGGGCAGACCCGGTGATAAAGATTTATTAAAATCAACCACATGTACCCAGCTCTAACGGGAGAGATGAGGGAGGTGTAATTAAATGAAGCTGGCCGTTAAGCACTAGTCGCACTATCGGTCTCGTAGAATGAGCACCCCTGGCAAACCTAACCAAACAAAATGATGACATTGATTTTCTTCATGACTGAATGTCGATGACCTAGCACTGCGATTAATGCTTAAATGATCAACAATAAAATGTATTCTAAAAAAGCAATGTATTCATCAGTATATCTGAAGGGTGTGAATTACCTGAAAGATCACAGCTTGATCTGAACTCAAAAGGCAAGATAAAAGTGTAAGACCTGTTGTAAGCTTCAGGAGTGCTATCTTTCTCATCCAACTTTTCTCCTTCTTTCTTTCTTTTCATTTCTTGTATTGTTCAAAATGCCTGGTGCCTAGTGCTTTATTATTGATTCGTTATTTCTCTGTGCTTTGTTCTCCAAAATGTGCTCCTTGCTAAAATGAAAATCCTATTACAATTTCAATTCAATTCAATACCTTCAAGCTGCTAGCTCAACTAAATCCTATTCAGCAGCTTGCCTGTGGCACAAAAGCAACTGCCACACAATGCATCGGTTCACACTATGTAAACTTCTATTAAAAGATGCATGAGCCACATAACGCTAAGTTGCTTGTTTTATCACCTCTCTTGGCTTCTCTCTTTCCTACTGTCTTCCTTTTTTGTCTACAAAAGTCACAAAGTTTTGGATGCATGGTTAAATTTGTTGACTTTCTAAGTAAATATTAGTTTAAAAAATCTCTGCAGTAAACTGTAATATGTCCATTTCTAGCAAACTCTGACATACAATTTTATTTATTTGCTTAATTTAACACATTGCAAAAAAACACATAAAATGTGCCATAAATTTTGTACAGGCCACATTTTAGGTTTTATTTATTCCCCAATATGTTAAATTTAGCAAATAAGTAGTAATTGTGCATTGAAATGTGCAGAAACGTGTCCTGTATAAAGGATGGATACTACTAAATCTACAAAAATGTGTAATTTTAGGCATAAAAATTTTTGCATACGACTCTGTATCTATACTCGTCTTGTCTTCACACATGCACACACAGACACACCTTCCCTTGTCACTTCCACCACCATCGCTGCACAGCCCCCCTACCCTCCTTCCGCATTCTCCACCACCTGTCTGTATCTAAAGAGTGTGAACAAAGACTAATCATACAAGGAAAGCAGACAGATAATTGTTATTCCGGTTCTTTCTCTGCAAGGTTAGACCCACATAACAAATACTGCATTTCTGATTTTTGGATGTCCTTAGCTCTTTTTTTCAAGAACAAATCACAATTTACATAAAGATAGCATCTGTATTTAGCACAATGTACAAAGGACTAGGTGTGAGTATCTAACAAGACTACAAGCCTTTACACAGAAAAAATCTTGATGGAAATATAGAAGTATGTCTTAGAAATCGTTAAAACCCTCAAAGTCCTGGGTTTTGGCTCTGCAGCACAGCACAAATCGCATTCATCCTCCGATTCCATTTCTCACAAAAGAGTCTTTTCTGTCCCGCAGTCTCATTGAGCTGTTCTTAAATGAATTTCACCAGACGTGTCTGAATGGTGTCTGGCTTAAAGGGAACACGTCTTTTTTTACGTCCACATTATCTCCAGCTGCAAAGCCCTGCAGATTTCTTCTTTCAAATAGGAAGGCAAACCATCTGAAAGGGTTTCGTAAGCAGGTATTTACAGGTGCTGCTTTCAAAGTGATATCATCGACATTATCTGCTCTCTTTCTAAACCAGAGTGTAATTTCACATGCATTTGTGTTTCTTTCTCCCCACGTGAGGCTATTTGTTTTGCTCCCTTAAAACATCTCTGTACAAATGGTTGAGAACATTTTGTCCAAGAAAAACAAAGCCATGTGATGTGTTTGTTAATGTGTCAATTATCCAATGCTTGCGTTGTGTCACTTGAAACGATGGCATGGGAGCTTGATTTAACATATCTACTGAGTAAGGCAATAACCTCTTCAGAGGTAGCTTCTCCTGCAAAGACTGAAATGAAGTTCAACTCCAAGTCATACATAAATCTTTATACTGTCATCTGAGGTAGCAGCGCCCACCTAATTTCCAGACAACCGTTATAAATTATACAAATCCTTTGCCCACTGATATTCAAATTTTCAGTCATAAAAAACCTCATCTTCAGACACGGAGCTGCTGTCTACGTGTCGTACAGAGCCATCAGGTGGTAAAGTCCTTTGCTCTTGTAGGGGGTGTTGTGATTCTGGCTGAGACACTGAGCTGGAGAAGTAGGGTTGAGGAAGCTGCGCGGGAGCCAAAGAAGCACTCTCAGCACCATTGGCCTCCACATGTATGCTGTACAGATGTTGGGGGACGCCCAAGCTTCCTCCATCCATGAGGAACTGAGAGAGATACAGGCCATCAGGGCCTATGGAAGGATAATCATAAAAACAGGATTTAGCAGTTACATTCCAGGCTTTGCAGCACAGAGACAATATAACTCCAGTATCAGTTCTGATCTGCTACATTCAAGAAAATAGGTTCCTTAATGGTTCTTCTCTTACATATGTCATTCTAGGAAAAACCTTTAATAACATTATATGGAGGAAGCCGCAGTGGGTGGCACTATTGCCCCACAGCAAGAAGGGCCTGTGTTCGGTTCCCTGGCTGGGCGAATGGGGTCCTTTCTGTTTGGAGTTTGCATGTTCTCCCCGTGTCTGTGTGGGTTTTCTTCCAAAGACATGCAGTCAGGCTATTTAGAGATGCTATATTGGCCCCTGTGGTGACCTGTCCAGGGTGTTTTCTGTCTTTCATCCAATGAGTGCTGGTATAAGCTCCAGCACCCTTCTGTGACCCAGGAGGATAAGTGGCTGAGATGATGAATGAACATTATATAGAAGTTCCTCACACTTTTTTATTGCTTTCAGTTTTCAAAGAAATCTGCAGGGATATTTTTCCACATCTACAAAGTTTCAGGCTTAGAAGATGATACATTTTTCAATTTTTAACAACCCAAATTATCCCAAACACATTCAGTGATGTTGAGGTCTGGACTCTGGGGTGGTCAGTCCATTGTTCCGAAAACACCTGCAGCTTCTTTGTTTGATTTGAAAATGTACTTTTTTGTCTGTTTGCTTTCTCAGTAAGGGCTTCTTGATAGCTACACATCCTATACACATCAGACTCATAGCCTTGAGGTGTCTTCTCACAGCGGAAGGATGGACAGAAACACCTGTGGATTTTTTTTCAGATCTGAAGCAGCTCGATTTTCTCCTCTCTCTCAAAGATGAAAGCTTTAAGTGCTGTTTATCTGATGGGGGTCTTGTACTGTTGTTAGGAGTTCCATAATTTTTACATACATGTTTTGTAAGTGGATTATACTATATCTAATCACATCAGAAATATGTCTTGAAATATTAATAACTGGAAATTAATGGCTTGTTTGAGTGGAAATGAAATAAATCAATGTTGGTCTCTGACTTCTGCACTGTACTGTATGCTTCATTGAAGAACCATCCATTGGAGGGTTCTTTAGGGAACAAAAAGTGGTTCTTCTAAGGCATCACTACAGTGAATGCTTTATTTTAAAAGGGGCTTAAACTAGTATTTAATATGTTTTTGTCATGTTATGTAGTATTTGTAGTGCAGCAATTCATCCTCAGCCTCATCCGTCTGACAAAATCAAGATTATGTACTATTTTCTTGTTTTCATCTATCAGTGTTCTCACAACAATACCCAGCATGCATTATGCAAATATATCACATAACCTTTAGGAATGTCACCCACAGTGGTAAAGAACTGACTGCTAGTAAATCTTATGGTGTGGAAGCTAATAAATGCAGATGTGCTATCTGGCTTTCTAGAAGTGATGGTAGCTATGTAGCTTTCTTCTGCATTTGCCAACATTTCAAACAGCCTACCCTCAAGTATCTCGCAGATTTCAAAAGTGCCTGCCTCCTTCAAAATAAATCATCATTAAGGGTTTTTCCTAGTCTTTAAACCAGAAAATGAATAGAATATGAATAGAAAATGAATAAAAACATTTCGTGCTGAGATTCACCAGCAGAGTAGCAGTAAAAGGCTAGTGTGAACCCTACAGCTAGAATTCAGGTTTTAGGTGCTTGATGGTTTTGCCTGCCTGGGGACAGGTTGCATACGAAACAGAGGTAAGTATGATGGATCTTACTCTCCCACATAGATCGCACACTCGTGCGACATGTGAGGGACCTACTTCACTGGAAACTGATTGAAACATGAGGAATAAAACATACAGAAACTCAGATTTACATCTTCTAATGTGAGAGGAAAAGCGGAAGTATAATTGAAAAAGCCCACTAGTTTTGAACTCATTACAGCGCTATATCTTGATGAGTCATCTCCTCTCCATGGCGTGTATGAGTTTTTCAGAGATTGCACCCATTTATCTTTCCTTTCATTCAGGCAGCAGATTAATCAGTAACAGCACAGGATGTTGTGATGTACCTCGTGCTGTATCCATCTGTTTCAACAGGCCATATTTCACCATTCTCCATCTAATTACCCCACAAGGACCATCATCATTAACATCATGTGATGACTGCATTATGGTAAGTACTCAGGCCCATAGAGGACACACAGGAAAGAAACATGTATATCATGCATCCATTCGAGGCTTTTATAACTGTACATGAAGCTCAATATAACAAGTGTGTTTTTTTATATACCAGAAATGGTCATAATTTATTTCTAGATGACTGTTTTCCAACCTCTCTTTATCCCTTAGAATTAGACAAGCTGTTTTGTTGTTACTGTGCCTTTAAAACTGATGTATGTAAATTGTCTCTGTTCAATTTGGCAGCCCGGTATTGTGCCTCATTCAAAAAGCACTCAAAGCTGAAACACTCTATAGAACTTTAATATGAATCGGCGGGGCTTAACTGCTGTAGGCTTAATAGGTGGATAAATGCAAATGAGTTGTTTCTAGTGACATCATAGAAACTAAGATTGGTTTTGCAGTTTAGGTTCCATATCTGGACTGTATGAACTGCGTAGTGTGTGGTATGTTTTGAAATTTTAACAATATTACTTCAAACTCCTTTATTTCATGAAAGCAAGGGAAATTTAATTTCCTGTGATATGGGCCCTTTAAAGACAAAGATACCAAGAAGAATCACAAAGAAGAACAATGTTCCTTTCCTTAAGGATCTCTCAATGTCTGAATGAGATTCAAGAGTGAAGAACATTTTTAAAGTTTAAAGAACCTCCATGTAATGTAAAAATTAAAAAGTGACTAAAGGAATTCCACGCAAATAGCATTTATTAAATTATGGAAACTTCGTAGCAAAGCAAATACAGGCCACTTCTTTTGCTGACTAAAAATGTATTACCTTGTTGAGCGACTGTACTCTATGTAGAAGATTGTACCATACATTTAAGTGGGATATGAAGTATGCCGTTACCTTGTAATGGGACTGTGCTAGTTGTGGCTCGATCTTCAACATCGTGTGAAGGCCATACATCCATTGCTGCCTCGGCCAGAGCAAACTGCTCAGCTACCCCTGAGAGAGAGAAATGAGAGGTATGTAGGCACTGTGAGAACAGACTGACACCACATGCAAGCGTCAGTTCAGAACGTCTTCTGTATCTCCTTCTTTTTGTTTCTGTTCTGAGTGACCTCCATGAATGAAAAGTTACAGTACTGTACAACACTGCCATCCTTCATTTATTTAATTTCCAGTCAAAACAGCAATTAAGTACAAGTTATTCATTTTTCACCATCAGGAAAAAAAGCAGAAAACACAAATTTAACAGAAAATTACACAAAAGGCTCAACAGCTAAAGACAGCATCAACATTTTTTGTATTTAGTGTGTTCACCCATTGTCTTTATTACAGCTTTTATTCTTTTGGTGTGACTTGCTTTCATTTTTTCAAAGACGTATCAATTGTATGAGTATCTACAGGGAAATTCTTACATACCTCCAAAGTTTAGTCTTAGACGTTGGCTACAATTTTTGCTTCTCACAATCCAAATAATACCAAACACATTCAGTGATGTTGAGGGCTCTTGTAACTAACCAGTAACCATTAACAGAAGCTTAGACCACCAGTTTAGCCTTGTGCAGACTGCATGCCTAACTCATTACATATTTGCCTCAAACCCTATGCAAAAGTACATCACAGTGCGCTTAAAAAACAGTAGCAACCAACTCAAAGCCTGAATTTCTCTATAGATTTGTCCATTTTTAAAGATAACAAAATGTTACATAGTATCAGAAGCCACATAACTAAGTCTATTTAAGATTATTTAACAACTCTACACAGTTTGGGTCAAGTGTGAGAGGATTTAGGTTTGCAGTTTGCTAAAATCATAGATATAACCTTCCATTAGCTGTATGAGCCTCATAGCACTGGTGCACAACTAAGGAAGCAAACTTCAGAAACCAAACATGTCTTGCCTGATGGAGTACAATAGAGGGTAAGGGGAAAACTGTATAAACTTGATTTTTGGCCAAATCTTTGGCTTTAAGATTGTGCTCTCAGATTGACTATTCAAAAGCAATGTTGGAGTCCTGGATAATGTAATTTAAAGCAGTTGGATGTGTTTACCTGCAGCAAACCGTGCCTCCTTGATCTCATCAGTCAGGTGGGAATAGAGTTGCTCGTCCTCTTGCAGTGCAGCCCCTGCTCCTCCCCAGCCCCCTCCATCCCTGCTCCAGCCACACCAGCCCCCTCCGGCTGCTGTATCCCCACCCCAACCCTTCCACTCAATCAGGTGGGCTACGCGGCCCTGCGCCATCGCCGTAGGCTTTGTTATGTGCTCCTTAATAGTGGCCACCAGACCTAAGCAAACAGAAAGCAAAGAAAGGCAAAATGGGAGGGAATCCAACGAAAGAGAAACAACAGGGGAAACAGGTATGAGGAGGTGAAGAGGTAGTGTGAGTGACACAAGAATGATGATACAGTGAAAAGAAAAAATGAAAAGGTCAAGAAGAAAGGAGTTGAAAACAACAGACAGAGGCTGGAAAATCAGTAATTATCAGCCATTTGAGGTCAGATCCTGACTTAAAAGAGGTCCTCTTGGAGTGTATGCAAGTCATTTATTTTGCAAAAATCGCTTTTTTCTGCATGTGACAGTAATTTATTTAATGTGTTCGATTCATTTTTATGCCTTTCAAATACTTTTCCGCAAAGGAAATTTCTTCAAATAACCCATTAGCCAAAAAACCAAACCTTTCAGCCATTCCATGCTGCTGCCCTTTACTCTAATACATTCATTGGTTTGTGATTGACTTTATAATTAAACTGTCAGGATTAAAAGAGCTTTCAGTGGAAAAAAGTTCAAAAACCCACAACACATTATTAGCTTCTGTAATTAACTTCCAGGAGAGAAAAGTCAAGCTAAAAGGTAGTCAAGATGAAAGAGAGACAGAGAGAGATAGGGAGAGAGAGGCAGAGACAGAGAAGGAGAAATTGTGCTGATGAAAACGTAATGCAAACAGCGGGAGATCACATTAACAGTGTCTTGCGGAGACTGACTGGTTTTCATACAAAATGATTTAGAATTAAAACAAAACAGAGGCTCAAAGCAAATCTCCATGTATCACAGATCTCTCACCCATCAAAGAGGATGTAGCCAGCTCCCCGATGCTATAGCCACTGCTGTTCTTCTTATCTGTCACAGAGCCATTGTATGGCTGATGATTGCCCTAAATGGATGGAAAGGAAAACAGAGAGGAGACTATGGCACATGAATTGTACGTCACTCTGAATCACACAGTCAGAAACTGATGATGGAAAGTCAGACGTATGCAAAACACTCATGCAAGAAGCATGCAGTGAATCACAAGGGATAATTAGAGATAAAGATACTTTTCCTGGAGTGTGAACAGAAGTATTTGCATTGGAAGAAACTGGCTAAAATCTACAAGGAATTTAAATGATTAAAAAAACACGCCAAACTGTGAGGTGCCAGACCTACAATCTACACTGTGTGTTCCTAGGAATGTATTTCTTAATGAATTTCATTCTTTTTTGGTTAATTCATAATTGTGGATGTAGATGAAACATGAACACACCTTAGCAATGGGCTGTCCTTCAGACCAGTACTGAAGTTCTCCCATGGGATGCTGCTGGTCATTCTGAAGATCTAGAGAAGAACAAACACATCATTTTTAATAATAATAATAACAATAACAATACATTGTCAAATTACAATGTTTTGTTGATTTTCTAAGTGAAAAGGAGTTAAAACACCCTCTACAGAGAACACACTTAAATATGGCATTTTTAGGGCACAATTTCAGCATGTTGGAAAAAAACACGGTATAAGATGTGCCATAGCTTTTGCACAGGCCGCATTTTATGTTCTATTGTTTCCTCAATATGTTAAATTCACCACATAGTAATTGTACATTAAAATATGCAGAAATATGTTCACTGTAGAGGATGTGTACTTATTTTTGACAAAACCAGGGGTGCCCAAACTTTTGCATGCAAGTGTAATTACAAGGAGAGGGAGTAAAATGAACAGTATAAAACAATGATAGACCAAGACAAAAACCAAAGATAAAACGACATTTTACATATAAATGAAATAGCTAAAGCAGGTAAAACCATAGAATAAAGACAAGATTTACTAAAAACACAATAAAATAAACCGGAGAATTAATAGCTTGAGCAAATGTAGTTGGTTAACTAAAACATTTTGGGTGTCCAGAGATTGCTTCTTTAGCTTCCCACTGAAGCTATGTGGCTAATATAATGCAAGTGTATTTTACCGAACGAGGGGACACAGTGTCATTGACTGATGCACAGCACCAAAAGCTATTTCAGTGTCAACAGCTCCCCTCTGGTGTAGAATCTTCAGCCTGTTAAATCTGAGTGAGTGAGTGAGTGAGTGAGTGAGTTACAAGCCAGGTTCATGAGGAGTATCACTAAAACATTTAAGGAGACTTCCTTGACTTTTTAGCTACATTAGTCACATTATTAAAGAAGATCTAAGGTCATCAGGCACTGTGCCCCTCAGAGCAGGATCAGAAAAGCTAACAGCACTTACGCCTCTTTTGAATCTGTTCCGTTTTGTCACGTGATGTTCAGGTGTCATGGTTATTTATGGTTGTATGCATTTATTTGCATATACATTACAGTGCGTGTGCACTTTGCGTATTTGAGTTAGCACTGAAGCAAATGGATGGGAATCACTCCTGTTGCTCCCGTGTTGCCATAGCAACAAGCAATTGTCTTGACAACCCATCCCTGGGGATCCCCTGGTGTGCAGGAGCAAATTTTCTTCACTGGCCCCCCATCTCATTCACTCAGGACCTTATAGAGCACATCTCATCTCGCTTCTGAGGGTCTCATGGGCTCCCCGATACCACTAAATGGCCTATTTGTTAATGTGCATTGACAGACAACGTACAACCTTGGCAATGGTTTTTATTTGGTGTGTCCACAGTGGCACTCCATCCATCTCTCTCATGCATTATTCATCAGTGATGACCCTGGCATTTAACTTGTCGCACCCTACCTAAGTCTCAGAGCCCCATGACCCTGCCTAATGGCTCCCACAGCACAAAAACACACACCCTCACACACACTCACACACACCCACTCACACACACACACATAGACACACTCACTAACTGGCCAGGCCTTTGGAGACTCATGCAATGTTATCAGAGCAAACGCTTGCTCCCTGCCATTTCCTTCGAAGACACCTTAAGGTCAAAATGTCAGACCCTGTCATATTACATCTGTATATTACACCTGAGATGCTATGTTCTTTATGGCTTGTGCTAAGAGTCAGTGATACGGTGCTGCGCAAAAGTCAGAGACCACCCTTCATTTCTTTCATTTACAGTCAAAAAGTACTAGTTACTCATTTTCATGAAATATTTCTCAGAAGATTAGATATTACATAAACTACGTAAGGAAGGGGAAAGTCAAAGGCAAATAAGTGAAGAAAAAAAACAGAATTTTCAGAAGCAGAAAAGGCAACCAATTTCTAAGACTGAACTTTGGATGTGTGGGAAAATATCCCTGCAGATTTCTTTGAAAAGCTGTAAACAAGTCATCTTAAAAAGAATGCAACTGGTAATGAAGACAAACAATGGTTTATGTCATTATATTCATACTATTTGCTGTTTGAATTTAAATGCAAAACTCATACCATATGAAACTGTATTCTAAACTAAAAATGAACTTTAATGTTTGTAAAAGAGCAAAACAAAATCTTAAAATGAATTGTACAGTTGATAATGTACAACTGAACGCCTGAAATAATCAGCAGCAACAGATGGGCTACAGTCAGTGATTGCAAGCATACGTGAATGACAGGTGTTTCTCATAAAATGGCCAGTGAGTGTAGGTACAAAGTAGGACGGGGGAGGGCAGAGTAAGTTAGAGATTCTGTGTTTGACTGCTTTTGCCTGTAAGATACTCAGATGTCATTTAAAAAAGTGAATCTGAAAATGTGAATTAACAGAAACACTGAAAGCCTTTTAGAAATTTAATTTAAACATTAAATTTTACATCATCAACTGTAAAATTCACTTTCAGATACTTGTTGTGCAGTTTATGTAGCTACACTGGTTATTGTTGTTGTTGTTGTTGTTTACAGCTCTCTATATTTGGTCTAAATCTGTTTTTTTTAATTACACGTGTTCTAGACGTACTGATGACATCCACGGTATATCAGACAAACATACCATGATGCAATTTTTCACGATAACAGTAACTTATCAACATTTTGCTCACCCCTAGCACAAACCCTGCTCACTCCCCCTCTTATCTCTCCAGTGGCCTCTGGGATCTCTGCTATCGCAACACACTGCACACGTTATATGTCTAAAACAAGTCGCTTCTGCAGGTTAAATTAGCGGCACTAATCATTTTGCAAGCAGTGGAGTCTTTAGCACAAGAGGGTACAGAACTGAGACCACAAATAGGTATAAGTGAGGGGCATGAATGCTTTAAAATAACTGATTCTGTGCTGGCAAACTCAGGGAGTAACACTGCCAGCCACTGTAACACTTCATTAACATTGAGACAACATGTTGTCTCTGCCTTTCCATTCAATTTAACCTAGACAGGGCAGGATAAATGATGACAGTTACAGCCACAAAGGATTTGGAAAGCAGGCAGCGATTGTCAGAAATGATACTATTTACAGGCCAAATTTTCTTTAGCCAATTTTGTTAAGTATTAGTGGTTTATAAACAATACCAATACAATACTACTACTACTAATAATAATAAATATAAAAATAATAAGTAATTGTGATTGATTTTTGATTCTGCAGTGATTAATTCATTGCTGAACTGCCTGCCTGTCCTAGTTGTGTCTATGTTAAAAACACACAAAATCAAGGCACCTAAATGGTTCTTTGCTTGGGTGCACAGGTCAATTAAAAACCTAAAGAGATCACACCGTTTACATTATGTGCAGGTTCTTTAAACTTTAAGGTTACTCACACTCGCACATCACATGTACAAAAAGAGTTCTTTAAGGAATCATACATAGAAAAAAGTGGGTCTTGTAAAGCATCGCTCCACAGAACCCATTTTTGCCAATTTCTTTAGGCATGTACTTTGTTCAAATACATACATTTAAGTGTACCCTCTGCTGATTCGGAAGGATTGTGCAAGATTATCTGAAGAGAGCTGACAATGTAAACAGTACCAGAGCCTGGACTATATGATAGGTACGAATACATGGACAGACACTGTGGAAGAGACCTTTGGATATTAACCTTCGAGACGGATAAAAAGTATATATACGAAGAAGCAGACAGAGTCACAGACAGACGGAGAACTATGCCAGCAGAATAACAAACTTAACGGACGACTAACCAGGCAGAGAGGTGATCAGACCAAGGAAAAGACGAGTTGACAGACAGACTAACAACAGAGACAGACTGACAGACAGACAGGTAGAAACTGACCTTGGTGACCTTTGCAGAGGCAGGCGCCCATGGTGACCATCAGCCAGGTAGTTATCTGTTCACCATGCTGAATGAGGAAAGGATGGCAGGGGGAAAGACTGGGGATGAGAAAAAGAGAGCTTCAGAGCTGGAGGGGTTGGAAAGGGGTGAAAAAAACCTAAGATTAGAAAAAGCAGAGAAATGAAAAGGAGATTTTCAAGGAGAAACAAAAAAAGAACTTGATGTCTCCGATGTAGTGAAGCACTTCCTGCCATCTGTGGGGCTGAAAGAGTGTGTGTGTGTGGGGGGAGGTGTGAGAGATAGATAGACAGATAGCAGATAGGGGGGAGAGAAAGAGAGAGAGCGAGATAGAGGAGGAAAAACATGAGCACACACGCTGCCTGCTTGCTCAGTGTCCCTCCCTTTACACTCCTCCCTTCTCCTTCTCCTCCCCCTTTCCCTCTGTCTGTTCTCCTCCTACCCCATAACCTCCACACCCTTTACATGCTGAAAAAGAGAGCCTTTTCACACGTTTAGTAAACCATAAAGATGAAGGATGTGTGAGTGTGAAGTGGAGAAGAAACACAGGAGACAGCTTGTGCACTTTTACACTATGAAGGCAACAGGACTGGAGAAGGCAACAGACATGCCAGGGTGACCTTTTTGTGGAGGCTACAAATTTACCCTTTAATATTAGACAAAATGTGCACTAATTTAAGCAATAGGATAAATGTGACAAACAAAACGTGTCCATCAAACAAAATAAATAGCATTATGAAACTGAATTAATGTCATCACGTTTATGAAAAACAGTATGAAAAGTGAATTAGACAGCTCTCTGCTGCCCTCTAGTGCTCCACCGCCAAATTGTCCCCGAGCAGATGACGGCGTGGAACAAACAGGACTTATTAAATTCATAAAAGTGAAGTTTCGCGATTTTTTGTGTGCGCGAAAACCGCAGAAACACTCGCCTTAATTTGTGACTTTAAAACGAAAGTCCTTTCCAGACTGTGTGTCTTTAGGCTGCGGCCTAATCCCAAAAACAAACAGCGCTCAGTTTTCTTTCCAGTCACAGCGCCTCAGCCGCGTCCTCGCGACCGGGGAAACCTGTTCCCATGGCAACCGCGCTTAGGCCCGAGGCTTCTCCTTCCCAGCGACGGCTGATTCATTCGATTCACTTCACTGAACCGATTTTTCCCTGATTCAATTAATCAAACAAAGCGTTGATTTACATGTCAAGTTAACTTCATTGGCTCCGCGTTCATTGTATGGCCAAATATTGTAAACCTTCTAATCCAACGTTCTTAAAAGGAAAATTAACAGCGCCCCACTCCCCACTAACAGCCTCTACTCCTCTGGGAGGGCTTAGATGTTGGAACTGTGAGGATTTGATTGCCTTCAGGCACAAAAGCATTCGTGAAGTCAGGTCGAGCTATAAGCTGTATGAGCCGCCTAATGCCCCCGAGCCACCAGGGGGACACTGAGTATTTGTTCATTTGTTTTTTGGTCGATATTTATGTTTGTTGGCCAAAAAGCGCAGTCCAGAGATACTCTTACACAGTAAAAATAATAACATAATTACAGAAATAATTAACTGACAAAAGACAGTTCCCTGGTTAACTTAACCAGTTTTAACAGAAGAGCGATTTGTGTTTTACATAAATATACTTATTTTAAGTTGGATTTAAAACTTACTCAACCACTACTTAAGTCGCACAATTTTTACAGTGGACTAGGCTGAGCCCCAGATCGTTACACGCCCAGCCAACCTATCTTCCCATCTGTACCACTATATAGTGAAAGAAAAAGTGTTTATCTGCTTGTAAATTTCCACCAGGTGCATGATGGGGCAATAATCTTAAAAAATCTAGCTGCAGTCTTGCAAATAGTGACCCTGCAAGATTTCTAGTCTTTGCAAAATCATAGTCTGAGACTAAAAACTGTGATATTGTCGTTAGGTGTGAGAGGGTGTCAGACTTTAGTCTTTCAAAGGTCTTTTCAAAGTCTTCTAGTGTATGGTTAGCATTAGGCTAACCTGTGGAGGACAGATACTTACCGACGTGTTCAATGAGATTCGGTTCAGCGAGTGAGTCACTGTAGCGATACGCGGTGCTGCGCAGATTCGCTGATCTTTAACTCATTTTCCGGTCTAATTGTCAGTGTGCTTACTTTACAGATCATGAGATCTGCCTCCCAGAGTGCTTTCAAGTTCGTGAGGGATTTGAGTCATTTTAAAAGTGAAAGGCAGACAGTTAAACTACATGAATGTAGATAATATTCTCCAATTTAGTCCCAGAGTCCCTCAAAACAGAAATTAAACTTTTAGCAGCTTTTTAATGGCCCGCTGAAAGTTGTGTTGAAGTCATTTGACGTCACGCCAACGTTGTGTGCCCGCTGGGTAATGAAGTCTCTCCAAGGTTACAGTCTAAAGAGAGAGAACGTGAGTTAAGTCAAAGAGGGTGACTACTAAAATGCAGGATTTTATCTTGTGGTTTTATGAAATAAAGTAAATAAAGTAAAAGATTATTATTCGAGTTGTGTTACAGTCCAACATTTGCAAAGATGCAAATAAGGTTCGATTCGGGACTAGTGAATCAGTTCGACTGTTTTACTGAAAAGACTCGGTTCAAATGAACGATTCGTTCACGATTCGTCTCTGCTAACAGCGAATGGTGGTGAAGGATCATCTAAACTGAGCACTTTTTTAGTTTCTCTGTGAGTTTACCTTCCTCAGGACAGCTGTGATGTAAATGTTTACGTTAATGCTAAGTTATAGCCTGATAGCCTGGCCTGTTTAATTGTAGTGAGGGTGTGTACAGTTGCTGGTCTATATGCCACCTTATGCCGGCCTTACACCAAACGACTTTTCAAGCGATTTCACTGTCGCAGACAAATTTCCAACGTCGCAATAAAATCATGAGAGTCTTGCTAGAGTCGCGCCGCGCTGGCGTCATGTCGATCGTTTAGTGTGAGGTGGTCAGGACGGCTGTTTTAGGTCAGTGTTTTTCTCGTCTAGACGCTGCGACAAAGTCAACCGTGTTTAATATTATCGTAAGTTTTAAGTCTTGACTCGTGCGAATAGTGACGTGCCAGGTGCGCGCGTGAGAGGGAGCGGGCAGGCGCATGCGCGCGGCGAGAGAGAGAGAGAGAGAGAGAGAGAGAGAGAGAGAGAGAGAGAGAGAGAGAGAGAGAGAGAGAGAGAGAGAGAGAGAGCCTGAAATCTGACGCACTTTAATACAATAATCTGTTTTTATTAACTTAAAATGTAAACAGGCTCCTTTAATATTTCAGTTCACTGAGTGTAACAGTGATGTAAGGAAATGTTGGCATTATGGCATTATTGAAGAATTATCTAATTTTTTTTTGCTTTCTGTTACAGTGCTTTTTTATTTTGTTTGTTTTTTTTATGGTTTAGTTCACCCAATCAACAATGCTGAATCGCTGAATGTTGTGTTGATGTGTAAATGTCCAATTAAAAAAGTAACTGCACATTTTGCAGGTTAATTAAAATACTGGGTGATGATCTGCCAGAATATACAATTCTACAGTGGACTAGGCTGAGCCCCAGATCTTTACATGCCCAGCCAACATATCTTCCCATCTGTACCACTATATAGTGAAAGAAAAAGTGTTTATCTGCTTATTTTATATTATTTATATTTCAAAGTGTTTACCAGGTGCATGATGGGGAATAATCTTAAAAATCTAGCTGCAGTCTTGCAAATAGTGACCCTGCAAGATTTCTAGTCTTTGCAAAATCATAGTCTGAGACTAAAAACTGTGATATTGTCGTTAGGTGTGAGAGGGTGTCAGACTTTAGTTTTTCAAAAGTCTTTTCAAAGTCTTCTAGTGTATGGTTAGCATTAGGCTAACCTGTGGAGGACAGATGGTAGAGAGAGGTGAAAGGATTTAAAATACTTGGGGAAAACCTGACACACTGTGGTGAAAGCAAGCAAGCACAGTTGTGGCATTTTAAGAGGCATCTTAATGCCCTAATTTTGGTTTGGATCCCCCCCCCCTCTCCCCCCCCCCCCTCTCTCTCTATCTCTCTCACCCCCTCCCCCTTATCCCTATGAGTATTTTGTGGGCACATACTAAAATTCCATTGTGTTTACTAATAGACCCTATCCACTCTCTTTCTCTGCACACACATTCTCTCACACATTCAATCTATTCCACTTTATTTTATTATTGTTTTTAACAGACATATTGCATGTACACACAATATTACACAATAACTTTTAAGAAAAGATATCTATAGCACCAGGAACCCATGCGCTTCACCTTTGTACTTCACTCTGTCCGAATCTGTGAAGATGGTACGCTTCATTTTTCCAATTGGAAGGGTGACTAAGGCCAAAGTGAATCAAAGTAATGCTCCTGGGAAACAAGGGGAAAGATAGGAGATGGAACCAAAACAGAAATTAAAAGTGATCCGCCTCAGCAGATAGAGTGACACCACAGGAATTTATGAGCTTAGAGGCCGTATCACCATGAATAAAAAGTCCCCTGGGCAAAGCGTGAAATCACAAGCAGGCATGACATGCATTTAACATCTGTTATCATGAAAGGTAACCAGCACAGCCCTATTATACTGCACGGCGTCTTACAGGATACAGGTAACTGTCAAAGAGAAACAGTGTTCGCGTGATTGCATGGAGGGCTTAAAATGTGGTTGGAAATGTGAAAACTTGATCTCACTTGATGTGTAACCTGATGGGACAGTGTGGGTGATGAGAAGTAATTAGAGAACAGAGAAGAGTAAATATACAGCTACGGTTTTGTAATTGACCGTCTGCATGAACACTTACACATAATCCAGGCTGACGTGATTCATCATGTTAATTGCCGACCCGTGTCGCTCATGGTGGGCCGTGTAATGAAAACCACCTTTAAGTAACCCCTACGATCACTCATTAACTTCCTTTTTACTGTATACTTACAACTGAACATGGAGATTAATCATATCCTGTGTAGGAAAATATATTATTAGAAATAATCAGTACATTGCCTTCAGAATGATTAACAGGTGGTACATGACTTGGATCTACTTCTCTATCTTTCTGTTCTCTGTTGCTGCTCTTTGGGGAGTTGCTTGGAAAACTGAGGCTTAGTTTTTTTCCAAAGTGGTGAGGGACCATGAAGATTCTTCTTACAAATGAGTCCACTTCAAAGCTTTACACGTAAATCCACCAAAATGAATAATTATGCTCATTTGGAGATAAAGCAGATCCCACGTTTCCTGTAGCTGACTGTACATAATAGGAGAGATATGATACTGAATCCAGTCTACAGTAAATGTGTTGCCTGAAGTATGACTGTTAGATGTTAGTCTGGACATGTTGGCTGCTGCACCTCTGCATTTCACACTTCAGTATTTTCCTGCTGCAACACACCTTGTTCAGGTATTGAAAGCTTTATGATTAGTTGAAGAGGTGAATCACTGAGTCTATTGTAGTAGTTACCCATATGGATCACATCCAGATACAGCTCTGGGACATCTACTAGAATAGTCCCAGTGATTCACCTCATTCAGGTATTGAAAGCTTTATGATTAGCTGAAGACGTGAATCACTGGGACTATTTTAATGGTTGTCCACATGGAGCACATCCAGATACAGCACTGATGCATACATTACATCAGTCATGATTGTTATAGGCAATTATACTGTAATACCATCATTGAGATCTAAGCCTCAACCGCAGACACTGCTTAATTTTGTTTAGTCATTGGTTATTCTGAATAATTAAAGCAAAGTTTAAGGCTGTGCTTGTTTTTACCACAGTTAGGGGGTGTTGTTAGGTACCACAGAGCAGCAATAAAATTGCAGTATGATAAAATAAAAGTTATTTAATTAATTATGTCACTTCTTGTTAGCAGTAATTGAAATGAACAATTTCACTACCAAGCAAAGTAGTTAATTAACAGTTGCCGAGCAACATAATAATCAACAATGTGATTTTATTAAATAACTTGGCCAGATTTGAGCTGAAAAAGTAGTGATGGCTGAACACTGATACACTGTCCTAAATAGATACAGTATGCATTTCATTACAATACATTAAAAATGAACATATTCAGAAAAGATGCAGAATACATTTGGAATACATCTTAATAAGACACATGGGAAAACCTCTGCTGCTGTAGGCTAATTTTTACGCAACTCACATTGTTAATAGTCTTTAACTAAGTGTTTGTCAGTTATTAAAATGAGTCATTTTCTAAAATTAAACAATAAGTTGACTTATTAGGAACACAAGTGAGCTTCAAAGGGTCTCTTTAATCTAGTCCAGACTTTTTTGGTTGTGTTAAAATAGAGCTAAGTCTTTCATTTAATTTACAAACTATATCAATAAAAATATCCATCTGTAAATTGCTAGATTTGATGCTCTTATTTGGGACGTATTCCCTGTGCAAAAACACATTCACATAGCACTTTATCAGATATGCCTCCTTGTATCTACACTCCCTTTAATCATCTCCACTTACCATTAAGGGGCACTTTGTAGTTCTACAATTATAGACTGTAGTCCATCTGTTTCTTTGCATAAGTTGTTATCCCACCTCTGTCCCATTCATTAATGGTCAGGACCCTCACAGGACCACCACAGAGCAGGTATTATTTAGGTGGTAGATTATTCTCAACACTGTGACACTAATGTGGTAATGAAGCTGATAAAATGGGCAATGAGTATAGATAGAAGTTAGGTGTAACTAAAAGTGCTCAGAGAGTCTATATTGTCCCACTTGTGCTACACTCTATATTAGAATG